TTTATCAGTCATCGCAGTGGATGAAGGTTCAAAAATTTAACGACTGACTTTCCTATTCTTCATAAAACTCCTCCTGTGATTTCGACTTTATTGAAGTGATGACACCATGAAACACAGTCAATGCTGCAAAGGCAACAGGAGTAGTACACCAGAAGTCTTCTCATGTCTTCCTACTTGTAATGATGAAGTTTCAAAGGTATACAGTAGAACATAGTGAAGTGTAGAATAGTACATTCGATCCTTAATAAGCAATCGGATATCGTAGGGGAAAGTCAAGCGAGCCTTTTTGTATCCATGCAGAGATTTCGTCAGGCACTGACCAATCAATGCACTAGGGCTGATCCAACTTCTCAAGTAAGTAAACTGTTCAACGCACTCAATCATTTCTCTTTCAATTGTTAGCTGGAGCACTGCTGAAGACCAGTCTTAGAGCAACAATTTGCATTTACATGACAAGAAATACATCCAAAACATTTTTTAAATTATCACTCTTAAACGACTATCGCAAAATACAAAAAAAAAACGCAATGAATATTTAACAAGCCTAATTCTTTTTTTATACTCCTTCAATTGTATTTTCTTTAACTAACCAAACAGTCACCAATTTCAATCATGTACTTGATACCATAACAAGCTCAACTTCAAGGTAATACAATTTTAGATAGGATATCTTTATACGACTAAATTCCAGTCACTGTTCACGATTCACTAACTGAAAACAATCAATAGACTGATACTTCAATGAACTAATTATAATATCAGTTAAAGTGAAACAAAATCTAAACTTTATTGATTTTTTTGTATGCATAGGTTATTCATTGTCCCATTTACTCTTTACCAGAAACACTCAACACTCCATACATAATGAGAAACATCATTTCAATAGCAGTTACTATACCAATCGATACTAGAGGACAACTTAATTGACTATAGTTGCACAATGTTACACTGAGTTCTGAGTACAATTTATTGAATGATAAATAATCACTAGCCATTCACAATAGACAAAAATCCTGAACACTGCCTATGTTGAAGAAGTAAATTATCCAGGTTATCCATATACGAGTAGAACAGTTCAATACGTATACTATTCACTTGATGAAGTTGACATCAATATAGCCTTCAAATAGAAATTGAACATTACAACAAATTCCACTGTCTAGATCTTGGTATACAACATCATACCGATGATAAAATTTATAGATACATTCACCAGAAACACATATATAGTAAGCTCTACTAGCCTTACCCAATCAGTTGCAAAAAAAGTCTGGTAAGAACAATTTTCAACCGCACGCATAAACTTTACTTTGAAGAGAAAATTGAAGAGGAATCAGACATTACGAACACTGTCTGTTCAAAAATCGTTACCCATAAAAATTAAACGTTAAGTACAACAAAACAAAACGAAAAGAATTAATTACAGTAAAGTTGAGATGAATTGAACATATAGTGAGAAGACCATTTAGAGATATCACGTGCCAGGCGAGGCTCTCAAATGGAACCCAAATGGGGAACGACGAGTTGGGCGTCTGTGCTGAGAATGACATGGAGAAGATCGTGTGAGGAAGAAATGCAATCTTGTGGGCAGTCGTGGAGCTAGGTTAGAAAGACTGCAGTGAAAAGAGAGTGAAATGGCTTTGTGCTACTGAAGCCCTATGTTCCACTAGGAACCCAAGTGATTAATAATAATAATGATGAAAAATTAACAAATTATCCGAACTTCTGAGTGACCATTACGTAATTTATTCATGAGTAGTGTTGATTCCTCACTTCTGTTTTGTGCTTTTCCTAATCTTTAAGTTGTTCAATGTCTAAGTTGATCATCGCTGAAAGTAATATACACTCATATTTATGCTAGGAGAAAACTTGAGAAAAAAATATCATGCTGTTTTCAAAATTGATCCGAAACCCAGCGACTTATAGATAAAAAGTTAACACATCTTCATTATATTGAGTAATCTAATGAATACAACTCAGAAAGTGACAAGAGATTTTGAAATAAATCAAAGGATAAAATGAAAAAAAAAGAAGCAAAGATTCATGCGATCATGAAATTTCTTAGTTGGAAATTTTGGAGATTAAAATTAGCAGGATAAAGCAAGATTGAAATACATTGATAAGTAAAGTGCATAAAGTTGACTTTCACTTGTTTATTGATCACTTTGAGTGACTTTTAATGGGTCAGGGTCAACATTATGTCAAGTATCAAGTAAATGCCGAATGACTTGTCCCTAAGATTCAGATTCTTCAGGATATTGAATTTTGAGGTAGTTGTAGGGATTTGAGAATACTTCAAGTTGATATTCATAATAGACTGATGTTAGTTGGAAGAACATAGGAACCTAGTAGCGTTGGACAGCTTTCTCGTCGTAGTATGGGACTCCTCAGCAGTACACACCCACACCCTACCCCGCTGGAGATCGAACCCAGGACCTTCAGGTTCCGTGGCCAGCACGTTACCGTTGACTTACTGCGACGGAATCGAATGCTTCATATTTCCCAATTCTGCCAATTTACAACACAGCGCTCATTGGTGGCTAGTTTCGAGAGGTGATTTCTGAAGTTCCAATGAGAAATCGTCACCGATGGGGCTAACGTGGTGGCCGTGAGGCCAAATACTCAACGATGATATTGGGTGGCAGTTGCTGATTCTTATTATTCTGGGTCACCTGACCGACCTTCAGTGTCAGTATCGAGTAAGTGTAGGTGGCAACCGTTCATCACGTATGTCTGTAGTTTGTTGGAAATGCTTTCCGCAACGCGCCAAGTCTCTCAACCATCACATAGAAGCACTGAGTTAGCAGACTGACGTTGGTGTTCAAAATCCGGATGTTGTTCACACTTTACGCTGAGTGAAGTGCAGTGGAGTTAATCTCCACTCTGATTTCAGATCAATGAAGAAAGGCCTGTCTCGCTTTTCCGATTCTGGCTTTCATGTCCTCATCTGCCCCACTATAGCCGCCTCTAGTTGACATGATGCTGTTTAGGTAGGTGTAGGTGGGAGAGACAACTTCCTTTCCACTTCTCCCTTTGACGGTGATTGATGTTGTTGTTGGTTGGATATCCTCATCACCTCTACCTTCCCTGTGTGCACCTGAAGGAAGTCCCGTCTTCCCTGCCCCACCTCTCCTGTCAACTTGTTACTTTTTGCCTGTAGATCTTCGAGTTTGTGCAAAAGGACACCAGACATAAATCATCATCGTTGGCCAAATCCAAATCTTCTTTTCCTGTGGTCTTTTCATCGGTCCAGCCAGCGTATGCCCATCTTCTCGTTCCTCATAGTTGTCTGTTGCATGATGCAGTCCAGTCCAGTCGACCACAACACAATTAGGAAGATGATCGTTGATGGATAGTAGGCAACCTTGTCTTACTCCTCTTCCCTGTTTTTACTTCAAAGGCATCACTCAGGTTTCCAGTGTGAATCGATGGCATGTAGCATCATACAGCATACAGCTGTTGAACGAAGTTGATAAAGATTTGTGGCACTAAAATCGTAGTGTTGAAACAGCTGCCAAATTACTTCTCGGTCGACGCTGTCGAAGGTGTTTTCAAAGTCGATGAAGTTGAGGTAGAGAATTGACTTCCATTCTATGCTGTGTTCCCTGATGATGTCTGGCGTAGTGTTGCGATTTGATCTGCACATGATTGGTTCTTCCTGAAGTCAGCCAGCCTGTTCCGGTCGTAATTTTGAATCCAGAGCATCTTTTAGTCTCTAGAGAATGATGCGGATTTTTTGGCATATCATAACTCTAAATTAAAAAAAAAATGCTTTGGCAAAGATATGAGCTAGAAATGGTTCGTTTGTGTTGGGGTCAACTTTCGTAAAAGCTGTTTTGTGAGCGAATAGGTAAGCTGTGTATTGATTTGTACACTGTGAGAGAACTTCATGTTTGAGGAGGTTCACAGGAAATCAACATTTTCTGTGATATCCAACTTGACGTTGTCAACAACATTCTTTTTCTATAATCCTAGTTTTTGACATAGAAATATAGTTAGTTTTCGAATATACAAAATTTCGATTACGGAATGTTCTGTTGAAACTTCAATAACCATAGTCGGATCTACACACTATCCTTCAGTAACGTGTTATCTGTGTGGAACCAAGAACTGTCTTGTACAAGGTAGATTTTTGCGTTGAGAAAAGAAACCAGATACAAGGAAGAGAATAACTTTCAAGTTGTTTTTTGATAGTCAAATTTCCTCCAGTTGATATTCTTTGACCAAGTGAAAAAAAGGAGTGAACAGAAATTTCCAATTGCTGTAAGTCTTTGGTAGGCATCAAAACATTATGACATCAGTGTGGTAACGTATATCACCAATTGTTTATTATCATTTTGACTATCCGATATAGCCGTGATTTGACAGACTATTATTTATACTGGGTGATGATTGAAGGTGGTCGGATTCGAACCAGCGACCATCGGGTTTCCGGCCCAACTGAGCTACGAGGTCCGACTGCTGAATACAACCAGGCGGTAATAACACATTACGAATTCATATGGTAGTTGAACAAAACCTTTAGTGATTAAAGTGAGATAAAAATATGGTCGTCAGTCGGACCTCGTAGCTCAGTTGGTAGAGCATCCAGCTGGAAACCCGGGGTTGCTGGTTCGAATTCGGCTGCGGTTCAAATTTTTATTTCACCTTCAATCATCACCCAGTATAAATTATTTGTTAGCAAACCATCTGACACAGTGTGTATGTATGCTGAACGCAGACTGGTGTGAATCAATGTTCAGATGACACAAACGTTACCGAATCCCATGAAACTTTACAGCATAATCTTATTCCCCACCACATGCATAAAAACGATACGATTCAACTATGTGGTGTAAGTTTTAATTACTAGGCTCTAAACCGTAATTACTTTGTAAAGGTTTATGACACGTTGAAGTAGGTGGAGTGGTGTTTGAATCCAGGACTCAAGCGCTGAAGCCAATTAACCACAATTTCACACCAGAAGGTTAAAAAAGAAATGAAAAGAAAAAAGGAATTACCCTTTCCCAATACGAACACGTAGAAGATAACCTTCAGACTTATTTGCAAATGAAAACAATAAAGGCATCAATACACATGCTTCTTCATGTTCTTTATTTTGACCAGCTGCTAGTGTAGATGCTTGTGATGATGTATACGGTTGATTGGATGACTGAGCGAAGATTAACGGTAAACCAGAGTTATTTATCAGGCAAATTAAACCGCTAACTGTTAAATGACGTGCACCAAATGCTCTGGAACATACATTCACCTTGAACACAGAAAAAAGATTAAAATAAAGATAGTCAGAACAAAAGCATGAGAAACAGTAACAAACACAGCTACTACAAGCTTACTGATGTTATATATAATGCTGATGAGCAGGGTATAAAATTACTAAACTAACGGCTTGTACGGACCGATTGATTTTATTTTACTTTTCAATACAGATTTATATCATCAATGGAATAATCATTGAGATTTTAAGAGGGATAGACAGTTAGTTTATCTTGGTGTAAGAATTTTGAGCAGTGTGCATTCACAACCCTGTAGATGATTGAACTTACAACCATTAGTTTTCACAATGGACAAGTCAATATTAGGCAAGTGCTTTGGAATACAATAGTCTATTACTTCCTATTTCTGTTAATTCACTATGTAGCGAAAGTATTCATCCTAAACAAGGGCGAAACGGTTATCCAGTGCAGCAGATAGAAAGACAGATTAATCCATGTGGAACCTGGCACAGAAGTTAATCATCTCAAGTTGTCATGCTTCACAGCAGTATGCAAAGAACAGGCGGACAGTAGAACAGTGACATAAAGGTGGACAAATGTGTGTAAGATCTGGTATGATCGAAAAGATCACAGATACAAAAGAAATGTAGGAAATACGATAACTAAAAAATTGGTTCTATCCAGTCAGCTATAAAGGAGGGCTAGTAAAAACAATTTGCAGAACAGTATTAAACTTATATTTCGTGGAAGAGTCAGAGATCGACATCCTAGATAAAATGAATATTTTAATAGATTTATTCTAAAGTATAGAAACCGATAACTTGTGTCTAATGTCAGAAAAACTTGAACATCTACAGGCGAAAACTAACAATTTGACAGAAGAGGCTAGGCAGCGAAGATGCGAATTCAAGTGAACGTAGAGAAGAGAGAGGTGATGAAGATACCCAACCAACAACAAGAAACTCCAATCACCATCAACGGGAGAAACCCATAGGAAGTAGCCTCCTTCACCTACCACCGAGGCAGCACTGTTTCAACTACAGGCGGCACAGGCACAGACGAGGACGTCAAAGCCAGCCAGGATTGCAAAGACAACAACACAGGCGTTGATTAACCTGAAACTAGTGTGGAGATCTTCTGTACTGCACTACACTCAGCATAAAGCGTGAACAACATCCGGATTTTCAACACCAACACCAACGTGAAGTCAGTGCTTCTGTGTGGCTCAGAGACTTGGCTCATTACGAAAGGGATTTCCAACAAACTACAGACATCCATCAACAACTGCCACCTACGCTGGCTCGTTACTGAATATCAGATGGCCAGAATAATAAGAATAAGCAACATGGAACTCTTGCCGGGCAACGAATCAACAAAGCAAGAACCTATCACTCAACAAATATGCGGTGGAAGGAAGTGGAGATGGATTGGATTGTGCATACACTGAGATGGTCGACTGGGGACATCACATGACAGGTCAGGCCGTCGAGTGGAAGCCAGATGGGAAACGACGAGTTGGGCGTCCGTGGCGAGGGTGACATGGAGGAGATCGTGCGAGAAAGAAATGAGAGCTTGTAGTCTGTCGTGGCAACAGGTTCAAAAGATTTCAGAGAACAGAGCTCATTGGAGACGTGCTACTGAAGCCCTATGTTCCATTAGGAACTCAAGGAATATACATAATAATAATAATCTGCTGACTAGTGAACTACGTTCCAAGGCATAAGAAGAAAAGAAAACATTTCAGAGTAACAGATATTCATTCATTTGAAGATATCTTTGAAACACTATTTACCCCAGATAATAAAACAATGAAGGCCTTTTTATAGCAATCGCATCTGCGAAACTTAGGAGTTCAAATATTTTCTATACATTATTTATCTTAAAAGCACTACTAGTATCAACTTGATATCCTGTGTCTTTGAGGTGTATACTGATTTCACTGATGAGAATCATACTTCATTTAAGGCATACATTCTTCAGACTATCCCCAACAAACAGAATGAATGACCTCGTCTTAGTCCTTTCAACTTATTTGCTATTGCAAGTGCATGTAAACTCATAAATGCAGTTAAAAGTGACATGAGCAGAATATTTATTCCAATTTGGACCTGTTTAGTGAACATGTGATATTCTATACTGATATAAATTTGGCTTCAGCAGACCTTGTTCATAGTACTCTTTTGATTCTCGTATCTATTCTTTTGAACGTGAATAAAATCCTTTCAACCGTTGGGTGCCTAGTTCTCTTGATCTGTTCTTTTCTATACTTTATTATTATTATTTGTCCCTTGGGTTTCTAATGGAACATAGGGCTTCAGTAGCACGTCTCCAATGAGCTCTGTTCTCTGAAATCTTTTGAACCTGTTGCCACGACAGACTACAAGCTCTCATTTCTTTCTCGCACGATCTCCTCCATGTCACCCTCGCCACGGACGCCCAACTCGTCGTTTCCCATCTGGCTTCCACTCGACGCCTGACCTGTCATGTGATGTCCCCAGTCGACCATCTCAGTGTATGCACAATCCAATCCATCTCCACTTCCTTCCACCGCATATTTGTTGAGTGATAGGTTCTTGCTTTGTTGGTTCGTTGCCCGCCAGAGTTCCTTGTTGCTATTCTTATTATTCTGGCCATCTGATATTCAGTAACGAGCCAGCGTAGGTGGCAGTTGTTGATGGATGTCTGTAGTTTGTTGGAAATCCTTTCGTAATGAGCCAAGTCTCTGAGCCATACAGAAGCACTGACTTCACGTTGGTGTTGGTGTTGAAAATCCGGATGTTGTTTACGCTTTATGCTGAGTGTAGTGCAGTACAGAAGATCTCCACACTAGTTTCAGGTTAATCAACGCCTGTGTTGTTGTCTTTGCAATCCTGGCTGGCTTTGACGTCCTCGTCTGTGCCTGTGCCGCCTGTAGTTGAAACAGTGCTGCCTCGGTGGTAGGTGAAGGAGGCTACTTCCTATGGGTTTCTCCCGTTGATGGTGATTGGAGTTTCTTGTTGTTGGTTGGGTATCTTCATCACCTCTCTCTTCTCTACGTTCACTTGAATTCGCATCTTCGCTGCCTGGCCTCTTCTGTCAAATTGTTAGTTTTCGCCTGTAGATGTTCAAGTTTTTCTGACATTAGACATAAGTCATAAGTCATTCGTGTCTTCACTTGAAAGACATCACTGAGCTTCCCATTGTGAATTACGTGGCATGTGGCATTTTTGCATAGTTGTTGAATGAGATTGATAAATGTTTATGGTAGTGTTGAAGTAACTGCCTGGCAAATTACTTGTCAGTCGACACTGTCGAAGGTCTTTTAAGAGTCGATGAAGTTGAGGTAGAGGGTTGAATGCCACTAGTTGGCAGATACAACTATCGAAATAAGTAAACTGTTAGCTGCAACCGATGGTAGATAGTCAATATGAAACGTCAATAAGTAGGTATGCGTTTCAGAATATAAAAAAGATTAGAGAGTTGATCTCTAGACGGAAACTAAACACAATAGAGGAGGATTAAGAAGAAAGATGAACATATTTTCATAAGAGATAAAAAATTGGGAAGAATAAAGTTCACTTAAATATTAGATTATTTTACTTACTTGTAACTCCAGTGGCCTATTCATAGAATCATACAATCGAATAAGTACTTTCTGATTGTATGTATGCGATGGTATGGATAATGGTTCACATTTTGGAAATCCATCCAAATGAATACCAAAATTTATGGTCTGTACTGGGAATAACTAAAAGGAAAGAATATGTAAACAAAACGATAAATTTGTCTAAGTAATCATAGTAGCCAGAATATATATCACTTACAATCGTACTGAATGATTTCTCTGTTCAGGATGAGTTTCTTCGCAGCTAAGTATTTTTGGAGCTGTGACTAAGTGTTTTAGAGAGATGGGTAGCAACTATTGGGTCACAGGATTCAGCATCGTCCCGTCTACCGAGGTTTATGCAACCAAGTATTATCATTAGCCTTCACACAATAGATGTGGTTCATTGCCTACTGCATGGATGTGCACAAGGTAGGTGAGTACGTTCCAACTTCGACTGAATATTTTGAAAAAACTAAAATGCACACATCCTTATTGTGAGAGAGCAATTAGTATGTTAATAAAAACGGCAGGCCTTTCTCTCAAAATGGCTAAAATCAAACACTACATATCGAAAGAGTGACATCTAAATTGCAAGTAAAGGACAAATAAACTTCGACCAGTATTAAGAGCCACAATGATACACCAATTACCAGTTGACAGCGAACACTTTAAACCTCCTCCTGTTGTAGCGAAATTAATAATCACACTTCGCTCGGCAATCCCATACGCATTCGTACACTAGGGAAGGAGATACACCCATTGTGGGAGGGTTTATGACACTGTCTAGTTGTGTAGACTTCGACAGGCGGAGAGAGGTTCTAACCAGCGACTCACAGGTTGAAAGAGAAAGAGAGCTATAAAATACTACTCTATTGTCCAGGGTTCAAATTATCAGTAAGTGGTGGTTGGGACATTATTCAAGATGAGGAGAAAGGTAATTCACTGAATGCAATGCATCTATTCGACTTCCACTGCATTAACACACAACCATACAATAGAATATCGATCGCATTCAACAGCTATATGGAGACGGCACATGCTAAGTGATTCACAATGGAAACCTGAGTGATGCCTTTGAAGTAAAAACAGGGAAGAGGAGTAAGACAAGGTTGCCTACTATCCATCAACGATCATCTTCCTGATTGTGTTGTGGTCGACTGACTGGACTATATCATGCAACAGACAACTGTGACGAACGAGAAGATGGGTATAACGCTGGCTGGACCGATGAGAAGACCACAGGAAAAGAAGATTTGGATTTGGCCAACGATGATGATTTATGTCTGGTGTCCTTTTGCACAAACTCGAAGATCTACAGGCACAAGTAACAAGTTGACAGGAGAGGTGGGGCAGGGAAGACGGGACTTCCTTCAGGTGCACACAGGGTAGGTAGAGGTGATGAAGATACCCAACCAACAACAACATCAATCACCGTCAAAGGGAGAAGTGGAAAGGAAGTTGTCTCTCCCACCTACACCTACCTAAACAGCATCGTGTCAACTAGAGGTGGCTATAGTGGGGCAGATGAGGACATGAAAGCCAGAATCGGAAAAGCGAGACAGGCCTTTCTTCATTGATCTGAAATGAGTGTTGTATTCAGCAGTCGGACCTCGTAGCTCAGTTGGGCCGGAAACCCGATGGTCGCTGGTTCGAATCCGACACCTTCAATCATCACCCAGTATAAATAATAGTCTGTCAAATCACGGCTATATCGGATAGTCAAAATGATAATAAACAATTGGTGATATACGTTACCACACTGATGTCATAATGTTTTGATGCCTACCAAGACTTACAGCAATTGGAAATTTCTGTTCACTCCTTTTTTTCACTTGGTCAAGAATATCACTGGAGGAAATTTGACTATCAAAAAACAACTTGAAGTTATTCTCTTCCTTGTATCTGGTTTCTTTTCTCAACGCAAAAATCTACCTTGTACAAGACAGTTCTTGGTTCCACACAGATAACACGTTACTGAAGGATAGTGTGTAGATCCGACTATGGTTATTGAAGTTTCAACAGAACATTCCGTAATCGAAATTTTGTATATTCGAAAACTAACTATATTTCTATGTCAAAAACTAGGATTATAGAAAAAGAATGTTGTTGACAACGTCAAGTTGGATATCACAGAAAATGTTGATTTCCTGTGAACCTCCTCAAACATGAAGTTCTCTCACAGTGTACAAATCAATACACAGCTTACCTATTCGCTCACAAAACAGCTTTTACGAAGTTGACCCCAACACAAACGAACCATTTCTAGCTCATATCTTTGCCAAAGCATTTTTTTTTTAATTTAGAGTTATGATATGCCAAAAAATCCGCATCATTCTCTAGAGACTAAAAGATGCTCTGGATTCAAATTACGACCGAACAGGCTGGCTGACTTCAGGAAGAACCAATCATGTGCAGATCAAATCGCAACACTACGCCAGACATCATCAGGGAACACAGCATAGAATGGAAGTCATTCTCTACCTCAACTTCATCGACTTTGAAAACACCTTCGACAGCGTCGACCGAGAAGTAATTTGGCAGCTGTTTCAACACTACGATTTTAGTGCCACAAATCTTTATCAACTTCGTTCAACAGCTGTATGCTGTATGATGCTACATGCCATCGATTCACACTGGAAACCTGAGTGATGCCTTTGAAGTAAAAACAGGGAAGAGGAGTAAGACAAGGTTGCCTACTATCCATCAACGATCATCTTCCTAATTGTGTTGTGGTCGACTGGACTGGACTGCATCATGCAACAGACAACTATGAGGAACGAGAAGATGGGCATACGCTGGCTGGACCGATGAAAAGACCACAGGAAAAGAAGATTCAGATTTCGCCAACGATGATGATTTATGTCTGGTGTCCTTTTGCACAAACTCGAAGATCTACAGGCAGCAAGTAACAAGTTGACAGGAGAGGTGGGGCAGGGAAGACGGGACTTCCTTCAGGTGCACACAGGGTAGGTAGAGGTGATGAAGATACCCAACCAACAACAACATCAATCACCGTCAAAGGGAGAAGTGGAAAGGAAGTTGTCTCTCCCACCTACACCTACCTAAACAGCATCGTGTCAACTAGAGGTGGCTATAGTGGGGCAGATGAGGACGTGAAAGCCAGAATCGGAAAAGCGAGACAGGTCTTCATTAACCTGAAATCAGAATGGAGATCTACTCCACTCAACGTAAAGCGTGAACAACATCCGGATTTTCAACCCTTATGTCAGTCTGCTAACTCAGTGCTTGTATGTGGTGGTTGAGAGACTTGGCGCGTTGCGGAAAGCATTTCCAACAAACTGCAGACATACGTGATCAACGGCTGACACCTACACTTACTCGATACTGACACTGAAGATCAGATGGTCAGAATAGAATAATAAGAATAAGCAACAAGGAAGTCTCCCTGGCTGGCAACGAACCAACCAACCGAGAACCCATCGCCCAACAAATATGCTGGAGAAGAAAGTGGAGATGGACTAGATCGGACATACACTGAGAAGACCATTCGGAGATACCACGTGCCAGGCCAGACCGTCGAGTGGAACCCAAAGGGGAAAAGATGAGTTGGGCGTCTGTGGTGAGGGTGACATGGTGTGAAGAAGAAATGAAATCCTCTTGGCAGTTGTGAATCCATGTTGAAAAGACTGCAGAGAATAGAGTGGAATGGCTATGTGCTACTGAAGCCCTATGTTCCACTAGGAACCCAAGGGAGAAATAATAATAAATACAAGAAAATAGGTGGGATAAAACCACTGTACTCAAGTTCAATATAATTAAGTATGATTATGAGTAATAATTGATGCTGAAAACGTGATGATCAAGTAAATAATACTATATCACTCACCGTGTGTTATAAATCAAATAAACAAATCTAATATGGAATTGATTGGTTTAGACAGTGATGAGAAAAGAGCTGGTTTATGAGATATTGTCATGAAATGCAAGAAGGTGCATAACGCTTAGCTTTGCAAAATAAACGACAATATATATATATATATATATATATATATATATATATATATATATATCATTGAAGGTCATCAATCTAGAGTCTACAATGATATATACTTCGGTGTATAATACAGTCAAGAAAATATATTTACAATGAGAAATGCTTACATTATAGATACATGTTTCTTCATTTGATCCCAATGTACCACATATTTCAGTTTTATCAAATAAAAGACCATATCACAGGTAATAAATTTGTGATCTTCAACACTGGTCCAATTGTGATATGATGACCAGGTAGTGTAATTGGAAGAGAATTCTTATGATTTGTACACCATTGATAGGAAAAATATGATTCCATTGAAGATCCAATGGAAATTGTCACGTACAACAGTGATACACATATAAAATTTATTTATGCCATAATTTAACATAGATTTTTTATTTTGATATACTGGAAAAAGTCGTTGGATAGAATTCACTGAAGGAATTGTACATGAACTAGCTGGTAGTCTACGTGTTGAGATCAATATTGCTTCTAACAAGTCATCTGTTTAAAAAAAAAATTGAAAAAAGGAAAGAGACCAAACAATTCATGAAGTAAATTGATAATCAGTTAAATATATTAACTCAACCAATAGAGAGTGGACTTCATCGACTTGAGTATGAATTGACTATGGATTATTCTTAGTATGATCAACGGATTACTTGATCACTAATGGGCATCCACTGTAATACGCCTTGCGTGACTTTTGGCAGAATCCTTACTCATTGCTGGTAATTCCTTATGATTTCTGCCACCCTCTCAACATATACTACTTATATCCATTCTTATCAGCGACGCCCAGTATAATACTATAGTGAATCTGATTTTTATGTGAGATATTGTGAAACACTAGATATAAGTTTTAGGCTCGTTGGTACCTGTCACATAGGTGTGTCCTTAAATCATTGAAAAACTGATGTTCCATTAATGATTCAAATTTGAATCACTCGGTGATGAAGTTAAACTTTGATCAGTGGTGAGTAGATCGATTATCCACTGATAAGCAATTCAAAGAGTACCCCAGTTGTAGTGAAGTTTTCAATTTTTTCAGTGATTGACGCTTATTAGAATGTCCATGATAGCATCAGTTTCCCTACAGTTGTAGACATAACGAGTGTCAACAAGCAGCAAGACAGACAGAATCAACGTAGAACCTCGTACAAAAGTGCATCACCTCAAGTTATCACACTTCACAGTAGCATACAAGAACAAATGGATAGAAAAAGAGTGATACCAAAGTAGAAAAAGTTGTGTAAGACAATAAACGATCTGAAGATAGCGGTTAGTGAGAATATTCTACTGAATAATATTCAAGCTTTTGTGAAGATCTGATTCATTGGTTTGCGGAGGTGCTTTTCAACTAGTGCACCATGCGTTTGGGTCCGGCTCCACCGGGTAGTATAATTAGCCTTCATACAATAGGTGTGGTTCATTGCCTATTGAATAGATAAACACTAGGTATCTGAATACATTTCATTCAGCTTTATAAGACACCAAAGAGTGAATCCAGGCAGGAAACGTAGATCAAGCAGTGCTTTCTGTTAACTGACTCCCAACATCTCACATCAAACAAAGATGATTGTGAATACTGATACTAAATGAGCTTGTGTTGATCATTGGCATTTGAGCAACTAGAAGAGTTTTCATACAGAATAACCATCTACTATATCTGTAGTAAATGTGATCACTTAATCATTCGTTTTACCAATTTTTCATAGGTTTGAGGTGAACTTTCCACTTACAATGCTGTCTGTTATGCTAAAAAAAATTATTTCAGCAGGCTCGTGAAATAGACAGTAAATCGCACAGAGATCCTATGATACTGTCTAGCTGTCAAAGCAGCGGTAGGTGAGATATGGCTTTATTGGCTGACAAAATCAACGTAGAACATCACGCATAGAGACATCAACTCAAGTTGTCACACTTCAAGGTAGTATATAAAAATCAGCTAGATAGAAAAATACCGATATCTAAGTAGACAAACGTGTATTAGAGCATAAACAATCTGAAGATAAAAGGCTAGTGCAAATATTCAAACTTTAGAAGCCGTCAAAGAGTGAGTACATCTACATCATTGTGACCGATTCTCAGCCATGCCACCAAAAGTCCTCAACCACTCATTTCTTTCATCCCATAAACTCCCCATATGACTTAGATCAACAGTCAAGGACTTCATCGACTAGTGCCATATCTTGATCTAGCCACGCTGATCCCTTCATCCAACCTAATCTAACTTCCTCTAACATAGCAAACGTCAAGGTAGGCAGTGGCTTGGTATGCGCAGTACATGTATTTCAGGTCATCTCACAACTGCATCAATCAGCTGGCGATTTATTGGCTCCAAGTCGACTATATAGACCAATAAAATCAAAGCTACAATAAAATAACCTAGAACATAAAGTATACAACTGACTTCTATACTAACCTGATTGTTTTAAACACGTCCAATCAATCATTTCACTGATGATTCATCATTGACACTACCAAGATTAGCCAATAATGATGGTACAGAGGCTGAGGTTGATGTTAACGATGAATGTATCAACTGTTGCTGTGTTGTTTGTTGGTGTTGTTGTTCATCATCTTCTTCTTCATCATTCATTACAGGATTATGATGATGATAATATACACTTGCCCAATCATACAAATCATCATTGAATTTATTTTGATCCATAGATGTATTGATGAATGATGATACAGATATACTTTGTCGTATCATAATTGTTTTCGCCGGAGAAAAACATAAATTAGCCAATCTTAATGACATTAGGCCAACAAGATTAATTGGAACAGAATATGTATGCCTTGGTTTACATACTGTCAATAATATAGGCTCACATGAAGTATTTTTTAGATAACCAGAAGATGAATCAATTTCAGCAGGAGTAGATGATAATTTGGGTAGAATTTCTAAACCTATTTTAATACTTTGATTTAAGTCATTAGTAATAGTTAAACCAGATCTTAAGTAGATTATATATTGTCCATTTTTATCAAGTATTATATCAATAATTAGACGATTACATACAGGTAAATTATACTTCCAACATTCACCATGTTCATTTTTTAGTGTTTCCTATAACCAAATCAAAAGTAAGAAAAAATCAATAAAATTTTATCATATTTAAAGAAAAAACAGAGAGAACAGTTGTATCAATATGTATACTTTGTAGAGTCACTGAAATAAATAAATAACTGAACCTCAGTTAGTTCAAGGTAACATATACCTACTGTGTAAGGATTAATGATATTAATTGGCAATTGTGGGGTTCGAACCCATGACTCACTGGTTGAAAGTCATCTGCTTAGACCAATAAGCAATAAAGCTTAATTTTTCACATATAGGCCTATTGAAGAAATGTGAATAACCATGATAAAACACATATAGTCTCAACATAGTCTAAACATCACTGAATGTCATGGATAATTAGTTTGAATGTTTTTCTCTACAACAGATTTTCTCAATCTATTTTTATACCTCAAAACGTTTTCTATTTACATGCTTAACCCCGCATCCTGATAATGTGTACGTATATTCAGAAGTCTCGGGTTCGAATCCTGCGATGACCTTTAATTACCTTCCAGTACGTAATAAATGGCTAGTTGACCAATGTGAAACATGTAACTGCTTATACTTCAAGCTGACATATACGTCATAACAGATGTGTATGCTGGGGAAAAGGTAAAGAAAATGTGAAGAGTGCAGAAAGAATAGTTGGATACTTACGAATTCTGTATCAGTTAGACGTTCCAGTACACGATGAAAAGTCCCCAATCTATTGACTGTAATTGGATAAATTGGTTTCCAACCAGAAACTTGTACCACTAAACAAGTTGTCTGCAAAATATCTCCATCATCAATATCATGAATATCATTTTGTCTTGGATTAGATGGTAATTTATACGCAAATGATGAAATTTTCAGTGGTAAAGAAATATGCAAATCTTTGTCGAGTTCAATAAATTCATTGTCAATGCTTTCAGGTATCAATCTTAAAATATTATGTACGAATACAAGATAGATTTTTAGAAAATACAGAAAAAAAAGAGTTGAATTGCATAGAAAAATAACAAAATTATCATCATTTACGTTATTATTCACATTCTCCAACTATGAATTTCTCTCATCTGAATTTGAGCCCAGGTCTTTCAAGTTTCATTAACCATTCGGTCACTGGGTCAAACTTCAATGGCCACATTGTCCTACTTTTATCGATTCGAGACATAACTGCGTCATGAGTGTGTACTGATAAGAAGTCTGATATTAGATTGAAACAGTTCTCCAGTGCTCCCAAGTTTTCAATGGTCCTCCAATTGATGTCAGTCCGTAGGCGAAATACTACCTCAAAACAGTTATCCCTCGTCAAAATAATTACAATCGAATGCAAATTGTCAGAAGCAAGTGGTTATTCAGTTCGCATGAGTTTTATTATCATGCCATCGTCCAACGTATTCCCATTGGCTGCCTAGTCAGGAATTCACATCCCAATCCGAAACAAACTAAATTAGAGAGGGGAAGAATCATATTGATTATCAATTTTACTACCTCAGATAGCTGGGCGACCAGTGTGTATACGTTGACCAGATGGCCATGCATCACGAATTCATTTGTCAGTCGAGTCATACCCTTAGTAACTGAAGTGAAATTAGGATATGATCATCAGTTGGGTCTCGTAGCACAGTTCGTAGAGAACCTAGCTAGTAATACTGAGGCCGTTGATTCGAATCCACCGTGAGGTAGTTTTTCATTTCACCTCCAGTCATCAACCAGTATCAACATACCAGTCAGTAAGTTTCTGAAGAGTAACCTTTTCATCTTCAGAACAGAACATTCATATTAGAACGACTGATTTATCAACAATAAAAAAATGTTTATATGTTCTATTAGTTAGATAAAATTAGATACAGGAAACAAACTAGTCAATAAATCACACTTACATCTCAGGTTTCAATAAGCTACTCATATGATGATCAGTTAACATTTTAAACCGTACACTTGTTCCAGTTTGATTAATTAAAACAAATGAACCAGTATTTCTTTTTATCGTCAAGGAAGAACTTGTTGGCATGCTACCATTTCATTATGAGGATGAGATTGTCGTTTCTGTTCAACAGGATTCAATATACGACGAAATAGTTGGATGAATGGAACTGTCAGATTTAACTTTAAACATTGTTGAGCTGGAAGCAAAAAAAAATTGATGAAAAAGGGATAAACATTGACTGAAAAGTTATCAATAGTTTGATTGGAAAAGATAGATTAGACAAGAGTTATATTGCACTTGTGTGGAATGTTCTTCGTTGGTTTTGTCTATCTGTCTGTTATCTAACTTTATCTTTGACTAGAATAAATCAATTTTTTCCCCTTTCCTTTTGGATATCAAAGAGGCATTTACACAGAATGTCACCTTAGAGAAACGAATAGTTTTACAGTACTGAAATTTAAGCATAGAGAAACATTGAGAAATTACTAAACTGGATTCAAAAATATAAGACGCCAAACCATCTTGATTACTAATCATAAGGTAAATGTACTCTAGCAAAGAATGATGTGAAACATTGGGAGGAGGTTGGGCATATATGTTACCATCATGTAACCGAATGTTGCAGTTTGAGCTACCACATCATCAGCCTCGGTAAATTCTATAGGGAAATACTTGATATACAAAGGACTACTCTAATTTTACGTTTGTCCACCATGTTTCCTTTTTGTTGTTCAGCTGTGGTTATGTGTAGCAACGATACAATATCATGGTATTTCAAGAGTAGTTGAAGACCAATTGATAAGTACAAGGTATATCATCGCAGTCACAGAGATAGTTCATGAAAAATATACATGTGAGCAATGTTGAGGTTAGGTTAAGGATAGTAAGACAGACAAGTCGATTGATGAAGTAGTGAACCTTCATTGACTGAGATGGTCTGAACATGGACCGCGCATAACGAGTCACCTCCTTCATTAACGTGTCATGCTAGGAAAAGCTGGATTATGTCGGAAGAGGGTTCAGGGTGACCAAGAAAAGACATGGTACCAGTCGATGAAGTCCATGACTGTTGGTTTCAGTCGTGTACGGCATTGTAAACAGCCAGGATAAGGTCCCTGAGATGACAGAAATCAGTCGTTGAGGACTGTTGGTGAAAATAGGTCACAATGGTGTAGATATACTTACTCTTTGACGGCTTCTAAAGCCCGAATATTCGCACTGACTGTTATCTTCAAATTCTTTATTCTCTCATACACTTACCTACTTGGTTAATCAGTCTCTTTCTATCCACTTCTTTGTAAGTTGCTTTCATGTGTGGTAACCTGAGATGATGCATTTGTTTGCGAGGTTGTGTTGATTATGTTTATCTATCTATCTGGAGAAAATAGGATGTTCTGCACAGTTAAGAAATATTTTGGTGATTGTCATGTTGTGGTAATTTGCTTGGTTTTAGTGAGCAGAAGAATCCAGGACGCACGTCAGCTGGATGTACCTGCACTTCAGTGAGTGATATTGTTTCCACTGACACTCGAACCATCGCTTTAAACGCCGAGGTGTTATCCACTATACCACAGAGGCACGACAGCCACTTCTTGTGCAACAGGTATTAGTTATTACTATATACTGATATACTAGTAATTCTTCGTTGTCTTATTGGATCGAATTGTTCGACCTCTGTTGGCATATTGGTTCGCATGCGGATGTCTCGATATTGCTTGAATGTTAATTAGAGGTAGAACAATTTGATCCAATGAAAAACAACGGAGAATTACAAGTATATTCATAAATAGTAATGATTGTCATGTTAATTATTAAAGAAATTTACGTAGAAGCTATTTCATAACACTACTAGTGTTACTCCTCGTTGCGAACATGCTTTTTTTTGCACAGATGCAAGAGCTGTGCAAATCAAGCATGAATTGCTAGCAGAAGGGTTGAGAATATTTCGTCTTGCTGTCAACTCATTGAGTCATTCATAAGAGTAAGTAACCGACGTCAACTATAAAAAAAAGAGAGGATATTTGAACACTCAGAGCCTACAAAGTAAGTGATTTTAAAGGACACCCTACCAACTACTAAAATATTTACTCATATTTCTTTATTTCCCGATCAAAAAACCTTATTTTCGCAATTAGAAGTATTATGATTCACGTCGAACATTTTGATATTATGACTTACTATTCCTCTCAGTAGCCATCTGTAATCCATGCCCAGGTAAAGAGTGATATTTACTGCATGACAGTAATGATAAACGTTTACTGTGCTAATTTCGGTAGGCAGAGCCGGATTGACTGTTTACATCTATGAGTCAAAGCTTCTTATGGTTTGATCGTTTGCGATGAAGTGACCAATCGTTGATAGCATTGAGTTTCTGTACCAATGTTTCAATACACTTGGTAATTTCATTTTGATAGTAATTATGAATAGTAATAAACAGTGAGATTTAAGATGCAGGTTTACTCCTGGTTGGAATTTTTCAGTTTGAGAGTCGAAGGGAAATACAAAGATACACTAAGTTGACAAGTTCTAGATAGCACGAAACATGGACCTCAGATTTTACGGTTTAACTTAACCAGGCGTTAAAATAATTAAACGAATCAAAAAACACGCTCAGGAATCTTGTACATATTCATACAATAGACAATGAATCACACCTATTGTGTAAAAGCTAATGATACTACCTACCTCCTCAAATTTAGGCAGGTACATTAAATAACTAACTGACAAATAATTTACATAAGGAAAACAGAAATTTGATTGTAATGTAACACTTACAAGTGCAATGCAGTGATATTGTTCTACTGAAATCTTGTTCCAATTTTTCAGCCCAATTTAAAGAACAGCTTTAAACAGAAGTTATAAAAAAAAGTCATTCATTTAATTATTTAATTAATCATTAATTATTTAATTAATTTGTCGTAATTATACGACAACAATTATGAAAAAATTAAACCTGTACGAGTTACAGTATTAATATAAGTGTAAAACTTGGGCACTGTGGTAGAATGTAATTCCATACTAGATTTGTTGATTTGATTTATAACACACAGTGGTACAATATTATTTACTTGATGACCCCATTTCAAGCATATACTATTCCTCATAATCATATCTAATTATATTGAACGTAAGTACAATGATGTTATCCCACTCACCCTATTGCGTGATTGTGTGTCTTAATACATCCATTACAATAACCGAGTACTTCTCTCGATTATTGATCTAATTGAGGTCTGTCATTCTATATTTAGCTAAATTCCTATGTTCGGCCATTTTAAACGACCCTGACCAGCTAGTTTCACCTATGTTCTTCACCTGACTCACAGTCATTACATGGAATTTTGTTGAACTGATTCTGCCGAATCCTTAAGCCAGCTGACAAAGCTTATCTGTGACTGAGTTTGTAGGTTTAAATGTCACCCTAATTCCAGAGGACTAAGATATCGGTTGATGAAGTCAAATAAGGTGTACAGTTGTGCTTCACCTCCATAGTTCTCAAGTTTCAGGATAAATTATACAGAAAAATAGAAGTAGTAATAACAGTGGGATCGCCAATGTCTTCAATCGTAGCAGATATATTTTTAAGGATAGTTAGGAAAACATGACTTTACAAAGGTTGAATCCTGCACCTAAGATATGGTGGGAATATGTGGATGACACATTTACTGGGTTGGAATCAGAAGGATTTCAGGACAATTTCCTCACGTATATAAACTCAGTAGTAGACGCAATCCAATTCACTTATGAGGAGGTAGAAAATGAACAAGGAGAATCACCTATGTTGGATTGCAGGATAAAACGAAGAATAGACGGTAGTTTGGATACTGTCATCTACAGAAAACCGACACATTCCAACAGGTGTCTAGACTACTTCAAGTCATCTCATCCAGTCCAGTCAATGTCATTAAAGGCAGGTTTAGTCAAATGTCTAAGTGATAGAGTTAGAAAACTGAGTAGTCAGTGCATGGACCTTAACAAGGAATTGAAGCATATAGAAGAAGCGTTAATAATTAACAATTATGCTCTACCGTTAGATAAGAAATTCGTCGGAACATACAAGAGATGAAATGATAACAGTAACATGAGTAGTAAGGAGTTCACAGCCTCCATTGTGTTACCCAATAAGGAAGGATATCAAAATTTACATAGAATCCTCAACGAAACTGGAATTAAGGTGGCATTTAAACCTACAAACTCATTCCGACACAAATTTTATCAGCTGGCTTAAGGATCCGATAGAACCAATTCAGCAAAATAATCTAATCTATCAAATTCCATGTAATGACTGTGAGTCAGGTCGAGAACATAGGTCAAACTAGAATGACAGACTTCAATTAGATCAATGATCAAGAGAAGCACTGGGTTGTTGCAATGGATGTATTAACACACAAGTACCCAATAAGTTGGGTGGGATTGAACCACTGTGCTCAAATCCAATATAATTAGGTGGAGAGAGACATTGGTTAATGAATCAACACCCAACACATGTAAAGCTAATGATGTAACACTCATAACAGAGATATGGGAAATTTTACTACCAATAAAAACAAGGAATATGAGGTAGGTAGGTGGGTGACAGGGCTATAAAAATCAGATGTGGAAAGTTGTGTGATTACATTGATATGATTATGAGCAATGATAATTGATGTTCGAAACGTGGTCACCAAGTGGATAATACTATATCACTTACTTTGTGTGTTATAAATCGAATCGACTAATCTAATATGGGATTATATTTTGATCTATCTGGTTATTCTTTTGGTTGATTGGTTTAGGAAGAGAACTTCCAAGCATTATGTCACGGGTACGAACTCCTCTCCACCTATCGAGGTTTGAGCAGCCAACCCTTAAACAACATGTGTGACTCACTCCTTGCCCCATGAATGCTTACAATGTTACTAAGTCCATTTTTTCACTTAATATACATTTAGAAGAATATATATATTGAAAACTTTTATTGACTGAAAAGCGGGTGAGGCTAAAAGTTATTCTCATATGTTACCGTGTTTGTTATAAGATATGGCATTCTGTGAGCACAATCACGCATTTTGTACATCCCGTATGCTTATTTTACCTATTTTTATAGTTTCTGAAGCCCCCTGTGTCACTGAATAATGTTTCATGCCGTTTATTCATTTGCAAATTATTAGTTACACTTCTACCTCATAGTTGCGATGTAAATACATTTATTTATGAAGAATGATGCTCATAAATGAAAAGAAGTCAACTCAGTCTTTAAACTTTAGCAAAAAGGTATTACGATTGAAGTTTTCACTTGAAAAATATATGCCTACGAACACAGAAAATACTTATTTTCACATAGAATACTACAACATCTGGGGATAACTTTTAGTCCCACCCCTGAAAAGCATTTTGGATAACTCAACATCGCTTAATGACTTTAAAGAACGATAAAATTTTATTATTCTGGAAGGAAAAAAAAGAATTTTGTATATTTCTGATACAACCTTGTCAAACTTTACTGTTCATTTCATATTGTGTTGATTTCATGTCCAGTTTGAAAACCATACAATAGATTGGGTGGGATAAAACCACTATACTTAAGTCCAATATAATTTGATGGAGAGAGATTGATTACTTAATTTACGTTCATCGAATCAACATGCAACACATGCAATAGAAATGACGCAACATCTATACCAGCGAATTTTAAAACTTTACTACTGATGAAAACATGTAATATGAGGTGACAGAGCTATAAAAATCAGATGTCGAGAGTTGTGTGATTACTCAGTTTGATATAATTATGAGGAATGATAATTGATGCTGGAAACGTGGTCATCCAGTAAATAATGACGAATCACTGACTGTGTGTTATAAATCAAATCAACAAATGTAATCTAATATAGTATGACTATTTACTGATATACTTGTACTCCTCTGTTGTTATACTGGATCTAATTGTTTGACCTCTGTTGACATATGGGCTCCTATGCAGATGCCGCAATATTGCCTGAATATTTTTAATGTGCTGGGTTTATTTAGTTGTCGGTAGCAGAAGAATCCAGGACGCGCGTTTCAGCCCATTTAGGACTTGTCAGCTGGATATGTCTAGTGGATAACCCTTTAACGTTTGTAGCGATGGGTACGAGGTTCAAGTCCCAGTGGGGACATCACTCACTAGGCTGCGCGTACACCCAGCTGATGAGTCCCTAATAAGAGGAAATGCGCCTCCTGTATTTCACTGACAGCCACAACCAAGGAAAGCAAGTTATCATATGTTTTGAGAATGAGTGGGTTCCTAGTGGGACATACGGATTCAGTAGCACGTCTCCATCACACTCTCTTCTCTGCAATCTTTCATACCTGGCTCCACCACTGCCCACAAGCTCTTATTTCTTCCTCACACAATCCCCTTCATGTCACCCTCAGCACATACGCCCAACTCGTCGTTTCCCATCTGAGTTCCACTCGACAGCCTGGCCTGGCGCGTAATGTCCCCAAATGGTCTTGTCAGTGCATACCCAATCCATCTCCACTTTCTTCTGTATATTTGTTGAGTGATAGGTTGTTGGTTGATACGTTGGCCGACCAGAGTTACTTGTTGCTTATTCTTTCTCATACCCCAGATAGGTATATATAAATGATTGTCAGTTTGACTATTGGAGATTGATTCGCAGGCTTGTGTTATTGACAAGGCATGAAATGATAATTGGGGCCACATCAAGATTCAGAGCAGCGATCATTGAATTATTGGCCCGGTGCTCTATCAAATAAATTACAAGACCCGACTGCTCACCAGATCTTCACTTCAATCACAAAGAATATGACCCGACTCTCATATGAATTTGTGGTGCGTAACTCTCCGGTCAACGTATACAAACACTAGCTGCTCAGCAGAGTCCTCTTATCTCAATCTAAAACAACCTAAATAAGAAAGCGGGAGCATTAGATTGATCACCAGCTTGACTGTGAAATGTGAATTTGGGTTGCGGAAGGATTCGAAGCATAGGCCACTAGATAACTAACTCAGTGCTCTACCAACCAAGCTACCAGAGCCGACTGGTGACCAGATTAATAATTCTCATATAGAAACAAAAAGGGATCTAAGTAGTCAATACATTCGCCTACCTTAATGGTTCTAAGACAGGCTCCCATGCAACTAGATATTGATTGTAATAGAAGCATGATATTCCACTACAATGTAAATTCGCTTGTAAATCAGATTGTCTCCAAAACACTTTAACGCCTATACAATAATAACAAACAAAAAAGGAATTTTACACATGTAGATGTAAATATAAAAAAGGAGAAAAAAAAACACAGTGATTTATGTGTACAAACGAAATTGCGTACTACTACATCACAAATGAAAATGTTCAAGGAATAAGATGTACAAAAAACTATTAAATTACTTCGAGATGATAGACAGTTACAATTTACTGATTATTTCTTGAGACACCTATGCATTTGTAAAGAGAACTGAAAGAAATCGCTAACAATATTGCTAAAGAGAAGTGTTAGCCATTACAGACAAAAGAATCATACTACTTACCTTCAACGCATAGTTTTATTAATGGGATCTCTTCACTAGATACTGATAACTGAGTTGATGAAGGTGTAGCGAAGAGGTATAAGCATGATTCTACATTGAGCTGTTTAAATGAAGAGAAAAATAAGAAAACTGTATTACTGTTAACTTAGTAAACATATTTTTTAGTCCTTTGAAAATTCTCATTATAATTTAAAAGATAGTGTAAGGTTATGATTGAGTTCCTAGAGGCCTTTATGGAAGTGTTTCTCACTGAAAACTGTACCTAGTAAGCACTTCTGTATTGGAACATGTATGGGTGTGTAAAAGCCTATGGTGAGTTACCAGATGAATTGTGTACGTCAAGTGGTGTCCATCAAGGATATCTGCCTTCTCCAATCTTATTCACTTTTATCATAAACGTACTTATAAAGGTCTCTCTCTGTCATCATCCGACTTCATAGAGTTCAATTTTATCACAGGAGAATCCTTGGTAGGTCTAAGGTATGCAGATGACATAGTCCTGTTAGATGAAGACAGTGAAAATATGCAGAGTCTTTTGGGCAGTCATATTTCAGTGGCAATTTGAGAATTTTTGGAATGGGTTTTCTGACATCTAGATGCAAGTTATCGCTTCAGAAACGGTCTTCAAGAGTGCTCTGGCTAATAATAGAGAGTGAATTGGTCGATTGAATTGAACAATTAACTTACCAGGGAAATTGAGTTAGCTCTCGTGTGTTAGTAGTATGTAGTGCTAAAATTTACAGAAACGGTTTTACAGGTAAAACCACAGTGATATTCCATCTTTTTCTCATAAATTATACTAGGCTATAAAATTATGGATAATCTGTGTATAACTAGGGGAAAAAACGATGCAAATCAGAAAACACGTTCAAATTTGTGCAGTACGCAGTGAGCTACACCTTTTGTATGATGGTTAATGAAACTACTTTGCCATCTAGGCCTCAGATAAGAGGGACGAATGTTTCAAACAGTGATCCAACCAACCTAACGATAATATCCATTTCAGTCAATCATTACTCATTCCAACTCAAGATATACATCAAGTTGGTATTCATCATAAACTGACATCAATTGGAGAACCACTTAAAACCTGGTTAATTTCTCAGCAATGCGCACCAATGACATCGCCAGAGATCTAACTCAGGACTTTCAGGTTTCCCAGTGACCACGTTACCATTGAGTCCAATGATTTGCAAGTCGAATATGAGGACAAATATTTAACGACAGCATTAGATGAAGATGGTGCTATAATCGCGGATTAACAGTGTTACGAAAATAAAAACCGTTGGATTCCTACACAATAACACAATGGTAAGATTCTCGCCGCAAAACCTGAAAATCTTGAGTTTCTATTACTGCCACAGCGGTGTCATGGGTGTGCATTGCAGAGCAGTTTACTACCAGGACAAAACAACTATCCAACGCTCTCAAGTTTTCAATAGTTCTCTCATTGATATCACCAATTTGATGCCAATAAATCTCCACAAACCTCTGAATAGAAGATGAATATGATAAGTAACTGAAGAACTTACATCAAAACTCATTAATTGTTTTGAGATGTAATTGGCAAAAACTTTTGGCCAAAACGTTGATAACACTGATTTTTCAGTTGCATACGTTTTTGGTGCTTGTGGATCTAAGAACAAAAAAAAAATGGTAGTGTGAATGTCATAAACTAAATAATTAAGGTTATCTCTATTCATCAACGTTGTGTATCATCATAGAACAGCGAATAGAATGGAAGTCAATTCTCTACCTCAACTTCATTGACTTTGAAAACACCTTCGACAGCGTCGACCGAGAAGTAATTTGGCAGCTGTTTCAACACTACGATTTTAGTGCCACAAATCTTTATCAACTTCATTCAACAGCTATATGCTGTATGATGCTACATGCCATTGATTCACACTGAGTGATGCCTTTGAAGTGAAAAACAGGGAAGAGGAGTAAGACAAGGTTGCCTACTATCCATCAACGATCATCTTCCTGATTGTGTTGTGGTCGACTGACTGGACTGCATCATGCAACAGACAACTATGAGGAACGAGAAGATGGGCATACGCTGATTCGACCTATGAGAAGACCTCAGGAAAAGAAGATTCAGATTTGGCCAACGATGATGATTTATGTCTGGTGTCCTTTTGCACAAACTCGAAGATCTACAGGCAGAAAGTAACAGGTTGACAGAAGAGGTGGGGCAGGGAAGACGGGACTTCCTTCAGGTGCACAAAGGGAAGATAGAGGTGATGAAGATATCCAACCACCACCACCACCACACAATAACAACAAGCACCAATCAACATTAACAGGAGGAATCAAAAGGAAGTTGTGTCTTTCACCTACACATACCTAGCAGGGTAGCATCGTTTCAATTAAAGAGGGCGGCATAGATGAGGATGTGAAAGCCACGATCAGGAAGACAGGCATTCTTTTATTATTCTGAAATCAGTGTCGAGATCTACTCCATTCCACCGCAATGCACTCAGCGTAAAGCGTGAACAACATCACGATTTTCAACACCAAAGTCAGTCAAGTAACTCAGTGCTTCCATGTGGTGGTTCACAAACTCGGTGCCTTACGAAAATTATTTCCAACAAACTACAGACATATGTGATCAACAGCTGCCAACTACACTCACTCCATACTGACACTGAAAATCGATCAGATGGCCAGAATAATGAGAAGAATAAGCAACAAGGAACTGGCTCTGGCTGGCTAGCAACAAACCAACCAACCGGCAACCCATCACCCAAGAAGATGGATTGGATTGGACATACACTGAGAAGAGAGACGGTCTGGGGACACCATGTGTCAGGTTAGGCCCTCGAGTGGAGTGCAAAGGGGAAACGACGAGTTGGGCGTGTGTGGCGAGGGTGACATGGAGGGAGGAGATGGTGTGAGGAAGAAATGAAAGGTTGTGGGGAATCGTGGAGCCAGGCTGAAAAGACTTCAGATAAGAGAGTGAAATGGCGATATGTTGCTGAAGTCCTATGTTACACTAGGAACCCAAAGCGAAAATAATAATAATAAAGTTCCATTTATATTAACCATATTTGGATTATGCCCCACATATAGTTGAAATATCTTTGAGTTAAGATCATGTTTGAAAAAAGCGCAATTATTCACCTTCAGAGTTATTCAACTTTTATTTGTGAGTAATACTAGGAAGATGATAACCTGTTATAATAGATGTACAGTCTTTCCTATCGTCACTTTCAGTAATTAATTAGTATATATTCATATAATGGTCAAATTATTGGTGTTCCAGCAGCAGTCCTATGCCTTTCAGCAACTCAACGTTGTTGATTTAATTTCAATATATTGTGAAGTTGTATTGAAAACACAGTCAATCTAGAGTATAGCAAACACTTAAAGATTACTTTAGTTTTAATATGTGCTTCATTTTGTAAAGTGATTATAAGATAGTATCCGTTAAAACAATTACCATTGAAAGGTGGTTCCGAATTTTATCTTAGTCACTTAAGAAATCATTTTTTGAATATTTAGAGAATTAGACTGAATTGAATTGACCAATATCTGTTAGCAGATGAACTCTCATATGTATACCTTGATGCTCATCATATTATAGTTTACTCCTTCGCTAGCGATGGAATCCAGAATGTATGCATCTTCCTGTTTGGGACTCATCAGGCGAATGTGCGTGCATCTTAGTAAGTGGTAGACGAAACCTGGATTCCACCGCTAGCTAAGGAGTAAACCATACTATAATGCTTATCGAGGTATCTATATAGAAGACCAGAAGTAGAATAGTTCGGTCCAGCATAACAAGTACCAATAAATAGGAACTAATACTCGTTATACAAGAAGCTGCTGTTGTGCCTCAGTGGACAACACCTTGGAGTTTGAAGCGATGGGTACTGGAGTTTGAGTATCAGCGGGGACAAAACCATTTACTGGGTGCCGCTACATCTAGCCAAATAAGACGAAACGCACATTCTGAATTCAAACCGGTACATTATTTATTATAATTATTATTAGTCCCTTGGGTTCCTAGTGGAACATACGGATTCAGTAGCACACATCAATTCCACTCTCTTCTCTGCAATCCTTCATACCTAACTCCACCACTCCCACAATAACACAATCTCCTCCATGTCACCCTCGCCACACACGACCAACTCGTCGTTTCCCATATGGGTTTCACTCGAGTGCCTGGCCTGGCACGTAATGTCCCCAATCAGCCTTCTCAGTGCATCCCCATTCCATCTACACTTCCTTCCACCGCATATTTCTTCAGTGATGGCTTCCTGGTTGGTTCGTTGCCCAGCCACAGTTCCCTGCTGCTTATTCTTTCTGAACATCTGATCTTCAGTATCCAGCCAGTCTAGGTGGTTGTTGATGAATATCTGTAGTTTGTTGGAAATGCCTTTGGTAACACGCCAAGTCTCTCAATCATCAGATAGAAGCACTGAGTAACTTGACTGACATTGGTGTTGAAAATCCGAATCTTGTTCACGCTTTATCCTGAGTGTAGTGCAGAAGATCTCCAACTGAATTCAAACAGGTAGCCACCAAATAAACTATAACTTACTACGTTTATATTAAAGTTTCTTGACGTAATTGTGAATGTTCGGACATTGATATATATTGTTGACAAGTCCCAAACTACAATGATACGCCTATCCAGTGCACACAGGTTTCAAATGGTTCTTTAACTGATGACAGCTACTTTGAAATCAATCAAGCAATCCCTATAAACCATCAATCGAATTTTTTTCAATTATTTGTCAAAAAATATTTCAGATAAAATAGTTAACAAAGAAAATCCTACCTAAGGTTGTATCATGAACAGTCTGCCAATTGTCACAATTACTGCATTCTTTAATTTATCGTAAGAGGATTGTGATTTCCAATAGATCAATTTCAACTGATCAATAACATCTTTTATCAATTGAATATCAGAATATTTCGATGTAATGTGAACAGCAGGAGCGATTAAGAACATTTCTAGCTGTAAGTGCGATCGCTATTAAGTGAATCCACAAAAAAAAACACTAACTAGTATTAAACAGAAACAACAAGAAAAAATACGTAGAAAATAAAGCGACATATGAATGACTCGTCTCAGTTCTTTCTATGCGTTTAGTGGTTAGGGGGTGTACAACAACTTAACCATAAATGTAAAGAAATAACCTAAATCATTAACTCAGACAATGAGGTTTTAAACACTAAATCGTAAGTGCAAAGTCTTATTCGACCATTTCGATCTAACCAACTAGATAGTATCACAAACTATTTTATGTCAAGTATGACTTATAACATAGAAAATACTTAGTAGAAAGATTCCTTCAGATATCAAAGATAATCAGTATTAGGATGTGAAAAATCTTAGTCTGGACCTTACAGAATCTCCATGGAGTCGAAAATACCCTTCAACATTAGATCTTCCTTCAGAATATGCTGAGACAATGTTTTGGTCTGGTCTGTAACTACGGCTAGTTTACCGCTAGGAAGTGAAGTGGTAAAATGTATTCACCAATTTACCTACTTGGAGAGTCATGTTAACCTGACCACGACGATTGCTGGCGAAATCTCAGCTCAGATATAAGAGACCCGTCAGGCATTCGCCAACTTGTGTCATGTGTCGCCGACTGGTCATATATCCGATTACCTGTAAGAGGACGAGTATACTGCACTGTAGTCTGTTCTATCCTGTTATACGGTTGTGAGACAGCTGTTAAAAGTAGAAGATATGAAGCAGTTAAAAGTTTTCGATCGTAGATGTTAGCAATGTTGAAATCAGGCAAAGGGACTACTAAGCAAGATAGGGAAGTCAATCAATGAAGTTGTGAACCTTCATGGACTGAGATGACTTGGATATTCTCACTGCACATGCCGCACCACCACCTATCCCAAAGAGCCATGTCCAGCAAAGATGATTATTTCGGAAGAGGTTTTAGAGTGGCAAGACATAGTACCAATGAATGAATTCCCTGATTATTGGTCTAAGCCGAGTGAGGAGATGTAGACTACCTGGTTGGGGCTCATGAATGGTATGAATCAATGGTTGAGGACTGTTAGTGATATATTTGAAAATCGATCACAATGGTGCATATGTATTCATACTTTGATGCCTTCTGAAGCTTAATTATTCGCACTAATTATTGTCTTCAAATTGTTTATTCTCTAATACACTTTTACACATACTTTGATAATCATTTTCTATTCACTTGTTCGTTGCACGATACTGTGAAATGTGACTAGTTGAACGACCACCGGCTGGTTCGAATCCAACCGCGGTCCAAATTTTCATTTCACCTTCAATCATCACCCAGTATAAATACTAGTCCGCCAAACTACGACTATCTCAGATACTTAAATGATAATGGAAAGAATATACTCAAGACAATATCCAAATGTTCCTAAAATTGAAACAATCATTGTTGATTTCATAGACTTCAGGATCAAAATTTGTCCTAATGGAATTGGATAAGCTGAAGGTTGGGTAAGTGAATTAGAAAGGAAGTATGCTTCTAGAATATGAATAAGGTAGAAAAATAAATTTTTGAAGTTTCGTCACCGCATGGAAGCCACTTCTTCACAGAAGCCCGTACAAGTTCTCACATGTCTGAATATTAAGTTTGTAGTCATCCTTCTTGGCCAACATTTACTTCTTGGCGGAGTAAATATGGTGCACAAAATTACACAATTGCATAGATTCATGCTTGGTAAGGGTACGTTGTACAGAGGTGAAAAGAGAAACGTATGATTACACTTACTGTGATTATCCAATAATCTTAGCTTTTCAGGTTGGTATTTGTCATGAACTGGCATCAGTTGACGGTACATTGGAAACCACGGAGCACTGGACAGCTGATTTGTCCTGGTATGGGACTCCTCAACAATGCGCACCTATGACTCCACCAGGGATCGAACCCATGACCTACAGGTTCCGCGAACAGCACGTTATCACTAAGCCACTGGGTCGTAATTCATTGGTCCATATTTCCGACTTTTGTCAGTCCATGACATAGCGCGACCGCCACCCAATGTCATCGTTGAACATTTTTCCTCACAGCCACTAGGTTTGTCCCACTGGTCACAACTTTTCACTGGAACTTCGGGAACAACCTCTCGAAGCTAGTCACTAATGACAACTAGTTCAATTGAATTTGAGGGGTTTATGGGAATTTAGAGAAGTTGGAAATATGGATCATTGGATTCGAACCCAATGACTCAATGGCAACGTGCTGGTCACGGAACCCCAAGGCCCTAGGCTCGATCCCTGGTGGGTCATGGGTGGGCACCGCTGGAGAGTTCCATAACAAGACGAAACAGCTGTCTATTGCTTCCAGGCTCATGATAACTACCAACCTGAAATCAATGAATAAATCTCTACAAACCTCCAGATTGAATCTTGCCTTTGTACATAACCAATAACGTCAAAACACATGTCATAGGCCTATTAAACCTACAATTACTATTCAGAATCAGTCTTTCAGAGCATACTGAAGTGTTATTTACGGAGGAAAGATTCTGACCTTACTAATAACCTTGTCCAGTAGACTAAATATATTTACCAATAAGGATAATAATTATATGCATAAACAAGTGGACTGAACACTCCTAATTCAATTTAGTTTGGAGGCTTCTGGTATGGTAATGTGTTCACCATGAAATCTGATAGTACTGAGTTCAATTCCTGGTGAAACAAGGCGTTGAGTTCGATCTACTGAGGAGTCTTCATACTAGGATGAAATATCTGTACAATGCTACTAGTTTCACCAATTGATGTCAGTCTATGATGAATACCAAATTGTAATTCGACTGCGTTTATATATATATATATATATATATATATATATATATGTATATATATATACTAATTTTCATTCTATAAGATATATTCCTTCTTAATTATAAAGTCTATCAGTTAATCAGATTTATTTGAAAGGGGTATACAAAATTGATAAGAATAAATATTATTTTATAAACATACCGTATGATGTAAAAAGTTTCTTTGTTTAACAGGATAAGTAAAATTGAGATTATTATGTAACAGGGATAATTTCATTAAATCAAATACTGTTTTCTTGTTATTATTAAATATAGATGATAATTGTGAAGATGATGGTGATAATTCATCAATTGGTGAATGATATAGATTTGAAGAAAATTTTAATGGGCTTGAAATAATGAATATTGAATGGTAATCATGATATAAACGAAGATAATGTATATCAGCTTGAATTATATCACTCAATATACCAATTAGTGAATGTATAGAGGTTTGACGCGAAAAACAGGTACTTAACTAAAAAAAAAAGGAAAAATATAATGAATACCCAATTTAAAATTATTTCCTATCTTTGAGTAGCCCCCTCAGTAAGTTTAAATTATCTGTCATACTTTAAAAGTAACAGTGGACTAGGGCGTTGGTGATCAGAATGGATATAAGTAGTATATGTTGAGAGGGTAGAACAAACATAGGGAATTATCAGCACCAGATAAGGATTCTGCTCAGAGAAACGGAAGAAACAATACGAGTGTATTAGGAGCAAAACAAGATGGAAGCAGAAGACGAAATGAAGGACATTATGCAAATGACTACTGTACAACATGTCTATAATAAACATTCCTTCTTGCCTCTCCGAATGTAGAAAAGATAAGGTGATGAGATAACCAACCAACACTAACAACAACAACAACCTCCAATCAACACCAACGCGAGAAACTTAAAGGAAGTGGCCTATTTCATCTACCTAGGCAGTGAAACATCGTGTCAACCACAGGCAGCGGTGGTGGCACAGACGAGGATGGCAAAACCAGAATCAGCAAGACAACAACACAGGCTTTCATCAACCTGAAATCAGTGTGGACATCTTCTGCACTACACTCCACTCAGCATAAAGCGTGAACAACATCCGGATTTTCAACACCAATGTCAGTCAAGTAACTCAGTGCTTCTATGTGATGATTGAGAGACTTGGCGTGTTACCAAAGGCATTTCCAACAAACTACAGATATTCATCAACAACCACCTAGACTGGCTCGATACTGAAGATCAGATGTTCAGAAAGAATAAGCAGCAGGGAACTCTGGCTGGGCAACGAACCAACCAGGAAGCCATCACTGAAGAAATATGCGGTGGAAGGAAGTGTAGATGGAATGAGGGTTCACTGAGAAGGCCGATTGGGGACATTACGTGCCAGGCCAGGCACTCGAGTGGAACCCATATGGGCAACGACGAGTTGGTCGTGTGTGACGAGGGTGACATGGAGGAGATTGTGTGATTGTGGGGAGTGGTGGAGCCAGGTATGAAAGATTGCAGAGAAGAGAGTGTGATGGAGACGTGGTAGTGAACCCCTATGTTCCACTAGGAACCCAAGGGACAAATAATAAAATAATAATAATTTTGCCTCTCCGTCTTGTCGTTTCCTTCAATAGGAATTTCAGTTTAATTGTTTAAAGGTAAACGTCAGTAAAGTTGGCAGTAATTATTTAACATATGACTGTTTAATGTTATTCACTAATTATTAGTAGTTTCATCAGATGGTTGTATGTCAGTAGGTGGATGAAATCAGAAGTATGATTATATGTTTTACAACCCGACAGCTAGCCAAAAACTTACTTCTCACTCCCTAAACCCTATTTACTTAATTCCAAATAGGTTAACGGTATTTGTCAAACTATAAAATCAGCAAACAAACAGCTGAAGAGTTTTCGTTTGAGAGCTAGTGTTAAAAAAATCCTTAATATAGAACGTTGTGCGCTAAGACACTTGATATCTAACTTCCAGAAAATGTTTATTGGATTTTACTTCCTAAGCTCTATATCACAAGTTTCAAAGAATATCTATGATGTAAACTGCTAAGGCATTGTGAAGATTTCAATTTCATACTGAGCTTCTGTCTACTAAAAATTAGCAAGTAGCCTCCTTGTTTCTGATTTGTCATTTCAAGGACGACAGAATTCTATCGTTCTATCCATACGGCTGCAAAACAAATAAATCATAGTAGCTAACAAACACAGGAACGTCTAGATGATCATTCAATGCAACAACCACTTAAACTAATGATGAAATGCTTTATACATGATTAACTGAGCAGTAACCAAGCTTACAGATATTGAGATGAATGGTCAACCAATGGCAGAATGATAAACCAATCTAAGCGCTTTGGGGTTAGTGTATTCTAATATGCATTATGCATTGAGTACGACGGCCTGCTCAGACGTTATGATCTTGTTGTGTTTGCTATAGTGACGAGTACTGTGTAAGGATCGATTAACTATAACCTAACAAGTACTAAAATAACCAAATGGTTTCCCAACTTTATGAAAAACTATCTTTCCACTCAAAATAACCCCATCTGATTGGTTATTTCAGCAGTTGTTGTGGTGGTCTTTAAGGTTAGTTGTTAGGATCGGTTTTGAATGAATTAACCGGCAACATAGAATGGGGACTCAACGTTGTAAGATTGAAAACGAAACAAATTATAGTAATACACTAACAAAAGGAGCCCTGGGAAACTAGTCAACAATTAGCAACAAACTAAGGTTATGACAGTAATGTCACATTTATTGGTTTTAGACTACATTATCCAAGATTTCTCTTTACCATACTTTAACGACATGGTTCATACTAACCAAAGCAGTAATCAATATTTTAAGTTATTGGTGATCGAGATAGAGTTATCTATGCTCTATTCCGGATTACTTTAGTCGAAGAAATTTATATTGGAATGAACCAATCAGAAAAACATATCAAGTATTCTTCTTTGGGTATTTCTATGCATATGAAAATAGGATAGAAATATTGTGGACTTTATAACTTTTTGTTGATTTACTTGTAATTCTCCGTTGTTTTGCTGGATGGATTGTTTGAACTCGATTGTCATATGGGCTTCTATGCGGATCCTCCAATATTGCCTCAATACTTATTATGATAATTTACTTGGTTGTAGCTAGTAAAAGGATCCAAGCACAGGTACATCCAGCTGACAAGTCCCAAATAGGGTGAAACGTGAGTCCTGGATTCTTCTGCTAATCACAACCAAGTAAATTACCGTAATTGTGAACTTTAGTCTGAGAAAAGTCGTTCTTACAATCGCTACCTGGTGTCTGATAAAATTTTCGCCACTCAGTGAAGTATATGATACTGAAAGGAACAGTCAATATTCATATACAATATGAGTATATTCATGTATTCAGTATCCAGATGCCCAGCCCTCGGTAGGTGCAGCGGGTGTTCGAACTTCTGACCTACTTATTTGAAGGTCACCTCGTTAAATCAATGAATTACAAGTTAAAAGTTGAAGTCCAAATATAATTATGATTAAATTAAAAAATAGATTTACTTTAAGTAATAAACTCATATTTCCATGAGGTATGCAAACTTCACTATCTTCTATGCATATATGTAAATATGTATGTTGTATATCCGTAGAAGATAAACCAAATTTGGATTTATGAACACGATTATTATAATCATTAGATCCATTAAAACATATTTGAGATTTGGAAACAGATCGTGTAGAATAAAACTCTCCAGAATTATAATCAACAGATGATAAAGTAGGTCTGTAATATATTACAAAAAAAGAATATTTTGCAAAAATATCAATCCATAAGCAGGCAATAACTATATGAATAAACGGTTCAAAAAGAAAACAAAATGGAAGGAAACTTGCACCTAAGACGCAGGGGTTTTATTCTTTGAAGAAACAACTTCCACAAGGCTGTGAAATGTTAGAAATTCATTTTTCTACCTTCATTGAATTTTACACATATATTTCTACCTTTCCATCAAAGTAAAACTCAAGAGTTATAAAGGAAACTGAAGAAAAACAATGACTTAGAGCTTTCTATAAGACAGCTAAAACTCTTAGGAATACTTTTGTTCACCTAAAAGATGAGACTCCTTTCACCTTTATACAGAATTATGTCTACAGATTAGGTTATGTTGATTATGATGTCTACTATATTCAAGAATCATCTCATGAGATCTTCATTCAAGCAAAAGAACATCCAAATTACACAAAACAACCACTGAATTAGTGATGCGTAACTCTCTGGTCAACGTATACACACACACACACACTAGCTGCTCAGCAGAATCCTCTTATCTTAATCCAAATAACCTGAATAAGAAAGCGGGAGCAACATATTCATCACCAGCTTGACTGTGAAATGCTAACTAGAGGATTTACGAATCAAATCCATAAAATTGATAATGAAAAGATTTTTTAAACTATAATGAAAGACGGATAGTTGAAGCATTTCACATCATGTTGAATTCTAAGGCAGTTAAAAGGAAAAGAAAGTATAACTATTCAATTACCAACTTGAAAAGTATATTCAAAATAACACGTTGTACACGTTAATCAAACATACATATAAACAAAAAGAATTTCGGTAATTTCCTCGGTTGTGGCTAGCAGAGGAATCTAGGATGAAGGTTTTATCCTATATATGACGCATCAGTTGGATGTACCTGAACCCCAATGAAGGGTATTGTTCCCACTGAGACTCAAACCTCGAGGTCGGACAATTAGATTGAATAAAACAACGCAGAATTACAAGCGTATCAACAAATAGCAAAGTGAATTTCTAATCTATGTTATGTTTTTCACATCTTCAGACCCATTCACATGTGTACGCATTTATAGACTAATAAATGATAATGATGACATTTATTCCAATATTATTATCGTGTATGAAGAACGTGATTTGATTTAACGTCATTTCCTACTATAAAAATGTGATAACTCGCACAATTTCAATTTTCTGAAGAAGCGGCTCCCATGAAATCACGAAATATCAGAAGTTTATTTTTCTACCTTGTTGTCATGTCACGAATATATTTCCCTTAATAGTCCGCTTAACCAACAAGTTGGAAAAATACGCGAGGCAGGAAAGACGGTACTACTTTCAGGTGAACGTAGAGAAGACAAAAGTGATGAAGATATCCGACCAAAAACAACAACATCAACCGCCATCAATGGGAGAAATCTAAAGGAAGTAGTCTCCGCCTACCTAAACAGCATCGTATCAACCAGAGGCGGCGCGAGCGGCATAGATGACGATGTCAAAGCCAGGATCAAAAAAGCGAGACAGGTCTTCATTAACCTGAAATCAGTATGGAGATCTACTGCACTCTATTCCACTCAGCATAAAGGGTGAATAAGATCCCGATTTTACAATGAATTCAGTCAGGTAACTCAGTGCTTCCATGTGATAATTCACAGACTCGGCAAGTTACGAAAAGTATTTCCAACAACAGCTGCCACCTACACTCACTCCATACTGACACTGAAAATCGATCAGATGGCCAGAATAATAACAAGAAGAATAAGCAACAAGGAACTCTGGCTGGCTAGCAACAAACCAACCGATCACGAACCCATCACCCAAGACGATGGATTGGATTGGACATACACTGAGAAGAGAGACGGTCTGGGGACACCATGCGTCAGGTTAGGCCCTCGAGTGGAGTGCAAAGGGGAAACGACGAGTTGGGCGTGTGTGGCAAGGGTGACATGGAGGGAGGAGATGGTGTGAGGAAGAAATGAAAGGTTGTGGGGAATCGTGGAGCCAGGCTGAAAAGACTTCAGATAAGAGAGTGAAATGGCGATGTGTTGCTGAAGTCCTATGTTACACTAGGAACCCAAAGCGAAAATAATAATAATAAAGTTCCATTTATATTAACCATATTTGGATTATGCCCCACATATAGCTGAAATATCTTTGAGTTAAGATCATGTTTGAAAAAAGCGCAATTATTCACCTTCAGAGTTATTCAACTTTTATTTGTCGAGTAATACTAGGAAGATGATAACCTGTTATAATAGATGTACAGTCTTTCCTATCGTCACTCTCAGTAATTAATTAGTATATATTCATATAATGGTCAAATTATTGGTGTTCCAGCAGCAGTCCTATGCCTTTCAGCAACTCAACGTTGTTGATTTAATTTCAATATATTGTGAAGTTGTATTGAAAACACAGTCAATCTAGAGTATACCAAACACTTAAAGATTACTTTAGTTTTAATATGTGCTTCATTTTGTAAAGTGATTATAAGATAGTATCCGTTAAAACAATTACCATTGAAAGGTGGTTCCGAATTTTATCTTAGTCACTTAAGAAATCATTTTTTGAATATTTAGAGAATTAGACTGAATTGAATTGACCAATCTCTGTTAGCAGATGAACTCTCATATGTATACCTTGATGCACATCATATTATAGTTTACTCCTTCGTTGGCGATGGAATCCAGAATGTATGCATCTTCCTGTTTGGGACTCATCAGGCGAATGTGCGTGCATCTTAGTAAGTGGTAGACGAAACCTGGATTCCACCGCTAGCTAAGGAGTAAACCATACTATAATGCTTATCGAGGTATCTATATAGAAGACCAGAAGTAGAATAGTTCGGTCCAGCATAACAAGTACCAATAAATAGGAACTAATACTCGTTATACAAGAAGCTGCTGTTGTGCCTCAGTGGACAACACCTTGGAGTTTGAAGCGATGGGTACTGGAGTTTGAGTATCAGCGGGGACAAAACCATTTACTGAGGTGCCGCTACATCTAGCCAAATAAGACGAAACGCACATTCTGAATTCAAACCGGTACATTATTTATTATAATTATTATTAGTCCCTTGGGTTCCTAGTGGAACATACGGATTCAGTAGCACACATCAATTCCACTCTCTTCTCTGCAATCCTTCATACCTGGCTCCACCACTCCCCACAATCACACAATCTCCTCCATGTCACCCTCGCCACACACGACCAACTCGTCGTTTCCCATATGGGTTTCAGTCGACAGCCTGGCCTGGCACGTAATGTCCCAATCGGCCTTCTCAGTGCATCCCCATTCCATCTACACTTCCTTCCACCGCATATTTCTTCAGTGATGGCTTCCTGGTTGGTTCGTTGCCCAGCCAGAGTTCCCTGCTGCTTATTCTTTCTGAACATCTGATCTTCAGTATCGAGCCAGTCTAGGTGGTTGTTGATGAATATCTGTAGTTTGTTGGAAATGCCTTTGGTAACACGCCAAGTCTCTCAATCATCAGATAGAAGCACTGAGTTACTTGACTGACATTGGTGTTGAAAATCCGGGTGTTGTTCACGCTTTATGCTGAGTGGAGTGTAGTGCAGAAGATGTCCACACTGATTTCAGGTTGATAAAAGCCTGTCTTGTTGTCTTGTTGATTCTGGTTTTGCCATCCTCGTCTGTGCCACCACCGCTGCCTGTAGTTGAAACGATGTTTCACTGTCTAGGTAGATGAAATAGGCCACTTGCTTTAAGTTTCTCGCATTGGTGTTGATTGGAGGTTGTTGTTGGTGGTGGCGGTGTTAGTGTTGGTTGGATATCTTCGTCACTTCTGTCTCCCCTATGTTCACCTGAAGGAAGTCCCGTCTCCACCGCCCCACCTATACCGTCAACTTGTTACTTTTCACCTGTAGATCTTTGAGTTTGTGTAAGAAGACATTAGACATAAATCATCATCGTTGGTAAAATCGAAATTTTCTAGGGTCTTCTCATCGGTCCAGTCAGCGTATGCCCATCTTCTCGCTCCTCATGGTTTCCCGCGTGATCCAGTCCACCACAATCAGGAAGATCATAGATGATAGTAGACAGCCTTGTTTTACTCTTATCTTCACTTCAAAGGCATCACTGAGCTGTTCATTGATGGTCACTCGGCATGTGGCGTCTTCATAAAGCTGTCGAATGTGGTTGATAAAGATTTGTGGCACTAAAATCGTAGTGTTGAAACAGCTGCCAAATCACTTCTTGGTTGACGCTGTCGAAGGCCTTTTCAAAATCGACGAAGTTGAGGTAGAGAGTTGACTGCCACTCTATGCTGTGTGCATGATGATGCGTAGCGTAGTGTTGCAATTTGGTCTGCACATGATTGGTTCTTCCTGTAGCCAGCCAGCTTGTTTTCGTCATAATTTTGAATCCAGCGCATCCTTTAGTCTCTCCAAAATGATGCGGCTAAACATTTTGTATGCTACGGGTGGACAGGAGCATAATTCCACTCCAGTTCTTAGGTCGCCCTTCTTCGAATCGGCAGGTACCACTCCTTCCTTCCTTCCTTCCAAACCTTTTGCAGTAGTGATGTGAGCATGTCCACTGTTGTCCCTGCGTCTGTCCTCAGTGCTTCTTGTGAGATTCCATCTGATCCTGCTGCTTTCCTGCATTTTAGTAGCTTCATGGCGTTCACGTCTTCGACTTTTGTTGGAGGGCCTGTGTTCACTGGTAGTTCTAAGAATGTGGGTGGTATTTCCGGACGATTTGCAGGTGGCGGTCGATTCAAGAGTTTGTTGAAGTGGTCTGCCCATCGCTTCCTTTGTTTCTCCCCTTTGGTAGCTAGTTTTCCTTCACTATCTTTCATTGGTTCCATCTCTTCCCAGATAGTAACTTGGTTACTTGATACAATGTTGTCAGGTCTCTCCTACCTGCAGCCTGTTCTGCTTCACTTGCCAGTGTGTCTTTGATTAAATCGACAGAACTTCTAAGCTATAAAAAGCTCATCTTTGAATGAATGTGCAGTTCTAAATGCCACTGCATTATAGCGATTCTAATGTGAAGTTAGTGATATTCCTTGCTTGTATAGCTAAACAACAGATGCCTTGAATTTCTTCTCAGACGTGTTACAATTCTTTTTCACATCTCTATATGTACCGTTTTTATGACTGCTTATGAACTTCTGAGTATATAAAAAAGAGACATTAGGAAGCGAAGAATTTTTGTGTGTAGCATTACGCTTTTTAAAGTATCAAACTAATATTTAGGACTTCATCAACTGTACACTAAATCTAACGAACGAGCTGACTGCAGATACATGGAAAAGCAAATCAAGTTAGAATAAATAAGGAATCTGGTATTACTGCATAAAGATCTAAGTCACAACAACTTATATCAGCACATCGAATTAGAAGCAACTGACGTGAAGGATTGAGAAATACGGCAGAAAGTAGTCAAAGTGATGGGAAATCATGAAAAGAAAACGAGAAGGAGCAAATGAATATTGAAATTTGGTATGCTTATTAAGTTTGAGGTAATGTGTAGATACACATATGTTAGAGAGATCGACTCTGAATGGTATCATCTAAAGTCTTCAACCAACGATTTCAGTTGTTGAGAATTGAAAAGGGGAAATCTAAATACCCTTACACAAATTAGGCCATGTCCTAGTTTGATCGCCTGTAACCTATTTCCAGCGTGAATCGATTTAAACTAAGATTAGGTAATCGATTAGATGGTGACTAGGCATGCGTAATTAAGGTCCCAGACGCCTCAGGCGATAAAGATTCATAAGTTCAAAAATGACTTTCCTCTTCCACCCAAAACTTTACACACGACAACCAGACAGGTCTTCAATTCGCCTGGCCTGTTCGAGATTGTTGTTTGCACGCTTCACTTAGGCACTTAGTGTTAAGCATTTACCCAAACGTGACAGTCATCCTCATCCCGAGTAAACCTGGCGTGAAATGAGGTCTGTTGTAAAGACAGAGTTAAAGACAATTAGTAACCTAAACCAGAAGGTTAGAGAACGTCACTGAATTTCCGCGACGTCATCCGAAATGATTGATGCGACACGACTGATTCCATTTGGCTATGACAACGACGGAGGAGGGAAGCAACTTAAACGTAAACTGACCAAGAGCCTTCGTTCGATCGCAAGCGATAGTGGGTAGCCAAAGCGTTATAGATGTATTAATGAACATAAACTTAGGTGCGTGTGACTTCATAGGGATTGATCTATTCTATGGAGGTCATCTGGTTGATTTGCAGTATGCAGATGATATTGTTCTGGTGGATGAAGCCAACAAAATGCAGGGTCTACTGAACGCGTTGAAAATAAAGCTGTGTATATTTCGCATGTGTCTCGTACGCTTCTAGTGTGTTCAATGATGCTTCAGGACTGAAGTACTCCCAGTTAAATGATAAGGAGTGAAGTAGTGGAATGTGCAGACCACTTCACTTCCTAAGGGAGTTGCATCAGCTCGAACACGGTGGTTTCTAACGAAACCTAAGGTCAGATACAGAAGGTCTGTTTAAGATTTGCTATCTATCAGGTGTTTGACAACATTCAGTATGCTATCGGACCCCACAATTCCAAGTGATGAATTTACCTCCACATCAGTTTGTCCACTGAAACAGTATAATTTGTATACTGAATACTGATTAAATCAGTTTAATTACTCAATAAAATAACATGAATTTATACACTACTACATTTAACCAAGCTATACTCTTTTATTATTCAACATTTCCCTATCGCATTACAAACACTTTGCATTTTCAAATTCCGTAATGAACAAATAGGAAAATCAAAGATGAAAAGTTTAAGGGGAATATAAAAAAATTCCATACTTCTAAAGTAGAAACAAAACACTCGAAGAGAAGCTAGAAAGGCAGAATTAGAACCTTACTGTTATCATACAATCGATAAGCAATGATGAGGTTAAACGAACAATACCAAAGAAGTCAGTCGATGAAGCTGTGAACTATCATTGATTGAGGTGGTTCAGATATGTATTGCTCATGCCAAATCACCGTTTACTATGTAATGTTAGCCATAAAAAAGATTCAGAGTAGCCATAAACAAACTTAGTAGTACATGAAGTCTTTGGCTGTTGGTTTGAGCCGTGTAAGAAGGTGTTTACTGACAGACTAGGGTCATTGAGGTAGTAGAAATCAATGGTTGGAGATTATTGATGTAATGGTTGAAGATCTATCACAATAGGGTAAATGTATTCATCCTGAAATCTTTTTCTGGTTAAATATCACTTTTTTCATCCTACTTGTTATCTACATGCTTCTGGAAAGTTTGACAATGGCAACTGATGAACTTTACCAGATTCTACGCTTATTCAATAAATAAAAATAATGAAAATGTATTAATATAATGTGACATTTGAAGCCTACCTTTCTGATGTGGATATACAAGGCATATTGATAATACCTGACGATAAAGGCGGTAATATAATGAATGAATTCAATCGCATTAACCATTCCCAATTCAGTAATAAATGTAGTTCAGTAGAAGAGAATATAAAAGCTGAATGATATAAAGAGTAATTTGAGCAAATGATAAGTTTTGATATTCTTTCTGACTCCTTGCTCGTCTTCTCTTCTTTCATAGCCTCTGTAGATGATCCAGTTTTTACACCTTGCAAAATGTAATGCGTATTTTCTTTATCTACAGAATATGAGAAGTATTTTAAAAATATAAAGATAATTAAAATTGAAGATTTGTGGGGATTTCTTTATTGATTTCAGGTTGGTACTCATCATGGATTGACAACATTTAGGGAACCATTGGAAACCTGGAAGTACTGGATAGTTGTTTCGTTTCAGTATAAGGCTCCTCAGTAGTACGCCTTCATGATCATGTCACATCTCCTCAGGGATCGAACCAAGGACCACGGTCAGCACCGTATTACCGAGTCTTTGAGTTGAAAACCAGTGGTTTAATGACAACATGTTGAATGTAGAACCTGACTGTCCTGGCTTTGACTTCTGGTAGGGTGCGATTATGAGTGTGAGCCGCTGAGGAGCTGTCCAGTGCTTCCATTACCAATGTCAGTTCATGATAAATACCAATCTGAAATTTTCATAGTTTCTAAATTTTTCTCTGATCAATGGTTATCAGTGTTTTGAATGAAATAAACTAGTAAATACCAGTGTAAAGAGTAACAGAATGGTTTGATACAGCTATTCATCCAAAGAACAATAGAAACTAAAATCTATCACCCTGAGAATAACTGTATCATTCGATCTGGATACAAACTGATGGAGTAAATTTCGGTAATATAACAGAGGGGGGGAATTCTCGAGCAATGCCGGTAACAAAAGAGTGAAATGGTCAATAACTAGGCAGATAGTTTAACTGTTTTTATATGATACCGTCGTTGATTGCAACGAATTAGTAAATGGGCTCCTGTGCGGATGCCTCGATATTGCCAGCGTTCTAATTATGTTAATGATGGATCATGGCTAGCAGTGGAATCCAGGATGTGCATTTCATCCTATTTGGGACTCGTCAGCCCATATGCTAATAGAGACTGACCAATTCGGTCCAATCAACGACGGTATCATATAAAAACCCTCATACTAAAAACTATACCCGTCGCACAAGAAGTGGCTATCGTGGCTCGGTGGTGTAGTGGATAACGCGCTGGCATTTGAAGAGATGGCTCCCGAGTCCGAATCCCGGTGGGAACAACATCATTCACTGGGAAGCAGGTACATCTAGCTGACGAGTCCAAAATAATACGAAATGCGCATCCTGGATTCCGCTGCTAGCCACGATCCATCATTAACTAGGCAGATAGTCTTAAGACAATGAGACGGACTGATGCCTAAATAATGATGTTAATTAAGACACTGAATAAGTTAAACATATCTCAGAAAACATTCTAGGAAAGGTGACTGAAAAGTTGTACATAGTTGGATCAAGCCATGAATAGTGGCAGCAAAAAGTACTGTTCAAAATTTTCGAGGTGGTAATTATTATCAGAAAATCAAAGACATTTCGGTCCGAAAGTGCTTAAGAACCTGGGATCCTTAGTAATTTGACGCATAAAGAGAAAATTCGAGAGAAACTAGACATGTTTCATACATTATTGAGGGTGCATTGGTCAGAAATTCACCTGTATACAGGTTCCTTAAAACAAGCCAATCTATTGGTGCTCACCGCTACCTGCATTTCTTAATCTGAAAGAAACATTTAAATTCATTGGTTGGGATGTGTTATGTCAGTGTCCGATTGTGAAAGGAGTACTGGGAAAATATATAATAATAATGAACGTTCTCTACTCAAACTCACAAAACCGTTCCAGGGATTACGGAGTATTGGTGTCTACAAGGAAAACAACTAATGACGATCGTCAAAAACTTTCACATACATCATTCTTATATCACCTTATCAAAGACAAACTATGACGCTCCAAGAATAGATTGGTAGTCAGGAAGGCACAGGACAATCAGACAAAATCAACGTAGAACCTCAGACATAGGGTGCATCGGCTCAAGTTGCCACACTTCGCACAAGTACACAAAGAACAGATTGATAAGAAAAGAGTGATATCAAAGTAGATAAAAGTGTATGAGAGAATAAACAATTTGAAGATAAAGGTTAGTGAGAATATTCAAGCATTAGATGTCAAGGAGTGGATACATTCGCGCTATTCTGACAGACTTTCAGCCATGTCACCAAGAATCCTCAACCACTCTTTCCTTTCTTCTCAGGAACCCCAGTCAGGTAGTTTACATATCCTCATACCTCTCAAACCAACAGTCAGGGACTTCATCGACTGGGGCCGTATCTTAGCCTGTTCACTCTGAACCCTCTTGCAACCTAATCCAACTTTCCCTGAAATAGAACGTCTAGGTAGGCGGTGGTTCGGCATGCGCAGTACACGTGCAAGCCATCTCAGTCGACTAAGGTTCACAAGCTCACCAATCGACTTGCCTATCTCCATAGAGAAGCAATTCTTTGGCGGTTGACAAATGTTGATTAAATATTTCAAAATTTAGGAAATTATGATCACATGGTTTGTTTACTAAACAATTATTCGATTTAGTTGCGCTCAGTTTTCTTCTAGTGTTATGAAGTATGTTAAGTAAAACTGATGAGCTACTATGCAAGGTTATTAGCTTATATATTTCTAGCTGGCTGACTGATATATGAGTCCTTTAAGTGACCAAATCCTGCCAGTACAATCGCAAAACGACCTATCAGATTTTGAAGTTGTAAAGCTGCATGCTAGACGTGCACATTAACAGCCGAAGGTGAAGTGATTAAAGTCTGTTACATGCATTATCAATCCTTCGATCATTATTACGAAGTATTACTTGTAAGTTGCAGGTACTGGATGAATATTAGTAATCAGCTTCGTGAAGGCAAGCATTATGATTTACATTGTTTGTCCTTTGGGTTCCTGGTGGAACAAAAAACTTCAGTAGCATGTCGCCATTTCACTCTCTTATCTGCAGTCTTTTTAACCTGGCTCCACCAATGCCCACAAACTTTCATTTCTTCCTCACACAATCTCCTCCCTCCATGTCACCCTCGCCACACGCTCTTGGATTCCACTCGAGGGCCTAGCCTGACACATGGTGTCCCCAGACCGTCTCTCTTCTCAGTGTATGTCCAATCCAATCCATCTTCTTGGGTGATGGGTTCCCGGTTGGTTGGTTTGCTGCTAGCCAGCCAGCCAGGGAGCTTACCAGACTTCCTTGTTGCTTATTCTTATTATTATTATTCTGGCCATCAGATCGATTTTCAGTGTCAGTATGGAGTGAGTGTAGTTGGCAGCTGTTGATCACATATGTCTGTAGTTTGTTGGAAATACTTTTCGTAGTGTGCCAAGTCTGTGAACCATCACATGGAAGCACTGACTTACTTCACTGAATTAGTGTTGAAAATCCGGATCTTGTTTTCAGTACACTAGATCTCTACACTGAAGGGAAACATATCATCTGTATATATTGTTTATATGGTTTAATACAAGAAAACATCTGAACAGAAATCTTTAGGAGTGAGGTAACAGATTGGACAAAGAATCTTGAATGACCGCAAGCGTATAACACACATACACACACATACAACAGTGCGATTTTGTTAATTCACGTTGCATGCAGCATTTTATTATTTATTGAGTCCGCAGAAAAACTGAAATATGCTTTTGTTTAAAGTGAACCAGAAAAAAACTAAGCTTTTATCAATCCAATTTACCTGTATCACCCTGTGATTCCAGTAAATTTAAATCAAAACATTGAAGTTGAATTGTTGTACTCTGGTTAGAAAAGTATTCAAAAGATAGAAGAGCATCACAAAAGTCAATTACACCGAATTGGTTCGAACCACATCTATTGTTTTGATTGGTCACAGATGATGCTGAAGAATTCAGTAGGATAATTTGAATTGATTTTAAATAAATGTCAATAGCGAACTTTGTCCATCGATTATCTTCAGCAAATTGATTCTGAAAGGTATAATAACGTAAACATCTTTGAAGTATTCATAAACACATTGAATAGTAATGCTAGATAGTGGTTAGCAGTAGAATCCAGGATGTACGTTTCGTCCTCCTTAGGACTCGTCAGCCAGATACACTTGCAGCACAATGAGCAATGATGTTTCCACTAGGACTCGAACTCGCAGCCGATCGCTTCGTAGCGATTTTATGTTGTTGCTCGTACTATTGCGCCGTTGAGAGATTGATCAATTCGGTCCAACCAACAACGAGGTAATACAATGAACAACATATAAACACTGTAAATGTTTATTATTGTATATACTGAAGACCAAAATCTGTGAAAGTGCTTCATCTTACAAGGCTATGGAAAATAAAACAACGGAATCACATGAATAGTTGGGAACAAAGACTGATCTGTATATTCCGCTAGCCAGAATAAAGTGATGCACGTACTGGACGATCGTTCTATACATTTGCAGCCAAACTCATTGTCAGCGGTATATTTAACACATCCAAATCGTTCACACGAACTGAATCTGGCTGGCAGGCTTGGATGAGGAGGGAGACTTTAGATAGGTCCTTATCTTGCAAAAATATGAACAAATTCAGCACTTTACAATGGCTTTATTTCAGAACAAAGTTCTTTTCCAATTGTCTAACTGTGGCATCAACAGAGTTTCCTTTAAAAACCATCCAGAAAAGATCACAAAATATAGTCACTTTGTTGTTCAGTGATATATTCCGATGGATGTTAGTTGGTTGGAGGCAACTGAAAGGAAGCTCTAGACTTAGGCCTCGTGTTTGTTAGTACTCGTCAGAATGGCGTGTCTATAACACCGAGGAAACTGATGTCTCCTATGAGATTCAAACGAGAGTCACCCGTTGTTACAGTCAGAGGCGTCACCGCTGGCCCGAATAACTCAGTGGTAACGTCGCTGGCACGAGTCCGAATCTCAGAGAGGATATCAGTTCCCTCAATGTTATAGACACGCCTTGCTGGGGAGTACTAACAAGCACTAAACCTAGATCCAGAGCTTCCTGTAGATAGCCTCCAACTGACTAGCACCTATCAAAGTCCAACGTTGTGATGAGCCTTCCAGCTTGATGTCCACATTGCAAAATAATCAGTTAGCATTCAGTACTAGACAACATGAAATTAATTTCTCTCCAGTGACCAATCAATGTAGTGGTATATTTAGTTAGTTCATGACATTTGTGTGTCAGCAATCATATTTTATGAAATTAATCCGGTGATTTCCAATAGAAACCCTGTTGAAATCACAGTTGAACAGTTTTCTCAACTGCTCAGCTGTCGCAAATATAATAACAATCTATACTGTATGATATAACAATCGATAACAAAAACAGATAAGAGAAGCTAACTGGTTGAAAAAGTTTTGTGTACATACCGCTGTTACAGTACCAGATACTGTATATTCACCAAAGTTATGCGACAATACACCACGAATAGAACGATATGTATTAGGACTCATATACACTTGGCAATTGCTGAACCATCCAGTCAATTTCCAATCTGGTAGTATATATGGTTTTCCAGAGGTTAAATTACGCTCCAAAATTAAGTTTACACATTTGATAGGATCAAAAAGTGAGTAAGAACTGTTACATTGTGTTGTAGAAGTGAATCGATCAGTAGGAATAAATGAATAATCAGGAAAATGGATAACACCATCGAGGCCTAAATTATAAACATGTTTAAAAAAAAAGGGGAAAATTAAAACAAAGGTGAGAACATTACTATTAAGGTATTTAAGTGGTGAGTGACCTCATGTAAGACTGAATTAGGTACATAATTTGGTCACTAGAGAATAGCTAGGAAGTATCGTTTCAACTACAGGTTGCAGGGATCGGAAAAGCAAGACAGGTCTTCATTAACCTGAAATCAATGTGGAGATCTATTCCACTCCACTCCACTCCACTCCACTCAGCATAAAGCGTGAACAACATCACGATTTTCAACACCAACGTCAGTCAAGTAACTCAGTGCTTCCATGTGATGGTTCACAGACTTGGCACACTACGAAAAGTATTTCCAACAAACTACAGACATATGTGATCAACAGCTGCCAACTACACTCACTCCATACTGACACTGAAAATCAATCAGACGGCCAGAATAATAATACTAAGAATAAGCAACAAGGAAGTCTGGCAAGCTGGCTAGCAACAAACCAACCAACCGGGAACCCATCACCCAAGAAGATGGATTGGATTGGACATACACTGAGAAGAGAGACGGTCTGAGGATACCATGTGTCAGGTTAGGCCCTTGAGTGGAATCCAAGAGCGTGTGGCGAGGGTGACATGGAGGGAGGAGATTGTGTGAGGAAGGAATGAAAGTTTGTGGGCAGTGGTGGAGCCAGGTTGAAAAGACTTCAGAGAAGAGAGTGATGTTGTTCCCATTGCATAGGACGAACTATGCGTCTTAGAATCTACTGTTAGCCATAAACAAGTAGATTATGGCAATAAATATCCGACCAGTATTCAGGCATCTACATACGAGGCCATATGTCAGCAGAGGTCGGTCAGTTGGATCAAGAAGTAAAATAGAAGTTTGAGTTGTGCGATTTGGCTCAGATCTAAGGGTTATGAATGATATATGACCAGAGAATTGTTTTTTATCACCTCAGCAGATTCCATGTGACAGTCAAATTTCAATTTCTTCCCTTTTTATCTTCTTGACTGTTAACAATTGTAAAAACCACAAGGTTAAGTTCACCAGTCTGCAATGATTCCCTAAACAGTAACCATCATGTAGCATAGTCAACAAGAAAATCGGTTAAAAAACAACAAGAACAATCACAAAACAAAAATGAAAAATCGTACTCGGTTCGTTTATCATATCGTTGAAAGAGTCAACTCGTTCTGCACAATATAGTGAAAATCCATGAAGGTCGATAACATTTTATCTATTAAACAACATTCGGAATCGAAATCTGAAATAGAAATAAAGTCATAAAGGAGTGAATTAGATTCTATTTTAACAAAAACTTAGACTATGAATGAATTTTAACTAGTTGTCTCAACGTTATCAGCGTTGGCATTGAAAATTGAACCGTTAGTTAACTATATATTGTGCACATAGTATTGCGCATCCGTGACCCCGCCCTGTCAGGGACCTGAATCCAGGGACATTCAGGTCCCGCGGCCAGCACGTTACCATAAAGCTGATGGGTAGGAACCTAGTGGCCCAGTGGTAAAGTGCTGGCCACTGGACCTGGAGGTCCGCGGTCCGATCCCTGGCGAGGTCATGGGCACACACTGTTGAAGAGTCCCATACTAAGAAGAAACAATTATCCAGTGTTCCCAGGTTTTCAATGTTTCTCTAACTGACGTCACTTTATGAGGGATACAAATATGTTAAAACATATACCAATAGAGGAATAAATGACTCGAGTTCAGCGGAATATTTGAACTTGGCAAAGATGAAGAAAAATCATCATTCTAAACATGTAACGTGTATCACCCTATCTAGGATAAGCGATACACCTTCATCCAGGAGATTACGGACGTTCATCATAATCACTTTTTGTATTCACACAAGTTCTATAACAAGGGGAGATATACGAAAATAAATAAATTATGTAACACAATTAGATAACCATTCAATCAATAGGAAAGAAATTAAGGAAGAAATAATTAGGAAAGTTTATTCAAGGACACTAAATAATCACTTACCGCATGAATTGAGACCAGAACATTCTAGAAGTCCTGTTCGATTACTTTTGCTACATGAGCTGAAAAATAAGATGAATATGACAGATGTGTAACTGGAAAATTATGAACATAGCGTACTTTTAATTCCCCGTTGCTATCATGGGTCGAATTGTTCGACCTCTCTTGGCAGATGAGTGAACAATCGGAAAATTCAACCCGATATAGTAACGGCAAATTATAAGTATCAATAAACAACAAGTGATACTTATTGCACAAGAGATGGGTCTCGTGCCCTAGTGGCTAGGTGGATAGTACTTTCGCGCTTGAAGCGATGAGTACCAGCTTCGAGTTTCAGTGAGAGCTACATTACTCACTGGCGTGCAGGTATATCTAGCTAATGAGTCCCAAATAAGAGGAAGCGCACGTCCTAGATTTCACGGCTAGCCACCAAGTAGATTACAACTTAAACACATCATTCTCAGCAATATTACTCGATAGATGTGTTCAAGTTCCGTAATAAATTAAAAGAAAACCAGTAACTAATGATACTTAATACACCAAGTGTACACTGTATACTTAGCTGGAAGAAAATAAACTTCGAGTCACATAGGCAGAAGGCTAGCAATGAAAGCATTTGTTAGACTAGGCAAATACTTAGAACTTATCATCCAAAGTCAAAAAAGCAGTGAAAGCTCAAATGAGCAAAAATAGTGAGACATTTAAATCAACAAAACTTATAAAGACAAAGAGAGAATAAATGAATGAAGGTGAGTAGAATGTTCATAATTTTGGAAGTGGTAAGGAGTGAAGGAAAACTGATTTAGAGCCATCGTATCAGCAGTTACCAATCACCGGTAATGGAAAGGTGTAAAATATGGTGAATTACAAAATTTTTGGCACCAATCTTCATTGGTTGATGTTGTGTATGGTGAGAGGGTGATACAGTTGAAGTGTATATTACCAAAGGTAGACATTTCACTGCCTTCACACTCCTATCGACCAGCAAGCGCGGACCTTCATTGTAGTGCATATTAGTTACGCTATAGCGGTAACTGTTTTCATTCTTATCAACATCTGACAAAACTTTCTGGCATAGTTAAACGTGAAGAAATAGTCTTTTCGGCGAGAAAATTTAGTAGGATCATTGCGAAATACAAGTTAGATCACGGTGTTTGGGGAAAGGTTTCTGTCATGGCACCTATCATAATTGAAGTCTCCGGTAAAAATATACGTAGCTTAACCACAAGATGTTTGGTTTAACTGGAGTTGATGTATCTGAGATCTTATGACTTCAAAAACTGTTTGGTTATTAAACAAACATTTTTTTTATCATTCAGTAAGCCATAAAGATGTAAGATTCCTCCATAAGCACGTTAATACCTTTCTGGATCAAATAGTAAATTTTTGAACACTGGTTTTTTTCCAAAATAATATCAGAATGTGATGATCAGTCCAGTTTCGTGTTGGCAACAGCATTCTCTACTTGACAAAAAAGCAGGCTATCCGATGACAATGACCTATTCACTTTGTAACCGAATAATTATTAGCTGAAAGTTCACTGAAATGCTCCTTAAGGTATTATACTCAAAAAAATAACATTCATCTCTTCTGAACAAAAACTACTTTGCCCTGGTTAAACATTACTATTAGGCCTAAATAGATACTAATCGAATAGTGATTAAGACAAGTGTATTCTTATTTGTTGACATTGGTAATTTGCCGTTCCTATACTGGACTGAATTGACCAACTTCTATCGGAATATTAGCTTCGATGCGGATGCCTCAATATTGCCAGAATATTCATGGTTTAATTTACTTAGTGGTGGCTAGAAGTGGAATTCAAGAGATGCGTTTCGTCTTATTTAGGACTTGTCAGCTGGATATATCTGCACCCGTTGCATAGAAAGCGGTCGGCGTGCTTCACTGGCCTAGTGAATAGTGCTTTTTTATTTGAAGCGATGGGTGTGGGGTTCACATCTCATTGCGAACATCATCACTCACTGGAGCGCAGGTGTGTGCAGCTGATGAATCCCAAACAGGTCGAAAAGCGGGTTCTAGATATTGATACTAGCCACAACCAAGTAAATTATACTGTGAGGAGTAACACAAACGCTGGTTTTATATTCTAGTCGTTAGAAAAGTGACTACCGTTTATTTTGTCCACTTAGTACTCATATTATCGATCACTATACTACTTGTCTACTATGGTGAAGTGTCATTTAACAAACACTTTTACAATTTTTATCGCTTTTTTTTATAATTAAAGGATTTAAAGAGCATAAGTCATAGGAAATCATAACATCTTACCTGATACGTGAAAGAAAATATCGATTATCAGCTGTTAAGCTACATGATGATTTCGAAGAATCTGATGAATGATTGACATTTTCACCATTATTACTCCATAGAAATTTATTGTACACATTAAATTGACTGGCATGTAAAACTAGAACTTTAGAACTTTCATAGCTAACTGGAATGACCAGATTAAGTGGACCACCAGAAATATTCAAACGTATACGAGAAGATGAGACAACTGTTGGAATCTAAGGAAAATGTATTATAGAAAGTAAGGAAGATAAAATCAAAGTCTATCTTTTCATGATAAATTGCATTGGGATCTTAGTAAACCAAAAATCAGTTTAGACAATTTACTAACAACATGAACAATGGTATACATAATTAATGATAGTTATATCTCATTAAACAGCTCAGCGACGTCTTTGAAGTGAAGACAGGAGTAAGACAAGGCTGCCACCTAATATCACGGATGATCTTCCTGATTGTGGTGGACTGGATCACTCAGGAAACCATGAGGAGCGAGAAGATGGGCATACGCCGACTGGACCGATGAGAAGATCCTAGAAGATTTCGATTTTACCAACGATGATGATTTATGTCTAATGTCTTCTAACACAAACTCATAGATCTACAGGTGAAAAGTAAGAAGTTGACAGAATAGGTGGGGCAGCGGAGACGGGACTTCAAGTGAATGTAGAGAAGACGGAGGTGATGAAGATACCCAATCAACAACAACAAATTCCAATCAATGTTAGCGGGAGAAACCTAAAGGAAGTAGTCTCTTTCACCTACCACGTAGACAGCATCGTTTCAACTGCAGGCGGTAGCACAGAAGAGGATGTCAAAACCAGGATTGGAAAAGCAAAGACAGGCTTTCACTAACCTGAAATCAGTGTGGAGATCTACTGCACTCAGCACAAAGAACAAGATCCGGATTTTCAACACTAATGGCAAGTCAGTGTTTGGCGTGTTACGAAAAGCATTTCCAACAAACTGCAGACATTCATCAACAGCTGCCTACGCTGGCTCGATACTGAAGATCAGATCAGATGGCCAGAATAACAAGAAGAAGCAACAAGGAACTCTTGGGACGAAACAATCAAGAACCTATCACCCAACAAATATGCGGAAGAAAGTGGAGATGGATTGGATTGGACATACACTGAGAAGGAAGACTTAAGAGAAGAGAGTGAAATGGCGACGTGCTACTTAAGCCCCATGTTCCACTAGAAACCCAAGGGGAAAATAAGCATAATAATAATATCTTATTAAACAACGGGGCAATTAAGTTTTGACGATGACTAACAGATGCTAAATGCATTGAACTGCAATTGATCTACCACGGAAATAGAAAGATAACCTATGTAGAGAATCGAATCCTGAGAGTAGTTACATAATCACATAATCATTCACGTTTATATCCCATACTTTTTTGCTTCAAACGATAATGGTGATGATATTCTTATTGTTACAGACAAGCAGACAGACAGACAAAACCAATGTAGAACCACGCACATATATGCATCGGTTCAACTTGCAACACTTCACAGCAGTATGTAAGAAAAGTGAATAGAAAAAACAAAGGTGAATGGGAGAGGGAGGAATTTAAAAACTAAGGTTAGCCATAACATTTAAGATTTTCAGCCATGTCATCAGGAGTCTTCAACCACTCAATCGCAACCATGTAGTCCACACCTCCGTATATGCCGAGATTAACAGTCGGTGAGTTTATGGACTGGTGCTAGGTGTTAACTTGGACACCCTGAACCCTCTTTTAACGTAATTCAACTCCCCATTAGCATATCGAAGTTGCTCTTATCGTACAGAAGTATTAAATATGAATATCAGAAATATGTACACAAAGTATAAAACAACGCCTGACCATGGGGATAATGAATATACTAATGACAACAGAATATTATACTATTTACCTCTCAGTAATCAAAGTCAATATGGTTCAGAGACTTGGCTCATTACGAAAGGCATTTCCAACAAACTACAGATATTCATCAACAACTGCCTACGCTGGCTCGTTACTGAAGCTTAGATGGTCAGAAAGAATAAGCAACAAGGAACTCTGGCAGCCAACGAACCAACCAACAACCTATCACTCAACAAATATGCAGAAAGAAGTGGAAATGGATTGGGAATGCACCAAGAAGGCCGACTGGGGACATCACGTGTCAGGCACTCGAGTGGAACCCAGATGAGAAACAGCGAGTTGGGCTTCCAAGGCGAGGGTGACATGGAGGGGATTGTGTAAGGAAGAAATGAGAGCTTCTGGGCAGTCGTGGAGCCAGGTTGAAAAGATTGCAGAGAACAGAGTGGAGTGGAGGCGAGCTACTGAGGCCATATTTTCCACTAGGAACCGAAGGGTTAAATAATAATAATAATAATAATAATAATAATGATCAAAGTCAATAAAGTATAACAGTATTGTCACACATACCTGAAAACCTTTAACACAACCTCGTGTTCTCCTCAAAAAGTTATAATGTTCCACAAAATTGTGCAAGGCATCAATAAAATTCATCAAGAAGGATTGTGTGTGTATATATGAAGCATTTGGTAGATGAATAGAAATATATGCATCTTCTTCATCAACAGAATCAACAGATGATTCGTAGAAATGTTTAGCCTTCTTAGTGAATTGAAATGTCAAGAAAGATAATTGTGAAATATTATCTTTATTGACAGTTTTACTTGAAGATATATCATACGGTGATATAAAACAAATTTGATACAGATGAGCATATTTCTTTGGTAAAGCGATTAACTAGACAATGGAGGCAAAATAAACATATAAAACAGACTTGTGAATACTTTAACAATTGGGTATTAATACAAATTAAAGATAGAAACATGGAGTAACTTGATGAATGAATCATTGAGGAAACAGGCAGAAGTTAGATTATGCTTACAATTACTTTATAGAGAGGATATATATTCAATTTTAATAAGGGTAAACAAAAATATATAGTTCGGTTGTTAATATTATCATAGCGAAGAAGAGAAAATCAGTAATATATAAACCATCTCAAAGTTGTGGAGTTAGTTACTTGATATGAATATAGACAATAAATTGTGTTCGAAACGTTATCTAGTAAATGAACCATACTGTCTTGGTTGTATTGTGTTCTCTGAGCTGGGTTGTTTCATCATGAAGATTTCACCATCTTTCGAAACGACATCATCACCACCAACTTCAGTATGAAGTGAGCTGTCAATATCTCTCCATGAGTGTTTTAGCAGCTTGTCTTGATGAAGTGGTCTATAATTGGTTGTCTCCTTTGATTGTTGACTCATTGAATGTGTAGATTTTCCTGTCGGCTGTCCCTCTGCTTTACCTCTCACCTCTCTGTTGTTTATCATCTTTCTTATTCATTGATATATTGAGTCTATGTCTATACATCTGTTGATTGCTGACTGACTGACTGACTGACCTGAATGCCAACCTCCTAGAATTCTCTGACATCCTTTGTGTTTTCTCTCTCCATCCAAAATTTCTACATTGTCAAAATTGAATTCATCTCCATAGTTGTTATCCACCTGCATTGAAATGAGTGATGAAATGTCATGTGTATAACGTTTAATAGCCAATTGGTGTTCATGTAGACGAAGGCGAAGAGGACGACCACTTTGTCCAATGTAGTGTTGACTACAGTTGTTGCAGTTGATCACGTAGATGATATTCGGTTTGTCTTCTTTGCTTGTCGCATCATTTGGTCTGCATAATAATGTTTCCAGGCAATTTGTTGGCTTAGTGGTCTCAGTAATCTTGTCGTGATTTCTGATATGTTTTTTATGTATGATGGGATGACGCATTCATTTATTTCTGTCGATAACTTTGCAGTTGATGATGTATGGGATAGGCATCTTCCGACAAAGTTTCATGAGTAGCTGTTCTTCTTTACGAAGGACATCAAGTAATTTTTTCATTTCTCCGTGAAGTGATTGTACTGCAGTGTGTCCTCGTTCTTTTGAATAGAGTCTGCACGCAACTGATCTTGTGGGTCGTTGCTACTGTAGTTGAGGACTTGGTCAGCGTGTGTTGGCTTCCTGTTTACGTGGATTTCCAGCTTTCCAGCATTGGTCCTACTGACTAGAACATCCAGAAATGGTAGTTGGTTGTTTGACTCTTTCTCCCTTGTGAATTTGATGTCATTGAAAACGTTGTTGATCAAACTGAGTGTTTTTTATATTATTTTTTTTAATGATAACAAAAGAGTCGTCCATATAACGAATCAAGAATTTTGGTTTGATCACAGGTAGGATGATCGCCTTCAGTATCTGCATCACTGCTTCTGCAATTAGTCCGGATATCGGTGACCTCATTGAAGTTCCTTTCATCTGTTTGTATATCATGCCGTTGAATTGTAAGTATGTTGTCAGACAAAGGTCAATGAGTTCCATCAAACCTGAACCTTTAAGTTTTGTGCATTCTGTAAGGCTTGTTTCTTCATTGAGCAGGAGGGATATCGTTTCCTTGGCCAATCGAGGTTCAATGGACGTGTATAGTGCTGTGACATCGAAGGATACCATTAATTCGTCGTTTTCTATGTTGATGTTTTTGATCTTTTCTAAGAATTACGTTGGTGACTTTATGGAATGTCCGTATGATTGAACGAAGTGTGTCAGTCTTCTGGAAAGTTCTCTTGGTATGTTGTATGTTGGAGTTCCCGAAAGTGAGACAATTGGTCGTAGGGGGATGTCTGAATTGTGTAGTTTTGGTCTGTCGTAGAACCGAGGAAGGTTGTCGAACTTGTGGATAGAGTTGGGTTTCAAGTAGTTGATACACATTTTCGTCTTCGAGTAATTCCTCTGCTTTCTTGATGTAATCTTTTTTAACCATGACAACTGCAATGCATCCTTTGTCTGCTGAAAATATAACGATGTCCTTCCTATTTTTCAGCCTTTTTAATGTTTTCTGTTCTTGAGTATTCCGTTGAGCGTGATGTCTCTTCTGCCTGGTCAGTGGTACGATAATGTTTCAATGTGTGACATTTCTAATGAACAGAATTAAATGGAATTACAATCTACCACAGTGCCCAAGTTTTACTCCGTTATTAATGAAGCTACTCAACCAGTAATGGATATATTCAAAAATATATTAGATTGTAGTAAACAAAAATTTAGAAACAACATACTTTTAGGTTAGTTATATAACCTTTAACTTCAAAGCAAGGATAGTTGACAAATGTACTCAATGCATGATTTCTTGAATCATCTACACCGAAATCATTAATTTGTGCCTTTATTCCAGTGAAAGTTATTAAAGCCAAATCGGTCTCCGTATTCATACTAGTTAGTATTTGAGATCTATGAATGTAGTTACTATTGTTTGAACACTCTTCTGTATTTTCATCGGAATTGAAAAAGAAGCCATTGATAAAATCAATATTCAGTAGAAAGGCAAACTTTGAACTGTTTATAACATCATTGAAGACGAGGTTTGAAACAGTAGATGGATTAGAGTTGGACGAATGAAACGGATCTACTATGTTGAAAAGAAGAAAAACAAAATCCAACTATTATTTCAGTGGTAAAAATATTCTAAAATGTACCAAGACTGGTTGAGCTATGAGAATAAATGTTTATTGATACTTGTAGTTTTGCATAGGTATACTGGGTTGAATTGCTCGATGTCTGTTGATAGATGAGCTCCTATGAGGATACCTGGATACTGCCAGATATTCATGATGTTATATCTATCTTGGTGACTAGCAGTGGAGTCCAGAATACGCATTCCGTCCTATTTGGGACTCATCAGCTGGATAAACTTGTTTCCCCTGAGACTCAAACCTCAAACGCATCGATTCAAACACTAAAGCGCTATCCACTAGGCGACTGGGAAACGAGAACCGCCGCTTGTCCAGTGAGCATTAATTATTGTTTTTTAACATTCCGAGTGCAGGTTCACCCAGCTGACGAGTCCCAAATAGAATGAAACATACCCCCTTGAATTCCACTGCTATACACGAAATAGACTAAAATAAAACTAATTTTATCACTTTCATTTGAGGTCATATTGTTTTCAAGTTGCAAGCTTATTTAGAACTGTGCCAAATTAAATCAATTACCCAACAGAATGTGTAGTTAAATACCAGAAATAAAAAAAGATAAGAAGGTGTCTTCAGTTGCATCAAAATGATCTCATTGAGCAGATATTCTTTTCCTTCAATGTTGAGCTCACAGCTATTTTCGATATCAACAAAAAAACGGTTGAAAACGGTTCAAATCACTTGAAAACTGAACAGTATGCAAATACGTTTTTCATACCATGATGATATAAAGTTATTGTAACCTTTTCTTTGAATCTAACCAGTGTGTGTAAACCAGCTAGATGTTTAAAAATGTTTAAGGCTATGAGAAACATCTTAAACACAATTTATAAATCTTGACAAGATCTAGATTTTCTATTCACAACTTTGATTGATAGTGCTGATGGTTGGCAGGAGAATGGAAACACATCCTTAGTTCGATAACAGAACACCTTAGGCATTGAATTCTTTTTGAGAACTCTTTCAAAAGCCTTAACAAACTTTGAGCAAAGCATTCAAGAAGCAATGAGGAGTAACTTTAAAGGCCACATTAGCAACTATTGAAATGACCAATCAGGTTTCGGTATTTCGCCTGGAAAAGTACTTTTCCATAAAATAAAGGAATGTAATTGGTTACGTCATCAGTAGGCAGGGTGGCCTTTAAAGTCACGCACAATGAAATCATCTGCGTATAGATGAAGCACTAGCGATGTAAAAGTTCAAACCAAAGCTACATTCAAAACAGTATGTTAAGATAACTAAATAAAATCTCATAAAAATATAAAGAAGTAATAAACATTTTAAGGAAATAGTATAGCACCTTGATTTGACTTCTTACAAGTTTGTTGCGTAACACTATCCTCTTCATAATCACATAAATTGAAAAAGTCTAAAAGTAACACCCATGGTTCGGATAATAACTGAAAGTCCAGAGTATCAATGGTGAATTTAATAAAATATTTCGCCTGAAACAGTAGATAAAACTTCGTTATTTCAGTTTACTGAAAATATTTTAAAGTGGAAAAAGATGGTAAAAATTTAGTACTTTTCAGAAAAGAAATCTCCAAAAAAAAAGATGACTTTACTTAGTCAGGTCAAACAAACAGTGAACAAAGCAATAAACAAAGTTCCGCATATACAAAATCATATCGTCTTTTACTAATTCACTGAGTAACCTTGAGACTTCCATTGTACCATCGAAGTTTATTATTACTCAGAAAGTTGCTCAGTTAGTATGTAAAATATAAAATTGGTGTTGGTGGTTCCTAAGAAACGCTGATAAATGAATCTGGAATTCAAAGGAGACACTACAGCTAAAGTGCTGAGAAACCATTTGTCAATGTGTATCAATAGTAGCCTCTATGCTGCTAGACAGAGATCGATTTTCGTCAGCTGCCGTCTCATTCAACAATATGTGAAGGATAGGCTACAAATTCAAATGCTCTTGTGTAGCTGACTATATTGGATGTTGTAAGCGGGCCCTCGGAAAACGTTTTGTTGAACATTATCCGATTTGGCTTACCAAAAGGCGAGTGAAGAATAACAACTGTATTCATTTGTTAACACCTGGTAGAGTTAGGTTATTCAGCGTCTTGAGATTCATCCTTTAAAGTAATTTACAAAGAAAAAAAGAACTGAGCACAACGTATAAAACACTGGACAAAGAATTGAAAAAGAGTGCACGCAAAGACAAAAAACACTTCCACCACACACTGGCAAGTGAAGCAGAATAGGCTACGGGTACGAGAAACCTGATAACATTGTATCAAATAACCAGGTTACTATCTGAGAGAGAAGAGATCAACACAGATGAAGCTAATAAAAGATGATGAAGGAAATGCAATTACGAAACAAGAGAAACAAAAGAAACGATGGGCCGACCACTTCAAGAAGCTCTTGAATCGTCCACCACCTGCACTTCGTCCAGAAATACCACCTGCAGCCATAGAACTGCAAGTGAACACAAATCCTCCGACAAAAGTCGAAGCCTTGAGCGCCATAAAGCTACTGAAATGTGGGAAAGCAGCAGGACCAGATGGAATCCCGCCAGAAGCACTGAGAACAGACGCAGGGACAACAGCGGACATGCTCACACCATTAATGCAGAAGGTCTGCAGCAAACAGGGAGGAGCGAGAAGAGGGGATACGCTGGACCGAGGAAAAGACCCTAGATTTAGATTTCGCCGACGACTTGTGTCTAATGTCATACAAACTAGAAGATCTAAGGCAAAAACTAACAAGTTGACAGATAAGACGAGACAGTGAAGACGGGACTTCAAGTGAATGTAGAGAAGATAGAGATGATGAAGATACCGTACCAACAAAAACAACAACAAGCTCCAATCACCATCAACGGGGAAAACTTAAAGCAAGTAACCTCTTTCATCTATCTACGCAGCACTGTTTCAACTACAGGCGACACGGGCACAGACGAGGATGTCACAGCCAGGGTCGGAAAAGCAAGACGCGTTGATTAAACTGAAATCAGTATGGAGATCTTCTGCACTCAGCATAAAGCGTGATCAAGATCCGGATTTTCAACACCAACGTCAAGTCAGTGCTCCTATATGGTTTAGAAACTTGAAGTGTTACGAAAAGCATTTCCAACAAACTACAGACATTGATCAACAGCCGCCTACGCTGGCTTGATACTGAAGATCAGATCACATGGCCAAAATAATAAGAATAAGCAACAAGGAACTCTGGGAACGAACCAATCCATAACCCGTCGCCCAACAAATATACAGAAGGAAGTGGAAATGGATTGGATTGGACATACACTCAGAAGGCCGACTGGGGACATCACGCGCCAGGCCAGGTCATCGAGTGGAACCCAGATGGGAAACGACGAGTTGAGCGTCCCAGCTGAGGGTGACATGGAGGAGATCGTGCGAGGAACAAATGAGAGCTATTGGGCAGTCATGGAGCCAGGTTCGAAAGTTTGCAGAGAACAGATTGACTGGAGACGTGCTACTGAAGCCCTATGTTCCACTAGGAACCCAAAGGACAAATAATAATAATAATCAAGGTTTACGCATAACTGAAGTATGCATGAATAAAAACCGAAACTTTGCATTGAAAAACGTTTTGTGAAACCACTTTCTCCAACTTGGCTCTATTAATTCATTTTGCTTATTTTGTAAACTTCATTTCACTTTGGTATACTTCTCTTTCATTATCATCATCATTATCATCAATTTTCACTACATTGACAACATTTGACCCATATCTCACTAGTTAATATCAATTCATTCCTTATTCATTGACCATTTTGATTGGTTCAGTTAAATTATTATCGTTTTACAATTCTTTGACAGCCATTGTCCCTTATCTCACTACTTGTTATGAATTCATTCTAGCTCATTCAGTAACCCATATTATTACCTCAGTGTTTATTTGCTAACATGAGTAGAAGTTAGGTTTTCTATGATAACATTGCGCTAAAGTCGGCAAGGTGGTACACTGATTTTCTATTTTCCTTGAAGTTGAAGAAAGAGGGGGGGGGATTTGAAGCTCCATACTTATATGGTCTTTTCTATGAATATGGAGTGATTTTAAAGGCTACTCAAGCAACTGCTGAAATGATCAATCAGGTTTCTACATTTTGAATAGGATGGTAGTTTTTTGATAAAATAAAAAAACGTAATTGGTTATCTCAGCTGATGTTGGATTGGCCTTTAAAGTCACTTGGGTTGTGTGCCTCAACTCCATTTAATAGGCTTAACTCTAACAGTACAAGCCCTAGCACTTAGTTTTAAGAGGATTAAAATTAATCCGCCACAGTTTCAGAAATATTGCTAAAAGTGAATTGAACACCACGAAAATGATACACTAGCGAGCATCGGTCTCACACGCTACAATTCTGATTAACACTGCAATAAGGAGTCGATTAACAGTATAACTAGTACTACGAATTTGACAATGGTTTGATATCACGTTGGCATTTATCATAAACTGGCATCGGTTAGAAAACCCCTGAAAAAAGTAGAAAAACTGAAAGGATGTTTTGTCCTACTGTGAGACTCCTAAGCAGTGCGCATTCACGACTCTCAGGTTTCGCAGCGAACGCGTTAGCCTTACATTTACTGAATAGGAGTCTAGTGATCTACGGTTCCCTACTTTTATCAGTCCACGAAAAATCGCAAGTTTCAATCAATGCCATCGTTGAGTAGTTGTCCTCATGTCCGATAAGGTTTGCTCAACCGTGCCGACTTCACATTAACACTTCGGAAATTTCACCTCCAAGCCCGTTACTGGATAGTAATTCACTCATTCATCGATGAATTTCAACTTAAAATGAATAAATCCCCAAAAACCCCCCAATTTGAATAACTCGATATATATTATTATTCATTCATTTTCTTCTAAATGAACGAAACACTCTGTCATCTTGTGCACACTCGTACAATGGGCAATGAGCCACACCGATTGTGTGAGAACCAATAATACTACCTGGGTGCTGAAACCTCAGGAGACACCGGGACTCAAACCTGTGACCCAATGTTTGGTATTTATCTCCTTAAACCAGTGAGCCACAGCTCTACATCTGGTGTCATGACAGTAAGTGTTTAGATGGATGTATTGGGTTAAAAGGATTTACATAGTTGGTTAGAGGGAATCGGCAGGAAGTCCTGATGGACTTGGGTTTCGTGCTTGTTGGCACTCGTCACCCAGGTGTAACTACAAGCTGGGGTTCGAACCTGCGCCAATAAGTGTTGTATTCAGCGACTTTACCACTGAGCTATTCGGGTCGCGATTGACCTCCTATAGGACTGGGTTAGATGTATTGATTGGTCACGGGAGACCAACCATTTTCAAGCTGTCTAGTCCTAGTCGACATGATTCGGTCTGTACTCATTCCATACTCCCACTATGTATGAAGGAACATGAACTAACATGCCGTTCAGTTTCAACGGTTATCTGGCAACCAAGAAACAGTTCACTCTTTTACACAATAACTATATATAAAAATATTTTTCGTAGGCATAACGAGTGACATAAACTGATGTAATCAAAAGGAGAAATAAAACTCTATCAAAAAATAAGCGTAACGATTTACTTGACAAAATGATCCATGCTGGTCGGATAAGAGTATAATACGCAGGAAGATCGGAGAAACCTATAGGGAATTGAGTGCAAAATGTCAAATAAAAAGATAAATAGACATTTATAGTCATCACATCAAGGATTTTACACAGATCACATTAACAAACACATTAGTATAACAGTCAAAGCCTACAAAACATTGATTAACTAATACAGACATTGTTTTCCTTGACGTCCTAGCTTGTAAGTCACGGTCGTTGATTGGACTGAAGCGATCAGGCAGTATTGGCATATGGATGGAAAGTGGCTAGTGGTAGAATCCAGGACGCACACAACTCGATGACTTGAAACGTTATCAGATATGGTTTAGAATGGAAACCAGTGGCGATCATGCTGTAGCTTCCTTCTATCTACTGCTGCTGAAAAGTAATGAATGCTTCGTTTCGAATGTACCTTACTGAACTGCCCTTCTAATCACGCTTTTCTTACTGGTTTTCTTTCTTTTTGTGTGGCACAATGTAGTTGTATTTTATTCATACAACTACCATTTATTTTTCTCAGGATCTCATCTTCTTTGTTCTATATCAATTAATGGATCAAAAAATATAGAAATGTGACTGACTGACATTTATGCACTAGGCTCATACACTATTTGAGGGCCTGTGGGCATGAAGACCATTATAAGGGAAGCCGGCTTCGAACCTGTAACCCGCTGGCTGAAAGTCAAATCCCCTGCCTAGTGAGCCATAATTTCACTATAATCTACCACTTCGACGCTAACTGGTTGATGATAGCTGGCAGCGAAATTCAGGATGTGCGTTTCATTCAACTAGGAAGGCGTCAACTGAGCCTAGTTGTATTCCAAGTTTGATAATGTCCTCACTTAGACTCGAATCCAGTATCTATCATTTTAAACGCCAGAGGGTTTCGCACTAAGTTACTGAGTCAATAATACACCTAAACTAAGCAAACGTTATGAGTACTAGGCTAGTGTTTATGAAATTGCCATTCAGTCATATTTGAAGTAGGTGGGGATAGAGTTAAAACCTGAGACACTATGGTCTGAAGACAGTGAGTCAATCCTCTTTTTCATCAATGACAATGTTATCTCCAAAAATTTGCTTTCCCATTTGTTGATTTTTCCGGATTGTATTGCTATGCAGTGTAGCGTCTGGAAATCCTCTATCCCGTTATACGACTGAGAAATAGCCGTTAAAAGTAGAAGATTTAAAGCAGTTACATGGTTTTGATCCTATGTGTCTTCGTGGCATTGCTCGCGTTTGGTCGAAACACCGTGTGAGTGATGTTGGGATCAGACGAAGAGGAACAGTCCTACTCTTATTTACGATGAGGAAAGGCAGTGATATACATCAGGTTACCGACTAATCAATAATATCCAGCCAAACACTTGATTTTCCATTAATCTGATCATACTCTGATTCAGATTTCATTATCCGCTTGAAAGGAACACTATTTTCACGTGCATATGGATTTCTGACAACTTCAGCAAGATAAGCAAGTCAGCTGAAAAGGTTGTAAACCGTCGTTGCCCTATGCCATGTTAGGGGAAGTTGGATTAGGTTGGAAGAGGGTTCAGGGTGGCCAAATTAAGATCTGACACCCGGCATTGAAGTCTCAGACCAGTGGTTTGAGCTCTGTGGAGAGATACAAACTACCTGACTGAGGATACCAAGATGATAAGAACTAGTGGCTGAGAAGTGTTGGTGACATGACTGAAAATCGGTAACAATGGCACAGATGTATTCCGCCATTAACGTCCTAGAAGACCTGACCATTTGTACTAAGCCTTACCTTTAAATTGTTGATTCTCTCACACAACTATGACTAGACCGAAAATAGAAATCTACTAATGAAGTTTTACACAACACTGTCACCAATATCATAAGCTATCTCAGATTCGGTCTCGATATTTTCTACCCTGCTGAAACAATTTACATGAGATTCGATAGACTTTCCTCTCCTCATGTCAAGAAGCTCCAGAGAGAAAAGGAAAGGTTGTATAAGACGATAAATCACCCTAGCGTGAAAAGACTTAATTACCTAATTAAGTCCGAAATACGACGTCTGAATACCACTTACAATCAGATGTTTCTATCGCGTAGGCTCCCTTCCAATACATGGGAATTATTAAAGAGCTTGCTGGTAGAAAGCAGATGACAAAAGAAGCTTGTTCGGATGTCTGTGCATTAAACAAGTCATTCATACGTCGGCAAGCTGATTTCATCTTTCCTAGTGTCCAAAGTCAAATGGACAGCTGCTTTCCTTGAAATCATCCCAAAAATTAAACCTAGATGGTGTTTCGAGTATAAGATTTAAAAAAAATATGATTCCGTTACAGATATCTTCAGTGCATCGTTTTCTAAAGACACAATACCTGCTGCTTGGAAGGAGATCAAAATTATACCTGTGGCTAAGTCATCTTCTGGATCAGACCATCGCTAAAACTTCCTCCTTTTTTGAAGACAATGGAGAGATCACTTCTCCTTGTGCTTTAAACTTCGTTGAAGGCTTTCAGAGATCTAAAATAATTTGTTTACAAACATGGGAGGAGTACTGCAGATGCTGCCATTGTCTTGCATCATAACATTTTTTCCAATCTAGACAAAGGTGTTAAGTATGTTCGTTTTGCCTCTTCGGATTACTGATCAGCCTTTGACTCTGTTCCTAGACCACTCTCGTTAAATAAGCTTACCATAGATCATACTGAGCCACGGGTCACAAAGTGGCTGTATTCTTATTTTTCTCAAAGGAAACAGTATATTGTCCATAAAGGGAGGCGCTCTACTTCATTGTTTACTGAAGGTGATGTGCTTCAATATGCTGTACTTTCTCCTTTTCTGTTTTCGTTCTTTTTGCACGATTTACCTTATTCCTTCGAAACTAATTTTACTAAGTATGCCAATGATTTGACGGTTTCTATTGCAGCCAACCCACTTAGATTGCTCCGTGGATTCTTCTTTGTAGTTGACCAATGGTCTCTCTCAAATGGTCTCAAGTTAAACCCGTCTAAATGTCAGACTGTTAACTTTAGCTTCAGGTGTAAACAAGACTTGTGTGAGCCGCCTAAGTTTCACGACACCTGTTGCATTGGTGGAATTTTTCTAGAAAGTAAATCGTGTGTTAACTATCTTGGATTGCGTTTTACTTCTAACCTTTGTTGGTTGTCTCATATCTTGACTTTTAAGAGAATCTTTCGTTTAACGCATTACATAAAGAAACTGAAGCTCTCTGGTACAACTCAACTTCTACTTTTACAATTTATTAATTCCTGCATTTTACCTATTCTTCTACATTGTTCCCCATTGATCTTACCTGGTATTCTGTGTAGGGCTTAGAAAGCCGTCAGTAGGATGAGTAGTGTGCCTCTCATCCAAATGATTAACACTGTAGTTGATAGATATATAAATTCTGGCAAGCAACTACCTACAGTTATGTTAACTGATACTGACCATCCATTTCATTCACAGCTCTCTCTCTCTCTCCATGTATCTCTCAGAGAGGACAAGACGAAACTACATCCGGCTGTATGCCCATACAGCCAAGTACATGAGTTCGACTATACCTTACCTAGCACGCATATTATGTGAGGAAATGTAAGTTAGAACAGAACTCACATATCAACTTTGTAATGGTTAACAATCACATCTCAGTAATTTAATTAACAATGCACACTGTTCTCTTTTTTAATATTCTTTACATCACTTAAATTTTTATCACAACACAATTCGACATGTTGTAAAGGAGTATGTATCTACACATACTTTGTTGTTGTTACAATATATCATGCTGAGAATTCCAAATCGTACCATAAATTGTTTGGAATAAGGTGAATTATTATTATTACTCAAAATCTTGCGCATATTCGCGTAGTAGACAATGAGCTAAACCTATATTGTGATGGCTATTAATACTGCCTAGTTGCCCAAACCTTAGAAGGTGACGCAGGGCTGGCGTCTGTGACCCGGTGGTTGAAAGCCATCTCCCTAGATCAATGAGTCAAAAATTGGTCTACTTCGTTATATCTTTTTCAACCCACTTTTTCTTTGTATACTACTCTGTTGTGAAATGTGGTAAATGAATTGATGCAATTATTCATTCTGTCTGTCGATCTCTCAATCATTTTTCGGTATTTATAGACATTATTAGATAACAAGTACTTTAAGTGGAATGAACATCTGACTTAGTAAGTCATAATTGACTAATATATCTTTCTGTCTTACGACATTAAAAAAAATCTGGTTAGTTGAATCAATTAACAACCATCTCACAAATGTCATGTGTAGTGGAGCGTAAAATCAAACAAATAATAAAAAAAACGGGAATTTTTAAATAAGAAATTATGAAACTAACTTGATTCGGTCTACAGTCAATACATGATGATAAACTACGTTTTCTGACATTTGATGGTGCACCAAAATACATTTGACATTGTGTACTATAAATCGTGTCGTATACACCTTGAGAAGAAAAATCTGATTTTCTACGTCTTTTCAAGTTTTCATTGCTTTCTTTAACAACTTTACTTGAAGATGCCTTACAAGCAAGTAGAAATTGCTTTTTAGTTTGAAGAAGTGAGCCAACATTCTTTGCTACATTTTTCCCATACTCTGGTTTTGTAAGTCGATTGTCCAAATATATACTATTTATATTCAATTGTAGACATGAAGGTAGTGTAATACCATTTGGGATATGAAAACTTGATGAGAATACTAAAGAGTCAAGAGTAAGCAGTGCCAATGGAATTGGAGTGATGTCCAAATCAGCAAGGATTACAACATGAATCTTTGGACAGTTTAGATGTATCCCAAATTCTATAGAATCGTTCTGACCAACATGAATCGAATTTCCATTAATGAAAGAAGGCTGAGAAAAAAAGAAAATGCTTAATCACTTATGGAATACGACACCATTTCTTATATTCATAAACGCACGAAGTCAATTTCGTTTAAAGAGGAAAAAACACAGTAGTACCAAGTATTTTCAGAGAAATGACATTTAAGCTTCTGTTGGATTTCGATTTTATCTAGCATCAACATCCTGAAATTACTTTTCATAACAAGGTAGAATACAGGAGAATCTGTCGTGAAACTAACATAACTGTATTGGATTGGGATGAATAGTCCTGACTAGGCAACCAGTGTGAATATGATCAAGTGGTAGTAACGCATCATGAATTCACATAGTAGTCAGGCAAAACCTTTGGTGATTGAAGTGAAATAAAATTCTCGTCAGCAGTTGGATCTCGTAGCTCAGTTGGTAAAGCATCGAACAAGAAACCTGGTGGCCGCTAGTTCGAATTCCGCCGCGGTCCAAATTTTCATTTCACCTTCAATCACCATCCAGTATAAATAACTGTACAAAAACAGGCGGTGTAAACAGATTCTTCGGTAATATACAGTTTTTGAATAAGACATATAACTGAAGAATATTGTTTTCAATTAGATCTCTTCCGGCTTTTTTTAATTATTATTTTCCCTTGGGTTCCTAGTGGAACCATAGGTTTCAGTAACACGTCGCCATTCCACTCTCTTTCTGAAGTCTTTTCAACCTAGCTCCACGACTGCCCAATAGCTCTCAATCTTTCCTCACATGATCTCTTCATGTCACCTTCAGTTAGGACGCCCAACTCGTTTCCCATCTGGGTTCCACCCGACGACCTAACCTGGTGCATGATATCCCCAGTCGGCCTTCTAAGTGTATGCCCAATCCAATCCATTTCCACTTTCTTCTGTATATTTGTTGGGCGATGGGTTATGGGTTGGTTCGTTTCCAGAGTTCCTTGTTGCTTATTCTTATTATTTTGGCCATCTGATCTGATCTTCAGTATCAAGCCAGCGTAGGCAGCTGTTGATGAATGTTTGTGGTTTGTTGGGGATGCTTTTCGTAACGCGCCAAGTCTATCAACCGTCACATAAAAGTACTGACGTGACTGACATTAGTGTTGAAAATCCGGATCTTGTTCGCGTTGTATGCTGATTGCAGTGTAATGGATCTCCACACTGGTTTCAGGTTAATGAAAGAAAGCCTGTCTTGCTGTGTTTCCGATCCTGTAGTGGAAACGATGCTGCCTTGCCTAGGTTCATGAAAGAGCTACTTCCTTTAGGTTTCTCCCATTCATGATGATTTGTGCTTGTTGTTTGTATTGGTTGGGTATCTTCATCACCTCTGTCTTCTCTACATTCACTTGAAGTCCCGTCTTCGCTGCCCCACCTATTCTGTCAACTTGTTAGTTTTTGCCTGTAGATCTTCGAGTTTGTACAGCTAGACATTAAACATCGGCGAAATCCAAATCTTTAGGATCTTTTTATCGTCCAACCAGCGTATGCCCCTCTTTTCACTCCTCATGGTTCTTGCATAATCCAGTCGACCACAATCAAGAAGATTATTGGTGAAAGTAGGTAACCTTGTCTTACTCCTTTCTGTCTTCACTTCAAAGGCATGACTGAGCATTCCATTGTGAATCACTTGACGTCTTCATATAGCTGTCGAATATGGTTGGTAAAGGTTTGTGGTACCCCATAGTGTTGAAGCAGTTGCCTGCCAAATTATTTCTCGGTCCACGCTGTCGAAGGTCTTTTCAAAATCGATAAAGTTGAGGTAGAGAGTTGACTGCCATTCTGTACTCTGTTCTACGATGATGCGTAGCGTAGTGTTGCAATTTGGTCCGCACATGATTTGTTCTTCCTGAAGCCAGCCAGCCTGTCCTGGTCGTAATTTTAAATACTGAGCACCTTCTAGTCTCTACAAGATGCGGCTTAATATGTCGCTCGCTTGCAGTGGTCAGCAGCATGATTCCACACCAGTTCCTGCAAAGACTTAGGTCTCTCTTCTTTGGAAGTTTGACAAGTTAGCCCTTCTTCCAATCGGCAGGTACCATTCCTTCCAAACTTTCTGCAGTAATGTGTCTGCGTCTGTTTTCAGTGTTTCTGGAGGAATTTCATATGGTCCTGCTGCTTTCCCGGATTTCAGCATCTTTATGGCTTTTGTCGGAGGACTTGTGCTCACTGGCGTTTCTTCGGCTGCTGGTGACCTTTCTGGACGAGTTGCAGATGTAGCGGTGGTTGATTCAAGTTTTTTGAAGTGGTTAGCCCATCGTTTCTTTTGTGTCTCATCCTCAGTAACTTAGTTTCCTTCACTATCTTTCATTGGTTTAATCTGCGTTGATCTCTTCCAAGATATTAACCTGGTTATTTGATATAGTGTTGTCAGGTCTCTGTTTCCTTACTTACTGCCTGTTCCGCTTCACTTGCCAGTGTGTCGCAGAAGTGTCTTTTGTTTTGCGCGCACACCTTTTTACTTCTTTGTCCAGTGTTGTTTTTATATGTTATGTTCAGTTCCTTTTTTCGTTGTTCATCCTTACACTGGATCAACTTCTGCTTCACCATCTTTCACTTCTCGATCAGCTTCCTTGTTTCCGTGGAGATCCATTCCTCACCTTGTTTCTTCTTCCTTCCTAATATAGTTATACAGGTTTCTTTCCACATCGCTTTCAAAGAGTTCCAGTGTTCTTCCACGCCCGACCCTTCAGGGATGTTGCTTAATATCTCCCATTTTGCCTTGATGACTGACGTGAAGATGTCCTTTGTAGGTTCGCCCTTCAGTTTCTTTTGTGGGTGTTAAACTTGAACTGTGGTCTATCACCAACTTCTTTGAAGGCTTTCAACTTGATTTTGAAGGCAGATTCCTTGCACTAGATAGTGAATGGTGTGAACCTACATCTGCTCCTCTTATTGATCTGATCTTGTGTCCAGCGGACAGCGTCTCCACTTTCTTGAGATTGAAATGAAGTCGATCTGATTTTTAGTGTATCCATCTGGTGAAATCAAGTCCATGTCGCTTTGCGAATATTCTTGTGTTTGTGCCAGGGTTCTGTAATTTCTTCATTAAGTTAATCATAGGGTGAAAGGAGAGGACTACAATCGAAGTTACGGATGATGTTAAAGCAGTGCGCGAGAAACACAGCAATTCGACATAATAAAAGAACAATTAGAATTCTCGACCGACTGTTAATCAACTACCCGGCTTTGAAGTGATAGTTATCTCATTGAAATGACAATGAAAATATTGGATAACTACCTAATTATAGCTATGCGAAGATGCGAGTACAGAGTTAAAAAGTTAGTAACCACTAAAAAGTTATTTAAAGATGAGTTCTAAGTACTTTTCGTTAAATGACTTCTGTTGGAATTATCATAAATACGAAACAAAAAAGAGAAACGAAACGAAAAGGTAAGTGTGGTGAAACTGTTTAAACTGTTTAAGATGGGGAGTTGCATCAGCTCAAATGGACAGGTTACTGACGAAACTTCAGCTTGGATAGAGAAGGCTTATTTGGTATTTGACAAATTGCATCATTTGTAGAGCTGACCGGCCAGATATCCAACTACCTATTAAAGGACGGGTATATCGTGCAGCAGTTCGTTCTACCTCGCTATACACCTATGAGACATACCCATGAAAGTAGAAGATATGAAAGGTTGAAAATTTTCGCTGATAAGAGTATTTGTAGCATTCCTCGCGTTTCGTGGAACCACCTTGTGAGCATTATTCAGGTCAGGCGAAGGTACCAAGCAAAAAAGGCAGGTCGATTAATGAGGTTATGAGCCTTCATCGACTGAGATGGCTTGGGCATGTACTACGCATACCGATCCACCACCTACCTCGATGTGCAATCCTAAAGAAAGCTGCATTAGGTTGGAAGACGGTTCATCAAGATGACCGGACCAAGAGGTGCTAAAAGTCGATGAAGTTCTTGTCTGTTGGTGTGAGTCGTCTTCGGAGATGTAGACTACGTGATTGGGGTTCCGGAGACGATAGAAATGAGTGGCTGAAAGTCGGTCAGAACATTGCAGATGTATTCACTATCTTCCTATACACCTTTACCAACCTTGATAGCAATCTTTCTTATCCCTCTATTCTTTGTATACTACTGTGAAGTGTAAAAGTTGAATCGATGCACCTGTGTGCGAGGTTCTACAGTGATTTTGTCTGCCCATCTGTTTGCATATTTTACTGCTAAATTGAAAGGAAAGAACGTACATGGAGAAGTTTTATAGACAACGAAACAGAGAAAAATAATAATCTAATCATACTACGACAAGAATACAAGTCAAAGATTAACCAACTATGAAAGTTGATGATACACTTTTATCAGCCTCTAATATAAATGTCATCTTTCTGGTGCTGATAGCTTAGGTGGACACTTGTTCGTTAGAGGATTGATAACGGAAACAGTAGCAATCATCATTCTCATCAATATCAACATAGAACCAGGCATTACTGCGTAATAGTCCGAGTTGACATAGCTCATACCAGCACATCAAGTAAAAAGGCAGTGTGATACAAGATGAAGATTAGAAATTTCAGTCAAAAGAAATATAAAGTACGGAAAGAGAGAAAAGAAGAATGAGAAAATGGTGGGGTTCGGTATAGCGTCGTTAAGATGAGAATAATGTATGTATACATCTACATCACTGATATCCTTTCTGAGCTATAATCTCCTAGAGTCTCCAACTACTGGTTCCTCTTGTCCCATGGACACTAACCAACTAGTTTGTATCACAAAAAGAGCAGTAAACTTTTAATATAACTTACCTGTGATGAAGATGTTTGTTTTAATTGTGACATGTCTTCATCATTCAGAGAATTATATTCTTTGAATAAATCATGAAATATATCCATTAATAAACTACAATTCATTTTAGTCAAATTTATGTATACACTTTCAATGTCCAATTCTATTGTCAACTGAGTATTTGCTATCTCAGTAAATAACAGTAAATTCACATTGGAACATGATGATGATGATGATGAATTTATTTTACTATGTATATTTTCAAAATTAGCGTTTTTTGTAATGTTCACAGTTGCTTCATGTACCATAGATAGATCAGAAAAATTGAAGCGTACTGAATTAAGCCAATTGGGAATAAAATTTCTTGATAAATTTGATGTAGCATAGTTGATCTATATTAGGCGGGGAAAAAAAAAAATCAATGATAAACAGAAAGAATTACGAGAATCACTGTCAGACAATTGAATTGAATAAAACTACAAAAAATTATTTCCTGGTTGTATTGTGTTCTCTGAGCTGGGTTGTTTCATCGTGAAGATTTCATCATCTTTCGAAACGACATCATCACCACCAACTTCAGTATGAAGTGAGCTGTCAATATCTCTCCATGAGTATTTTAGCAGCTTGTCTTGATGAAGTGGTCTATAATTGGTTGTCTCCTTTGATTGTTGACTCATTGAATGTGTAGATTTTCCTGTTGGCTGTCCTTCTGCTTCACCTCTCACCTCTATGTTGTTTATCATCATTCTTATTGGTTGATATATTGAGTCTACGTCTATACATCTGTTGATTGCTGACTGACTGACTGACTAACCTGAATGCCAACCTCCTAAGAATTCTCTGACATCCTTTGTGTTTTATCTCTCCATCCAAAATTTCTACATTGTCAAAATTGAATTCATCTCCATAGTTGTTATTCACCTGCATTGAAATGAGTGATGAAATGTCATGTGTATAACGTTTAATAGCCGATTGGTGTTCATGTAGACGAAGGCGAAGAGGACGACCACTTTGTCCAATGTAGTGTTGACTACAGTTGTTGCAGTTGATCACGTAGATGATATTCGGTTTGTCTTCTTTGCTTGTCGCATCATTTGGTCTGCATAATAATGTTTCCAGGCAATTTGTTGGCTTAGTGGTCTCAGTAATCTTGTCGTGATTTCTGATATGTTTTTTATGTATGATGGGATGACGCATTCATTTATTTCTGTCGATAACTTTGCAGTTGATGATGTATGGGATAGGCATCTTCCGACAAAGTTTCATGAATAGCTGTTCTTCTTTACGAAGGACATCAAGTAATTTTTTTCATTTCTCCGTGAAGTGATTGTACTGCAGTGTGTCCTCGTTCTTTTGAATAGAGTCTGCACGCAACTGATCTTGTAGGTTGTTGCTACTGTAGTTGAGGCCTTGGTCAGTGTGTGTTGGCTTCCTGTAAACTTGGGTTTCCAGCTTCCCCGTTTTCCTAGAAGCTTGGCATTCAGGTCAGTCAGTCAGCAATCAACACATGTATAGACATAGACTCAATATATCAATCAATAAGAAAGATGATAAACAACATAGAGGTGAGAGGTGAAGCAGAGGGACAGCCAACAAGAAAATCTACACATTCAATGAGTCAACAATCAAAGGAGACAACCAATTATAGACCACTTCATCAAGACAAGCTGCTAAAATACTCATGGAGAGATATTGACAGCTCACTTCATACTGAAGTTAGTGGTGATGATGTCGTTTCGGAAGATGATGAAATCTTCACGATGAAACAACCTTGTCGAGAGAATACAGTACAACCAACCACTATTTCAAAATTATTTCCTATATATATACTGAAAGTGGTTATCTAACCTAAAGGTAACTGATTTCGTAGAGTTCTATATCACACACACATACACACAACAATAATTATAATAATAACAACTCACGTATACATAAAAATTCATTGGTGCAATAATTGTTTGATATTGTGAACACCTTATAGGTAAACTATAGGATATATTCTGTTCAAACCAAAATTTTTGTAATGATGAAAAATTGATCTGTAATTTTTTCTCACTTGATAAAGATTGATCAATTGAAGTAAATTTATTAATATAATGAAATACACCAAAATGTGAAAAATGCAATTGTACACCAGTAGTATTATTCTTATTATAAGAAAAGTTATTGAATATAAATAAAGAAGGATTAAATTGTGTAAAGATAGGTAAACAATGATTAATTTCTATCATATTGAAACCAAATAGTATAAAGTGAATAAATGGATCAGAAATACACGGAATCAAGATAAGTATATTGTTTAATTGAATATGAAATTCAAGGTAAGGAAATAACTCTTTACTACTATTATTATTATTATTATTCGATTTTAAATAATCATTCATTAAAAAATCCTCATCATTGAAAGAACATTTCATCTCATCATTAGTTAAATGAAAATATGAAAATATACTTTTAAACCAAATGAATACATCAAATATCTCTTGAATTGAATGAATATAAACAATATTGGATAGAATAATTTGAATTTGTTGGCTAGTATTATGATAACTGTTTATTATATTAGAAAGAGGCCAATTAACTTGAATAGTAAGTAAATCAGTAGACAGATTATCAGAAGAAGTGGATAATGAACTTAATAAACATTGACCAACTTGTATCTTGGAATTACAAAGAGGTAGAAGTTGAAAACTATGCAGTTTCAATGATACAGAGTATGAGATATCTAAAACAAACAGATATATATATATATATATACATATCTATATGTTCTTATCAGGGATAAAAAGATAAACAATCATATTAAGAAATACTATATATGCATAAACACAAACGTATTTCAATTATAGATTGAAACGTAATTTAATAAAATATTACTAATCAATAGAGGTTCACGTACCCGATTATGTGGAGCAAATGATGATCCAGCGGGGTAAGTGCATCTGCGACATCGAATCAAAGGGTGAGACTGTATATCAATCTGCTCTTAGAAAGCCTAAACGAGTTTTTGCCTCTACTAAAAATCAATGTATAATTATTCGCTTGGATAATGGGTATATTATTCCGCGCATAATTTTAAAGCTGTGACTCGCTCATGTAAGTTGAATTGTCACTAGATGGCTGAGTTCGAGTCCCACGCCGTATATACCAAGGTTTTAGAAGGCAGCTAGTAACACTAGCCTTCATATAAATAAAGGACCTGGATCAATGCTTAATACACGAAATTGTATAGGGCCACTGAAAGGGTTTACTTCTTCCGTTTTATAATATTACTTTAAAAGTGTAGCACGATTTTTGACTACTCATGCGGATAACCAACTAATCCATAAACATTTTTTCCGGAGAAACCGTGAAAACCAGAAGATAAAGTTATCCGACAAGATGCCCACCCTTTTCCTCAAAAAATAAAGCTACTAGATCAGAAATCGGATGCTTATTTTGATTAGGCAGCTAGCTGTAGGTTAAAGTTATCCAATAAGGTTTCTCCTGACCACACGATAACATGAAACAAGATTAAAATCAAAAACTTCTAACCTAGAATGCAGATTTCAATTTAGGTCGTTTCCTATCAATATTTTAAACTCGAATGAATTGATAGAAATATTGTTGAAATTATGAAGTAATCTAGTGACTGAGACTAGAATATTGAGGAAGAGAAGAGCTGTCTACGATCCCAACCTAAAACATCAATCATGAAGAAAGAACAACATAATCAGTATAAATAAATTTCTTTACCTGAAGAGTCCAATTCGAAACAAACACCAGAGAAGATAACATTAGCAATTTCTTTTACTGATGATGATGATGATAAATTGTCAACAGATTGATTGAGCAACAATATCCTTAAACTATCCATTGATATATGCCAACTGTAATCTATTGTAGAAGTGAAACGATAGTTCATACCAGCGGAATCATTACGGTTATTCATTTCTTCATAATGATAAATCGATGATTTTGGAGTGGATTTTGCATTCAAGTTTTCACAAAGATTTGATTGTTTGCTAATCACCGAAGAATAAACTTCGTTTACAAATCTGTTTATAGCTAATATAGTACGTGGATTACCTTGAAAGGGAAAAAAAACATATTCATTATGAGCATACTATATAATATACTATATTCATATTCAAATGTTGTTTATTGACTGACTTCATCCTTTATATTGTTTCCAAGAGGATATGGATACGCACGCTAGACTGACAGTTAACGTCATATACAAGATTCATCGACTACAACCCTGGACGAAATAGAGAAGACTGAACTGGATCAGAGACTCTATTACCTCCGAGAAGAATAGTCAATTAACCCAAAAACATGTGTGTGCATATATATGCATAACATAACCTTGACCAGAATTTGAAACATTAACGTAGTAAAAGCAAGCATTAACCAATCAGCGAATCACCTTGAAAATGGGAGGATGAACTACTGGTCATACCGTAAAATTGGCGCGTAAATGGCAGTTTGAAAATGTGTTTAGGCTAATAAACAATGTTCTATGCAAATGTGAGGCTTTTCAGCACTTTAGTATGACACAACCTTATAGTTCTTTTTTAAACGCTGACCCACCTTATATATATATCAGGTCAGGCTCAACATTCGTATCATCACTTATACTATCACCATTTTCATTATTTTAAGGCGTATAATCAGCATCCTTAATATCACCAATTGGTAAATTACCTTACTTGATTTATATTTCCCAGATAAGTGAAAATCTAGGCATATTAAAGTTTGAGATGACCTACTTGAAGAAATTTCTGCTCGCTTACATAACTTTTTACAATTTATAACAATAGAGTTTAGCGATAGGTGCATATAATCGAAGTTAATATCTTTCATACCACAAGAAAATGGCTAAAAATCACTTTATAGTTGTCATAATGCATACAGTTTACGATACTTACAAAACGGTACAGTAACTTATAGAGCGTAGACATGATGCCTTGACTTCAAAGCAATATTTAACACCGCTAGTCAAAGAAATTAATAACATCACCTTTTCCAGAAGAAGGTGCCTAGCAAGCATCAAAGCGTGCTGGATAGCATACTTATGGTTGTGATTGTATGAGCAGACAATAAGCCTTCGTCTGGGGGTGATTACGCCGATCTGTCGACACGAAAAGTAAACATTCTTCACTTTCATCTAAATTTGTCACGAGTAAATTTCCCGAGATTATAATCCTCCCCCCCCTCTTCTACCTTAAGGGATCGATCATACACAAGAAATGAAATAATAACAGTAACACGAGTACGAATAATAACGACAACACGCGTAGAAAGGAGTTCCCAGACTCCATTGTGTTACCCTATAAGGAAGGTACATGAGAAACTTTACGTAGAATCCTGAACAATGCTGGAATTAAGGTGGCATTTAAACCTATAAACTCATTCAGACACAAGAGTCAAGTCAAGTACATAGGTGAAACTAGCCAGTCGGGGTCGGTTAGAATAGCCGATCAAAAAATGACAGACCCGAATAAGATCAATAATCTAGAAAAGTACTCTGCTATTGTGTAATGCATGCATTAACATAAGACCACACAATAGGGTGGGTGGGATAAAGTCACTACACTTAAGTTCAATATAATTGCGTGGAGAGACAGGGAGAAATTGATTACTGAATCTTTGTTCATCGAATCAACCAACACCCAGACAACATATGTAATAGAAATGATGCAACACCTATACTAGAGATATAGGAAACTTTACTATCAAGAAAAACATTGATATGATTATGAGCCATGATAATTTGTGCCCCGAAACTTGGTCATCAAGTAAATAATACCGTATCACTGTATGTTATAAATCAAATAAACAAACTCAGTATGGAATTACACTCTACCACAGAGCGCAAGGTTTACACTTATATTACGTGCTAAATGTGTTACTTACCAGTAATATTTAAACATCGTAGGTGTAATTGTATGAAATAAGTTTCTAGTGATTTTGACGCAATATGATGAAGTAATTCATTATTCTGATTTGATAATGTACGAGATCTTGAAGAAAATGAACGATCTAAACAATTGATAGATGGAAACCATGTCAAGCATGCGACAACAAAATCATCACACTCTTGAACACTGGAAATAAATGCTGAAATATAAAGAATTGACGGGTAATCAGATAAATTTTAAAGACAATAATTATTTGATGACGTATGATATTTTCTGTCTGTATAAGATTAATGACATTAAATACATCAGTAATGCTAGATTAAGGTGAGTAATTGACTCTTTAGAGATCTCCAAACTATTGGAAAAAGAGAATTTCATCACTTTGAGTTGATTCACTAACAAAAATTTCAGTGTTCTACCTGAAACCATTATCATAGCCCCATCTAACCATAAACTATGATGACAAACATATTCTGGTAAATAAAAGCTTGGCAAAGATTCCACTATAAATCATAATTCGAGCATACAGTGCTTTAACTGCAAGTGAAGAAATGGTGATCAAATACTGGTAACTTTAATCGACATGATTACCTTATAGTTATCTGCCATAGTTATCTGCTATCAGGGAAGAGACCAACACAGATGAAACCAATAAAAGATGAAGAAGGAAATTTAATTACAAAGAAGAGAAACAGAGGAAACGATGGGCCGACCACTTCAAGAAGCTCTTGAATCGACCACCACCTGCACTTCGTCCAGAAATACCACTGCAGCCGCTGAATTACAAGTGAACATTAATCCCCCAACGAAAAGGGAAGTCCTGAACGCCATAAAGCTACTGAAATGCGGAAAAGCAGCAGAACCAGATGGAATACCGCCAGAAGCACTGAGAACAGATGCAGAGACAACAGCGGACATGCTCACACACACCACTATTGCAGAAGGTGTGGAAGGAAGAGAAGGTACCTGGCTAGTGATTGGAAGAAGGGTTACCTTGTCAAACTGCCGAAGAAAGGAGACCTCAGTGTTTGCAAGAACTGGCGCGGAATCACTCTCCTGTCCACCCCAAGTAAATTAAGCCGCATCATCCTAGAGAGGCTAAAGATGCACTGGATTCAAAACTGCGACCGGAACAGGCAGGCAGGCTTCAGGAAGTACAAATCATGTGCAGACCAAATTGCAACGCTTCGTATCATCATAGAACAGAGCATAGAATGGCAATCAGCTCTCTATCTCAACTTCATCGACTTTGAGAAGGCCTTTGACAGCGTCGACCGAGAAGTAATTTGGAAACTGCTTCAATACTACGGAGTACGCAAACCTTTATCCGCCTCATTCAACAACTATATGAAGATGCCACATGCCAAGTAATCCACAATGGGAAGCTCAGTGATGCCTTTGAAGTGAAGACAGGAGTGAAACAAGGTTGCCTACTACCCCCATGATATTCTTGATTGTGGTGGACTGGATCATGCAGCAAACAGTAGGCAGCGAGAAGAGGGGATACACTGGACGACGGAAAAGAACCTAGAAGACTTGGATTTCGCCGATGACTTATGCCTAATGTCACACAAACTTGAAGATCTGCAGGCAAAAACTAACAAGTTGACAGAAGAGGCAGCTAAGACGGGACTTCAGGTGAATATAGAGAAGACAGAAGTGATGAAGATACCGCACCACCACCATCCAACAACAAACTCCAATCACCATGAACGGGAGAAACTTGAAGGAAGTAACCTCCTTCACTTATCTAGGAAGCACTGTTTCAACTACAGGCGGGACGGACGAGGACGTCAAAGTCAGAATCGGAAAAGCAAGACAGGCGTTCATTAGCCTGAAACCAGTGTGGAGATCTTCTGCACTCAGCATGTGGAACAAGATACGGATTTTCAACACCAACGTCAAGTCAGTGCTCTTGTATGGTTCAGAGACTTGGCGCGTCACGAAAGGCATTTCCAATAATATCTGCCAAAACAAAGAATGTCATCAGTTAAGTATAAATGGTAGTATATGAGATGGTATACATCTTATCAAGTAGAAATTTGATAACTAAGAAATGATCTCATTGGAAATCATCAGTTCAACTAGTAATCAAAGTACCAGGGACTGAGATATTTTACACACTGAAGTATTCACCAAATTAACATGGAATTATACACTACTATAGTGCCAAAGTTTTTTATTATATCATGGAAACTTTAGTTTCTAATGGAATCGTTAAGTGCATTGATCAGAACCATTAGTTAGTTGTATAATCTCCTCAATTTAGGAAGAATATGCAACTCATTTAGTTTTTTTGCTAACAAAAATAGCGAGATAATATGTTGGTCACTGCCCCTGCCTAAGCTTGACCAATGAACATGCATAATGTGACAAAAACAATATTTTCTTCATACAAAACAAAAACTTGTAGATGAAAACGTACGCTTAAATTCGTCATCTGACAAAAAGGATGAACACTCTTTCAATGATGATGATGAAGACGATGACTTCAAAGAATTAAAATGACCTCCACCATCTTGATTATCTGCTGAATCAGTCCTACAAATAAAAAGAAAAGCAACGTGATTAACAAGCCTTCTCAACAACTGGAAAATTGTAAATGACAAACTGGAAATGGGATAAAACAATATGACATCTATTGTGTGAGCGTTATTGATGCTATCTGGTTGCGTAAACCTTGGTAGGTAGTGTTCGAACCTGTCACCTACTAGCTGAAAGTTAACTGACTAAGCCAATAAATCACGAGTCCACTACAATAGGTATTTCAGAAGCCCGCTAACAATATGCTGATCCAGCGTATCTTGTTACAGAACATGTAGATTAAGGGAATACTACCTAGACAGGTAGATGTAATCAAAACATGACCTGACATTGATGAATAGTTTGTGGAAAGCAACGATTATCACACCTCATTCATATTGTGATAAAAAGGCAGAAGGTAAAAACAAAAGGTTGGACAACGAAATGGGAATAATAAAGTCATGTAAGAAGATTTTCCACTAATTGTTTCCTTTACTGGTCAATTTTACTACTTATTGTTTTGTAACAAATATTGATATATTTCACTTAGACTCCCCTTTGTATATATCCTTTAACTGACCTACTTCCTTTGAGTTGAGGGGTAAAGTATGACAACTTCAACAAGCAGAGAGCATCTGCTCAGATGCAAACATACGTTGCAATCAACGATTTGCAACTATATCGATTGATTTACCTTGTTTAACCATAACTAATTTGCATATACCACACGTAGTGGTTCCACAATACGCGACTGTTTATATGTCAGCAAAGGCGATCGAGGGCCTATACTCTTTTTGTCTTCTTTAGTTTCAATAGCCATGTTTTATATTCATATAGTAGGAGAGAGCAAACTGCTATTCAGTACACTAAACTTTAAACAAGTGATTGGATATCCTTCTGGTGCCATGAGCAGCATAAGTTATCGCATATCGATAGGGGCTTTTGCATTTATACCGAGATTTCATCAGCGAATGATCTAATAGGACCAAAAGAAGCTTCCAGATACGTGAAGCAGTCAACACGATAAATCGCTTCAATGCTTATTACTAGATGACGTATCACCGCAAGTCAGTCCTGAAATAACTTCCTGGATTAGATAGGTGAGAAACGTAACCTAAACACTGTCAAACTGTCAGACAGCATATCTGCAGAACTCAGGATGTTGTGAGAGATTTCTGGTTACCTCTAAGTTGACTGAAGTGTCTTTTGCATAGAGATCCATCATTTTAAAGTCAGAGGTGTAGCAGGAAATCTATATAAGCACGACTCTAATAAATCAATGTATCATAAAGCAAAGGTAAATATATCTTAATTCCTTGCATGTATCGTGGTGCTTCCCCAGTGTTTATCAGAAAGCAAGGAAAGACAAGCTAACAAGCCTTATTTTTCTTGGTTACTTAAGTAGACTCCAGTTTCGGACTAAAATATCTCATACAAAATAAGAGAAGAAATGCTACTGTTGTTTTAAATTAGACTCCCTACTAACACATTGGAAAAGGTTAAGTGATAAATGAAATAAAAATATGATATCAAATTATCATGATGATAAACTGACCTATCAAGTTTTTCTGAACTCAGTATCACATCGTATACACCACCGAGATTGCTTACAGCGTCCACAACTGAAATACTACCTAGTCTAAATTGTAGATGAAATCCAACTTGGGAACCATGATAAACTGATACGTTGCAAACTGTTCCACCTAAACGGCACTCAGCTAAAGGACGTTCTGTAGATTGTGATATATGAAAGAAAGAGCGTGAACAAACTTATTGTTAGTTGGAACAAATGATAATAACTGAAATCTAAACAAATGTATGTGTTTATTTCTCAAGATTTATATTCTCCATTGTCAACAATCGTGTGCAATGTGGCCTTTTTGCTGAATTATCTCTTCTTCTCTCTATGACACGATGGGCATGTTTCGCTCTATGACAATGAAGGAACTCGATGGGTTTCTCAAGTTTTCTGTCAAGTTTGCCGTAGCGAATACACGAATTAGGTTTCTCAAAAGCTGCATAGATAAATGCGAATATCCAAATCTGTATTGAAAAAAGTCTACGCTGAAATCATATTCGTTCAAATCATCATTCTTTAAAGCGTTACACACTGAATATCATCGACGAAATAAAATTGGGATTATCTGAATTGAAGCGTAACCTCTCATTGAGATCCTATACACTAATCGATCAATCAGAAGACGAGCATGTTAATTTCACAGACTACATCGAGGTGTCAAAATGTTGATCAGAAGACGCTAAGCTCAACTTGATGAGATGTTTTAAATAGTCAGAAATACATTTCCGTATTCCAGAAGCACCGGAAAAATATGTATTCAATTACTCTAAGGTACATATGACTCCCATTCAAATAAAGGTATTATCTCTAGGTCCGAAATTTTGTGATACTTCAGCAACTATCAATGATTTAAGCACAAAAGTTCGATTTGAAAATCTTATCAATCAACTAAATGATCTCCTATCACTTTTAAACAAGAGACTTGAACAGTCCAAGTCAACTATCTTTAATTACTGTCATCAATATCTTAATACGAAATCATATTGTAAATGATTGTTGACAAATGGAGCATATAAAGCAACTGCGTGAAATCTTGATAAATAAATATGTGTCCAAGTTGATACGAACAGGTTTTCGACAATACACTATTGTTTATAAACAATTAAAGCTGGGATATGTAGCGATCAAAGGCGACTTGATTGTTGACAGGAATGTGAGGGCGACTGATAATTCTCAAATGTCCATATTGAGGAAGATTACTTCATCTTAAGGTACTTACCTCAATGCGCGACTTTAGAGCCCCAAGGAGGCCGGTAACACATGGTCTCTTTAAACATTTGAAATTTAGAGAGTCATTGAAAACCTAAGAGCACTGGGTAGATGTTTCGTCCTAGTGTAGGACTTCTTGGTATTGTGCGTCCATGACTCCGTTCACCAACAAACCTGAAGGTGGTGGGTTTGATCGCTGGTGGGGTCATGGATGCACACTGTTGAGTAGTCATGTATTACGACGAAAGAGCCACCCAGTTCTCCCAGATTGTCTCCAAATGATGCCAGTTCAGGATGAATACCAACTTGAAATCAGTAAATCTCCACATACCTCCAAGATGAGTCTTCTGTTTGATAGTGCTGAATCTAGGCTATAAAAACTCAAACCACTGATACCAGGACTTCTCAAAGCAAGGAGGAGTTCGCTGTCTTTTAGGGTACACCATTTCTAACTCCTTCAATCGACAGGGAGAACAGTACTTGCATGAACTACTGGTCGTGCGTCAGAAACGTCTTATTGCTGTTTCACTACACCCAACAAACAGTACGACTTTACTAAACTATTTACACTATGCCAGTAACAGCTTTGAGTCTTATCCCTACTTGACAAACCTCTCTGACATCTCAAAATCTTGAAGTGCTTCATTGAGTCATTGTGACATATAAGCCTGACTAGCATTTCAAAGTAGCAGCCAATAATCGAAACTGGAATATACACACCACATAGTCTAACACATAAGTTACGTAACATATGGAAATAAAACCAGTAAAATGTCCAAACATGACACTATTATATTCCATTAGCTAGATAAATAATGTCACTTGCCAATAGATTATGATTGAACAAACCTTGTGATTCAAACTGAATAATAAATGATTGAATAGAATAAGTTGCCAGGATTCGTTTTCGTCCAGTATTCAGTAGTACCGGCAACAATTCAGTTAGTTTTTTATTACGATGACATAGAGGTTCATTTGCAGATTTACGACAACTAGGAGGATGATAGAATATGGATAAGCTATTGTGATGAAGTCTATCCTCCTTGAAAGAATACTTCATAGATGGCGTACTTTTATTTGATATCAATGAGTGGGAATATGATAAAGAGTGTGTACGTGAACGATTGAAACTCTTGCTAACATGTTTTAACTTTATTGGTTGAATGTCATTCCAATATCTTCGGCAAGCTATTAAACATGAGAAGAAATCATATATTTTTGTGTTCGACAATTGGATAACACACGACTCTTGTTTTAAACTTAACTTTAGATAAGGAGGACAGGTGGACGCTTTATTATCGATTGGTGAAGTATCCTGCAATGGATACATTCGACGATTAATTAATAAACTCAAATTGAATGGATTAATTAAGCACAAACGAGACACCAGCGCCGACTTGCTCATACGTAGAACTGAATGACCATCAGAAGAGAAAGATGCATCATGAAGTAAGAACTTATGCTTCTTATCTAAAAATATATTAGAGAAAAAAAAAGAAACACTTCAAACTTAAAAAAGATCCAATCTGAATATATGACAAAGACTTATTCCTTTCATTGGTTGGTCAGTAGGAGGGGGGGGGTGACCACTCCCCATTGTCTAGTCCTGAGTGCTGATGTTAGGTGGATGGAGGCAATCGGCAGGAAACCTCGAACCTAAGCTTTGTGCTAATTGACACTCATTAGCAAAGCATAATTGGTTACTTTCCAGTAACTAATCAATGTACCTAATCCAATGCTACAGGATGTCAGTCGCAGCTACAACACTGCTTGACGCAGGTACGAGTCTCAGGTTGGACATCAATTCCATCGGGATTGCAGATACACCTTGCTAAGGAGTACTGGAAAACACGAAACCCAGATCCAGGGCTTCCTGCCGATTGCCTCTATCCAACTAAGACTCAATGCTTTTTACTACATCGATATCGAGTTCACCTTGTTTCTTTCTTTTGTCTACATATTATATAGAGGTATCAAAGCACTGAGTAGAGCATACACTTGGGTTTCACCGACAGCGTTATCGAACTAGTTGTAGTGTGAGAATGCATTAAATAGAGTACTTCGGAAGAATACTCACCCCCTTCGTTAAGTAAACGGTATCAAGTTCATTGACTTGAAAATATGGTTAAATACGACCAGTAAATTAGTCTACAACTTAAAATAAGATTTTTCTGATCACCATTGGGTTTTTTGACGATAATATAACTTCATGACGCTTATTAGTGCATCGCTTAGGTCACAAGTAAAGTGGTACTCATAAAACTTGTTCAGAAAATTATATAAAGCTTGTCTCAAGACACAGAAAAATGATGATGACTATCCTTTCCCCCCCCCGCCACCACATGGTAGGTAGGTAGAAACATCAGACTTAGTTGAATCGAAAATGGAAACAAGCTCAGTAACCTTGTGCATAACTATTGAGTGATGGCTAATGAAATACTACATGGTTCCCCAAACCTCGGTAAATGGAGCGAGGTTCGAACTTATGGCCTATTGTTTGAAAGTTATCTCCTTAAACCAATGAGTCACAGTTCCACGAACTTAATATTACTCTTCTTATTTTCTAATTCAATACAAAATTCAAATCAAAACCAATACAAACTTCTTTAATGTGTTCCATGTAACGGATTCATTTTCTAAATAGCCACTATACTAAGCCTTGCTAGGTTCATACATGGTGTGGACATTTCATGTCCCCATGTTTTACTTTCGCCTTCATCGAGAGAAGACATATCGGCCAATTGGCTTCCCGAAGGCTTTCACCAACCGGCGTCATTTCGTCTGCTCGATTCCAGCGAGGAATAAGTTTCTTTTTATTTTTTATGATTTCTTTGTGCTTTGAAGTTTCTGTAGCGGTTGGATTGGGTAGGGTTGCTAGCCCTATGCCCAACCTTCCCTCTTTACCCGGGCTTAGGACCGGCTAGTAACTAGTGAACTAGTTAACCAGGTGAGGTGACATGGAGATCGTGTAAAGAAGAAATGAGAGCTATTGGGCTGTCGTGGAGCCAGGTTCCTTAATTCTCGTATCCTCATGATGTTGGTCTACATTATGATAAAAAAGAATACTTTTCTCAGACCTCATGTAGGAAGTATGCTTTTTAAATAAAGCGAGAAAATATAAATACGAGGGAAATTCTCTTTCAGTAAACACAATTATATTAATGCATTAGGAAATGCACAATAACTGCTGCATGTAGAAGTTTGAAATACTACCTACCTGTTAAAGCCTTAATAGACCAAAGGGGATTCGAACTCATGACTCATTGGGTGAAAGTTAATTCCCCTAGCCAATGAGTTACAGCTTCATGAAGTAATCATACTTCAAAATATAATGAATTTTTTAAAGTGAAACTGAAGCATTCAAGTTATCATCTCTCTAACTGTTTTCTTTGAGAAGTAAACAGCATTAGAGTTCAGTGTACAATTTCCAACTAGTTCCCCTAGTAATATAACAGGTTCAACTTTCTGATAAAAAAATTCGTAAAGTTGTTTTGTTTTCCACTTGATTACTAATTCAAAGAAAAAGAAAATATAGACAAAAATACCTTTAGATTCTACTAGATTTTCATAAGCACTGAAACGATTCCATAATCCCAATTTCTCGAATGTATCCAAACTGCCAACTAATACACGTATATTTTCTACATTTATCATATATGATGCATAATTATTTTCCATTGGTGCTGATGTCGTCGACTCAACATTTCCTTCTAAATCAGTTGGATTATTCTCATCGCATCTGAATCAACACAGAAAATTTCAAGTTTTAATATATATATATATATACACACATACGTCGTTACTATATATATACTAGTGAAGCGCAACAGACTGGTCAATTCGGTTCAATCAACAACGATGTAATACAAGTAATAGCACTAAAACTATACCTGTCACACAAGAATTGGCTATCGTGGCTCGGTAGTGTAGTGGATAACGCACTGACGTTTGAAACGATCGCTCCCGAGTCCGAGTCCCGGTGCGAACAACATCACTCACTGGGAAGCAGGTACATCCAGCTGACGAATCCCAAATAGGACGAAATATGCATCCTGGATTCCACTGCTAGCCACTGCCCATCATTAGTATAGATCATTAAAAACACAAGCAATATCTAGGCATCCGCACAGGAACCCATATGCCAAAACATTGAAACTATAGTCAGAAGCAAAACAATTAGAACCTAGAATGCATAAAATTAGTGACTAAGCCACACAGATTTGCCAATAGCAATCTGAGAAAATTAGCCTTAATCAGACAGACGAACAAAATCACTGAAGAACCTAGCACAGAAGCGCATCATTTCAAGTTGCCACACTTCATAATAGTACACATAGAACAAGTCGATAGGAAAAGAGTAAAATAAAAGTAGACAAAGTTGTGTGAGAGAATAAACAATTTGAGGACAAAAATTAGTGGAAACATTCAAGCTTTAGAAGATGTCGAGGAGTGAATACATCTGCACTATTCTCATCGATTTTCAGCTATATCACCAACAGTCTTCAGCCACTCATTCATATCGTCTCGAGCACTCCAACCAGGTATCTATATCTCCTCATACGCCTAAGATCAACAGTCAGATACTTCACTGACTAGTGCCCCATCTTCGTTCGGCAACCCTGAATATTCTTCAAACCTAATTCAACATGGTACGCCAAGGCAGGCGGTGGATTGGCATGTAAAGAGCATGTCCAAACCACTTCAGTTCACTAAGGTTTATAACCTCATCAATCGACTTGCCTTTCTTGCTTAGTACCCTTCGCCTGACCTTAACATAGCTCTCATGTTGATTGGGCGAAGCGCGAGTAATCACTTCATATCTTCAACTTTTAACAGGCATATAACAGGACAAGACGTACTGCAGCGCAGTGTGCCCATACTTTGACACATAGTTGGGCATCTCCCCAGTCGGCACCATAGATGACGTGATTCGGCAGATACCAAACAAGCTTTCTGTATCCTATCTAAGATTTCTTCAGCAACCTGACCGTTTGAGTTGATGCAGTACCCATATAAATGAAGTGGTCGATACATTCCATCATTTCACTCCCTAGCCTTAAACTGGGAGTATTCACAGACTAGTATACCATTTAACAGATGCGATATGTATTCCAAAAATAAAGAAATATATGAGGTATTTAGGACAACACTTTGAGACAACGAAAGTATACACATTATATTAACCGTACACAGTGAACTGGATCGATATGTGGCCAACGTCAACTTTCATTATGATAACCTTAACATGGAACGAAACATCTAAACATAGTGTGAACAAAATTTGTACCAAAGATTTACTAGAAATCCTTTAATAAAACCATATCAAAAATGTGCTCATCTAGGTTTTTTCCCACTCGTTTGACTTTAACAAGATTGACTACCACCCAAAAGATACCTCATTCAACATGGAGTATACAAATGATACAGCCCAGTAGGGTAAAGGTGCTGATATGATATGATGTTGTCTTCTGCAAACACTGGTCATCCATTTAATGGTGGTAGAAATATGTTTCTCACCTATCACAAGCGAAATGTTGCTACATGATTGGTTTGTGTTGATACATTGTATGACAATACGGAGTGGGTCCAGTGGTCAATGTACTCAAACACTTCGCTCTTAATCAAAAATTAGGCATAAATGCAAACCAGTGCAGATCATCAAGTATCACTATGGATGATATCTATAGTATGCATTATTTTTTTGCCATTCATAATGTTGTATTGATCTTAGTGACTAGAAGAGGACTCGTCAGCTGCATATGCCAGCACCCCATTACGGAGTGATGTTTTCCCCACTGAGGCTAGAACCCAGCACCCTTCGCTTCAAACCCCAGAGCGTTATCTACTAAACTACTGAAGTACGATAGCCACCTCTTGTGCAACGAGTATCAGTTTTTGTAACGATACTTGTAATTCCCTGTTGCAATACAGGGCCGAATTGCTTGACCTCTGTTGGGAGATGAGCTCCTATGCCAAGATCAATATAACATCGTGGCGTCTGCGTAACAGCTCATCTGCCAACAGAAGTCGAACAATTTCGCCCTGTATAGCAACGGGAAATTGAAATTATCATTACAACCTTGTCATTCAGTCTATTCGGAATGTTGAAACTATGCATGTCTTCACCCAACAATGCTACTTTGTTTGTGTACACTGAGTGGCCGAAGAGATTAATTTCGAAGATGATGAAGAAAGGAACTATAACTATAAGAAGTCCATTCATGACGAAATTAGATAAAAATGAATATTATTACTATTTGCTGATATACATGTAATTTCCCGTTGTTATACTGGATCGAACTGACTTACTTCTTTTGGCATCTGGACTTCTATGCGAATACCTCGATATTGCTAAAATATTTATTGTTACGATTTACTTGGTCTTGGCTAGCAGTGCAATCCAGCACGCGCGTTTTGTCTTATTTAGGACTCGACAGCCGAATGTACCTGCACCCTAGTGAGTGGTTTTCTTCTCACTGGCAGTCAAACCTCATACCCACTGCTTCATACATCAAAGCGATGGATACGATATTCGAGTCTCAGTAGTAAGAACACCGCTCAATGGGGTACAGGTAGACCCGGCTGACGAGTCCCAAATAAGACGAAACACGCGTCCTGGATTGCACTGAAAGCCATAACCAAGTAAACTATTAAAATGAACGCTGTTTATCATCTCAGAAAAATACACAAGCTATAGCAGAAACGTAGGTATTCGATCAAACAAGCTCCACTACATGTTAGGCACTTTCTTCCTTGAGAGAGCGATATCATGAGTCTCTTCGATTGACACGGTCAATCGCTTTTCTGAAGTGAAGAAATATGGCCGGCGTAAGATGCGGGTAATTATGTTTTTGTGCTGCATGATATGATGTGAAAAAACTAGTTTATAGACGTATGAATAAGTCTGAAACCTCTTCAGACCTTTTTAGATTATCTGTTTTATCGTCTCGACTCTTATTCAATCCTTACCATAGACGCACTTATAGAGGTCTCCGTCCCGTCGTCTAGCTTCATAGGGAATGATCTTATCACAAAAGAATCTTTGCTAGATGCAGAGCAGTTGTGTTAGGTGAAGACGTTGACAAGACGTAAAGTTTTCTAAACACTTTGAGTGGCAATTTAAGAATGTCTGCGATGTGTTTCCCACCACTCAAATCCAAATTATTGCTTCAGAATTCCCCTGTCCCTTCTCTAACAATAGGGTGCGAAGAGGCTAAATGCGTTGACTAGTAGAGGAGCACATTCAGTGATAGACCTTGTCGAACAGACATATTTCATCAAAAATACTTTACATGAATGATACCAAATTTGAAGAGATCAAAACCTAAGTGAAAAGAGGAAATTACTAACCCTTAAGAAAACAGTGCATGAATGAATGCATATAATGAATCTAGAAACTGTATATCTACCTTCGAGATTCCTTTGCATTTTCGCTAGCCACATCCTCTTCTTCGTCTGCTTCGGATAGTTCAGCAGGAGTACTACATGGTGTTCGGTAGTCATCATCATTATCATCATCATCATCAGTTTCGTCTTCGCCATTTAGAGTTTGTGTTGGTAGAGAGCTTTCATTTTTGGAATTAACCCAGTTTTCAGACTTAACAGAACATACGTTGTTCTAAAATTTATAGAGTATTATGAAAATATTTACTTATTTAACAATTGACAATGATAAATACAGTCGGTTAAACCAAACAAAGTCATCGTTTGACAAACTTAACAGTCATTTCTGACTGAGTGACTGATTTCTGAAGACTCCTTATTTTTAAAGCATCTTCATTCAGCAAGACAATATCGTCTGCATACTTCAAATCAACCAGAAGACCTCTAGGTACTTCTAGGTACCTAAGGCTAAGTCCATTATTACGTCTATAACGAAGTTAAATAGGAACGCTGATAGCCAAAGGGTCATATATGATTCCTATGTACTAGTTAATAGCACAGTTTGTCGATTGAGTAATTCAGTACAAATACTGTGAATATCTTTTGTGCTAATCCATTGGGGACTACCGCACTTTCTCAGCCTTCCGTAAGATTTTCAGGCTGTTCATCAAGATCCCATTCAACCTATGATCTCTTGAGAGAAAAACTATGATCTTTCAAGTGATGGCATTAAACTTTTCGACTTCCAAATATTCCTCTACTGATATCAATTAATGATATAAAAAATAATATTTACAAAATTAACCAGAAATCATAAATTTATCACATTCTTGGCCATAAATAGATAAATAAACTTACTGTTAATATACCATCGCATTTCCTGCCAGGGTGAGGAGTAGCTTGTATTTCCGGCCAGTTAGTCACTTTTAAATGACCGAAATCGCAAAGCAAACACTTCACTGAAGTAGGTTTGGAATTATCATCTGGTATTAGACTATTATTATTATTATTATTATTATACATAAAACAATTAGGGATTAACATTCTTGGTGCAGCTAAATCGAAATGTATAGCCCAACGATTTTGTGACTTGAAAGATGTAGACGAATTCGAGGACAATAATGAAGAATTGATACGACTTCGTTTACATCTTGTGAATTGATCATCATGAGATGTTCACCAGTAATATCTTTCAACAGGGAACGTAAATTTGCTTGTGCACGTCTAGTTGAAGCTGAGATGATTACAAAGAAAAATGTTCAAAGTATCAGTTAGTTCAGAGAAATTACAACAAGATTAATTATACGCATTACCGTCATGCTGAAGACCATATTAATAATCTTAAGTGTATTTATATGCTTGTTAATAATATATACAAGGTCAAACATTTGAACAGAAGGCTTCGAATCATATTTTACTAGTTGCATAATTTCTCGAAAACCAAGATAGTGGTAAGACGATTGAAGGTTTTTTAACAAAGTCAATTTATGTACAAAAACTGTTTTAGTCTGGAGGTTTATGGGAACTGACTGATCTCAAGGTCACTGACATTAGTTCCATCTCTGACGAGATTGTGAGTGCCCACTGCTGAAGAGTTTCGTACCAGGTCAAACAAGCTATTTAATGCTCTCAAGTTTCCAATGATTTTTCAACTGATATCAGTAGGTAATGAATAATACCATCTTGTTCATAATAAATTCAAAAATGACGTAAGATCTTCGAAGGGTTTCTAAATTCTTTTACAAGACCAACACATAGAAGGTGTTTTCCGAAACTTCAGAATATACTGATTAGTATTGCTTTTTAATGTTTTCAGCAGTTTCTAGTTACTCTAAAAATTTAGCAAGTAGATTCAATAAATCATAGTAAATATGAAAGCAACTCCATGATGGCATCGATTTTAGAATATAGCTGGAAGCAAATGAAATATATTCGTAATCCATTTACCCAATGTTCAACTCATTCAACCCTATCAAGTCAAATTTTGATCTCGAAGTATAGAGTTGAAAATGCTTTCTGCTATATATTCAAATTAATTGATTTACTATTCTCTATCATTTTGACTAGACAGTCGTGGTTTCGTAGACTAGTTATGTTACTGAGTAATGATTGAAGCTGAAATGAAAATTTGGACCACGGTCGGATTCGAACCAGCGAACATTGGGTTTTCAGCCTGATGCTCTAACAACTGAGCTAAGAGGACCCCATAGCTAAATACATTCAGATTATGAGATCATATGAAACATTCTTCACTTAGTGACTGGTGCATTGTGACTTCATAAGTAACACATCACCTTAAAATTAGGTGTCTAAGCTTGCTTTAATTGAATTCTGAACTTTGGATCCTGTGAACAATTGGTATGATTATCATCATTTACAATCCAACAAAAGAGGCTGATTATTTTAATGATTCAGCACTCTTGACAAAGTTAATTCAGACAGATTTGTGGCTTTTTGGTATAGGTACTCAACTTTTAACCAGTGGGTCAAGGAATGAAACTTTACTTGATCTATTGAAGTTCGTGTAGTATCATAAACTCATACACTTAATAAGTGTGCTTCATTGCCAATAGTATGAATATGCAAGTGGTTTCTCAATGCATTTTGATTCGATTGACATACAGACAAATAAATGAACCTGATATTCAACAAGTAAAACTGATCTAGTGATAATTTATCACAGTTATAATTGATCTTCACAAATTTCGATAATTTGGAAATGTCGTATGGCATGACGATAACATTATTAGCATCATTCTGTTTTGCGGTATTGATATATGAACGATATAATGTATCAATGCGATACGATTAACGATCAAACAGTAACTTCTCAACACAATACTCAACTGACATAAGAAGAAGTTAATACGATTTAAAGTATATTTTACTTCAATCGAACAGTGCGATTATAGCTGAAATTTTAATTGTTTATATACATTTTTAAGGACCTTGACCAAGAAAAACAAAATAGTACATTAAAAATGTAAAATGAACCAATCAGCGCTTAGTATCTTAAACTGCGGTAAAAAAAAAATAGTGACAATGCATGGAGCAAAAAAGGCGCGAAAATACGGTTTAAATTTTATAATGAAAGTATATGCATATTATAGGTTATTTTTTAGGGATTAGACATAAATAACACCTCCCCTTTTGTTACCTAGGCTCCCTATTTATAAATTGATCTCTAAAAGAAATCTCTGTAGACGAAACTCCACGTTGAAGTATAAATAGTTGTAATAAATCAATCCTAATTCTGCATTTTGCAAACACTTCACATCGGTCTTGACTACCATTTAGAAGTTATTCGGTAGCGCAATTATATCTTCTTAAGAAAGACAGTATGATAAAACAGAAAGAACAACAAATGACGAAAACTAGAAAGTTATACAAATATACTCACCTTCAAACTTTGAAGGCATAGCTGATCTAACAAAGTCTGTAACTTGACGAAGTAATTCCGGTTGACAGACAACTTGAATTGGATCCGTATGAATTTCAAGGCTAAATTTTTATTTTTTTTTTTTAAAGTAAAGAAATCATAATTAAATATTATTTGGTTTAATAATTTAGGGGCAGGACATAGTTATCAAGCTATTCAACAGATAGATAGAAAAATAAACAGACAAAATCAACGTAGAACCTTGAACAGAAGTGTGTCAGTTCAACTTGTGACAATTCACAGTAGTGAATAAAGAACAAGTGGATAAGAAAGACTTATACCAAAGTGGACATAGGTGAATAGAAGAGAAGGAAATTTAAAAATTACTGTTACTCAAAGCATTCAAGCTTCAGAAGATAACAATGAATGAATACATCTGCGCTATTCTCGCTGATTTTCAGCCATGTCACCAACAGTCCTCAACCACTCATTCATATCGTCTCGAGCACCCCATGTAGGTAGTCTGCATCTCCTCACACGACTCAGATCAACAGACATACACTTCATCGACTGGTGCCACGTCTTCGTCTGACCACCATGAACCTATTCAAACCTAATCTAACTTTCCTTAGCATTGCACGTCGAGGTAGATGGTGGGTTCGCATGCAAAACACTCTTCCAAAACATCTCAGTCGAAGAAGTTTCACAACTTTATTGACTGAATTGCTTCCTCTCCTTATAACCTTTCACCTGACCTCAACATTATTCATTTGGCGATTTTTTTTTGTATCTCTTACATTCAACGACCATGTCTCACTGCCATATAAAAAAGGGAATGGACTGCAGTGCGGTATACTTGTCTTTAATAGATGGTCAGATATCTCGCCAGTCAGCGCAACAGATGACGCGAGTTGACAAATGACAAATGGGCTTTTTGTATCTGAGCTGAGATTTCGTCCGAAATCAGTTCGCTCGAGCTGATGCGACTCCTGAAGAAAGTGAAATAGTCGACGCATTCCCCTACCTCACTCCCTAATCTTAAGCTAGCAGTAATTGTAGACTAGTCAGTCCTGGAGCATTATCTTGTTTCTGAAAGGTGCGAAACGCATGCCAAACAATAAATGAGTAGAAATCCTACTTCGCTTACTCTAATATCCACACATACAGAGCATCACTTTCTGTCAACACGATGCATGATTTATGGTGTACAATGCAGTTTTATTCATCTTTGTTGGAATGTTTCATATCTTAATACTTTGGAAGGCATATTTAGATAGTTACCTATAGACAGAAAGGATTGTAACAGCTAGATTCAGACCTAAACTACTATAGTATTCTACAACAAACTAATTACGATAATATTACGAAATAAATTTCTCCTATATGTTACAATCTAACTTGAAATTATTAAAATCAATGTCGCAAACATTTGAATCCTCCCTTTTAGGTATTTTCGATAGACTAGCTTTCAAAGTGTTTACGTTTAGTTGTTGACTGACTCAATGTAACAAGCAGAAAACACTCCATCAAGCTGTCACACACCTATTTTGTTACTATTCGTCAGCTTCAGTTACAATTAGCATGATGTTAGCAGTCATCATCATAGATATCAACACAGGACCAGACATTACAGCACAACGATCCAAGTTGCCATACCTCATATGAGCAGAATTTAAAAAGTGGTAAGATCAAAGATGAAGAAAGAAAGACAAACCGATCAGATGTAGTAGAAATCAGTCAAAAAAAAGAGGAAGGAGGAATGAAAAATTATTGGATTCATTAGAGTGGTTAAGATGAAAATAAAGTGTGGGATAAATCTACGCCACTGACATCAGTTCTAAGCCAAGTTACCTAGAGTTTCCAAACTCTGATTTCTGTTACCACGTGGACTCCAACCGACTAGTCTACATCTCCGAACACAGATCAAACCAACGGTCAAAGACTTCACACACCGATGAAATGTTTTAGTCTGGTCATTTCAATCCTTTTTTCAGCCTGCGCCTACATTGAGCGACGAGGCAGACCAGGTGATCAAGTATGCGCAACACATTTTTCAGCTATCTCAGTCGATGAAAGTTCACAGCGATTGACATTCCTCATCGTCTGACTTCTACTTCATTGAAGTGATGACACTATGACACAGTCTACGCTACAAAAGCAACGGTTATCAAGATCCAGAAGCCTTTCAACAGTAATGATGATAAGCATCACACAAGTGAGATAATCAAACTGTAATCCACATACACAAAAGAATTGTGAAAAGGTATATTAACCCATAACTGAAAGATCAATTTAAGAACGCCTAGTCTTCACAGGTGGGACCTAATAATGATGATATCAATTAAACTTTCACCAGCAGATACATAGAAGCACTTTAGAAATAAATAGTATTACACTGAATAGCAATTCTTTTGTGAATGTTACTGAAAATTACACTTCAGGTAAAAAAATGAAAAGTGGAGTTTGTCAAGAAAAGAACTTACAGATAATCAACGTTTATTTTTGTTGAATTTACTTCATAAATAAGTGAGAAAACTCGTCTTTCTTGATTGCTAACAGTATTCAAACTGTTGTCTATTGATACCTTTGAAGATGTAGATTGGTAGCGAGGGAATAAAACAACAGGAAATATAGGAGTAGGTTGAGTTGAATTCATCTGCTTATCTAGTAGATGTCGTTCATCACACACCATCAATGATTGAATATGAGAGGATAATCGATAAGAATTACATTTGGTCGAAGTTCCAAACTGAAACTTATTTGTTGTCCAGATAAATTCACAAAAGCTGTATGCTTCAAGGGGGAGGGGGGATATATAAGAAAACAATAACAGTCAACTTGTACTTGAATGCAATAATTAAAAAGAAATTCAATGCAACACCTTTATAGATTGAAACAAAACGAATATGGTCCCCTGTAGAAACAGAAGTATTCAGATTACATTATATGATCTGCTAGACAACGTAAATGACGTCAAGATTAACAGCATGAGAGTTGTGAGAAGTATGCTCTTGACTGACAGTAGTTGTAGCTTACTAACGCTGAGCTCACTGACCAGGTGATCTAACTACTAGGCGGTCGTTCAGGGCTGAGGTCCTCAACGGTGTACCCGGATAGATTTAGTTCACATAGTCAAATTGTTCGTACCAACCAAATTCCGGCTAGGTGCTACCCTGACGTGGTGGTCGGGCTTGTATATCACAATGACCCAACGAGCTATGATGGCTGGAACGGTTGTTCCTTAGAGGTCCTACTATACTAGAAAGGTCCGTTGGATAGTAGTTAGACAAGCAGCAGTTATCATTTGAGTGTCGATTGCTATGCTATGATGGGGGTCTGAGGGCGAAGCTGTAGTGCTGCCAGCTGGATGACATGTAAGGTGTTCACCCCGGATGACCAGCAATGCCACGCTGAAACTGCTTTTCCTATGACAAGGAGGAGTTAGGAAAGGTCGGCTCCAAAATACCACACACCCACCCCTTTACGGTATGCTGATGGCTGCAACGGGCTATGAACGGCCTCACGTAGATTTCCCTTAGGCTTTGAGGTTGCACACCATCCCTTCTTGTTCAGGTACCTCAAGATGAACTAGCCTTCTATGGTGTGGGCAGCCGAGAAGTTTCAACCGCCCTCACGTTTCCACGCTTTCCGACTCCGGTTATCTACTCGAGTGTATTGGACAAATGGTTTTAGAATACGTGTGAGTCCTTAACGATATATTACGTTACTACACACTGTTCGATGTCATGACAGTGTACTAAGGATTACAAGAAGTTAAATAACCTTATTTTCTTCAGCTGTGCTTTGTAAAATGAGACAATTTAAAGCAACATAATGAATTACAGAACATCAGTAGCCGGAAAACATTCACATCAATCTAGGCATTTCACTAACCAGATAAGATTGATCTTAACATCAGACTGTGGTTTCGTTCACTTGGGGCTAAGCACATCAACAGTGTACACAGACGAATCCAGCTCACAGAGACAAAATGTTCAGATGAACTACGTCCAGAGACAAAGCTGATGAGCTCAGGTAGAAATAAGCTCAATAGCCATACAATATAGTTAAAATGAACCGAACTAGCATGGAAATCAACATTTCAAGTTATCAATAGTTGCTATTCTTATGCGTGATCAGTCCAAGTGTCTCATCACGTTAGAATCGTTTGCGTACTCATTATTATTACTATTATTCACTCGATCACTTCAGATTCAATATCTGTTAGTAAATAGTAAATTCATGATATCATATAATGTTTCGTTGCCTTTTAAAGATGTTCCCTTTTACTAGAAACAGTAGATTTAATATGCGATGAATTGACCAAATATGTCATAAAATTAGGAGATCCTGTTTACAGTCTAAAAGAGTTTCTTTTGAGCTACACAATGAATACAAAGTTAATTTCTTGACATTCGAATTCACAGGTGACACCATCAGCTAGATTGTCATGAAACGTTTAAGAACAATCTTTTAAAGGAGATTCAACCCCACAAATTTATAATCTATCTTCTACAGAAAGTCGATTCCAGCTGCAGGATGTAAAGATAGACTTCGTGATTCTGACTCTTTTATGCTCATTTATTAGTTTAACTGGTCCTGTGGAGCTAGTTACCTAGAAAGCATAAATAGAAAAATCTGTCGTAGGGCACTCAAAAGTACCTCGAAAAACAATAGGAAGTGTAGTTTAGTATGTTGAATACTTCACTTTCCTGGAAAGTAGAATCAGTCCTGGTGCGTTGGTCACTGGCCGAAGAAATCTCTGCATGGATATAAAAGGCTTGGTTAGCTTTTACCAACTTACGCCATCTGTCGCGCCGCCGCGATATCCGATTGTCTATTAACGGTCGAATGTACTGTGCTGCAGTTCTCTCTGTTCTACTGTATGGCTACGAAACATGGCCATTGAAGGTGGGAGACATGAGAAGGCTTCAGGTGTTTGACCACTGCTACCTCCGTAGCATAGGCCGTGTTTCATGGTGTCACCCCGCAAGTAACGCAGAAGTCAGACGTAGAGTTCTAGGCAGGAGAGGTAAGACATTTGATGAGGTTGTGCACCTTCATCGGTTGAAATGCCTGAGACATGTGTTACGCATGTCTAGCCACCGTCTGCCTCGTAACATAATGTTGGCCAAAGTAGGTTCACGCTGGAAAAAGGCTCAAGGCGGCCAAACTAAAACGTGGTATCAATGTATGAAGTCCTTCACTGTTTGTTTCAGCCATGTACGGCAATGCAGACTATCTGGTTGGGGTCCATGGGACAAGAGAAACCAGCATTTGCAGATTATAGGTGATACGACTCAGAATCGATGTCAGTGGCTCAGATGCATACACACATTATCCTCACACTAACCGCTATACTTAATCTCATCATCTTCCCATTCCTCCTTCCTCTCTTTTATCACCTCCTACTTCTACTTCCTTTGACTGATTTCTCGTTCTTTCTTTCTTCATCTTTCATTTTATTCCCTTGTTACTTGGTGTGCTGATATTAGATGTGGTAACTTGGACCGTTACGCAGTAATGCCTAGTCCTATGTTGATCTTAACTTCCTGACGATTGCCTCCATCCAACTTATGTCTATCAAAGAGCATCGTGATGTTCAGTCAACTAGTCTGATGGCCACACTACAAAATGATGGATAGAATTCGATCAGTACTTGGGATCAGACAAAACGAAGGCAGTTACTTTCCAGTGATCAATCAATGTATGTTATAGAATCCACGTATTCATTGTGTAAACACCACCTCAACCATTAGGGTAATAAAACTTTTACTCGTGCTCTATCACTTGATGAATTAAAATTGTTTACACAGAATTCTATTCACAGTTCACTTTATATTATCTATCTCCGTATTCTCAGTTAATTTTTTTGCTACTAACACGTGTTCACTGATCCGAATTCTCCACTTCTTATATCAATTGTTAGCTAATCAAAATAAAAAAATTTTTTAATTATTAGCTTAGAAAGTAACTTTAAACTTGTAGATATTCATAGTCAATTAAGGCATCATCAATATTTTACTATTGATTGCAAGTTTATATATATTTTGAGGTTAATAGAGACTTCCTTTATTTCAAGGTAATGTTCATCATGGACTGACATCATTAATTGGAGAATCACTGAAAACTTGGACAGCTGTTTCGTCCTACTGTGAAACTCCTCAGCAGTACGTACTCATGACCCAACCCCCCACCAGGGATCGAACTCCTGGCCTCATGGCTAACTCGTTAACTACTCAGTCAGTGAGTCAAAGTTCAATAGTACACAGTTTCTTACTTCTGTTAATTCGTGATATACTGTAAATATCCACCAAGATCTTTGTTTGGCATTCGCTTCACTTCCAATTGGTTGACTTCACTGGTCATGACACCTTATAAAGACTTCAGAATATCCATCTCGAAACCTATCACTAATGAACACTGGGCAGTTGTTTCATTTTAATATGAGATGAATCCAAGTTTCAATGAGTTTGAAAATGTAACCCGATACATGTTAATGAAGTAGGCTATGAATTACATTCTACTGTGTGAAAGCCTATGGACAAGGCTGATGCAGGTGAAGTGGGATTCGAACCAGAGGCACATTGCATGAAAGCTTAACAAATGATATTTATGACAAACAGGTAATTTATATCAATGAAAAAAAACACTATTTAACAGCAATTATACAAAAATCATGAAATGCAGCAGTGGAATATTTATATTCATCAACAACATTTGCTTGAAGTATATACACAACAAGGGAAATAATCACTTACTATGCATGTATTGACAAACTGATGACGATCAACCAGCTTTAAACTACATCCATCAATAGTACAAACAAACTGGAGAAATATAGGATAAGTGATACAGGTATAATCAATATTACTGGCGTGTGCAGCAAATTCATCAAGCAGTTCAAAGATTGTGTTGGTGACTGGAGGATTTAAATCAGAACCAATAGATTGTTGACCAGTTGACTGAATCACACAGTTGATACTATTATCAACTTCGTTAAGAGTTGTTGATGATAAAAATGAAGTCATTCTTAGCCATGATGAATATCGCCACCAACCATACCATGATCGATTTGATACAGGTGAATTTGTAACATCTAAGGACTTAAGTTTTTCTGTAGCGGCTAAAGCATCTTCATTTTCACATACATCTTTCTTATTGAATTTCTGAAGTAATCAAGTGATAAAAAAAAGGTTTATATTAAAAAACAGGAACTAGGGAAAAAGTAAATGAGGATAAGTGCATTCAAAATTTTGAGGGGTAAAAATCATCAAAGATGGAGGCAATGTAATGGGAAAAATTCATATTACATTGGTATGCAAACAGATAGACAAAGGCATCGGTTTAAACTTCAAAGTAGTACATAAAGAACAGGTGGAGAAAAAGAGACTGATATCAAAGCAGACAAAGTTGTATGAGAGAAGAAACAATTCGAAGACAAAGGTTAGTGCCAATATTCAAGCTTTAGAAGATGCGATTGTGGTTAATTTCTAGGCATGTCACCAAGGGTTCTCAACCACTGATTCCGTTCACCTCAAGAACCCCAATCAGCTAGTCTACATCTCTCCCACTCGGCTCACACCAAAAGTAAAGAACTTCATGAACTGGTGCTATGTCTTGGTCAGGTCACTCTGAACCCTACTTCAACCTAATCCAACTCCGCTACGCATGACACGTCAAGGTAGGTGTCAAGATTCACAACTTCATTGACTAACCTGCCTAGTCCCCTCCGCCTGACCTCAAAGTTGCTGCTTCATATCTTCTACTTTTAACCGCCATGTCTCACCTCCATATAACAAAACAGAATGGACTGTAGTGCAGTATAATAGTTATTCGATAAGTAGTCGGATACCTCGCCAGTCAGCACCACAGGTGACGCAAGTTGGTAAATATCAAACGGGTCTTCTATACCTTAGCTAAGGTTTCGTTAGCAATTAGCCCATTCGAGTTCATGTAATTCCCTAAGAAAGTGAAGTGGTCGATACATTCTCCCACTTCACTCCCTAGCCTTAAGCTAAGAGTAATTGCAGACCAGTTAGTCCAAGAGCATCATCTTGTATCGGATAGGTACGAGACGCATGTTAAACATACTCAGATTTCTACTCACAGCGTTTAGAAGAGCCTAGATTTTATCGGCATCTTCGCCTAGCAGGAAAATATCTTATGCACATTCCAAGTCCACCAGATAACTTCGAGGGAATAGATCAATCCCTATCAAGTCAGAGATACCTAGGGTTAGTATGCAGTGTGGAAGAAAACACATAAGCCCATTCAAAGGAAGGGTTAGACAAAGAAATAGCCATAAAAGACGAAATTATTTACTTACAAATAATGTATACCTAAAAACTCCTCTTAAAGTTAGGTATATCGATCCCGTAACTCTTACTTGGTAAATAACCTGTAACTTTATAGCTCCAATGCTTTGACTTTTCTAAAGTTACAAACCTTAGCCAGCTTTCGAACTCAATTCCGCGTCATTCACAATGCACTCATTTGAACACTGACCTTCCTTTTTTTCTACTCTCAGGTTTCAAAAGTAAGCCAATCAAACTGAAATGAATTTTGCTGCCAAATATATTTCATCCACGTGGCGACAATTCCTTTATAGTGTTGGCAGTTAACCACTTTTTCCATCGTTTCCACATCCTTTTTCTCTAGAGTAGCTCATTTAAGAAAGACAATGCAGTTTACCTGATTATTTGTAGATATAATGAATGTTGTTTTCTTAACACAATCTATAAAACTGAATTGATGCAGAATATGTTCCGTTGTTGGAAACAACTAGAAATCGCAGTCTGAAGTCAATGAATACCTATCTGTTTTCAAATTGTGACATTTGTATGATAAAGACTTTTGGTAATTAGTTCTTTGGAGGCGGTCACCAGCAAGGCGTATCCGTAAACTCACAGAACTAATGTCCCGCTTAAGATTCAAACGTGCGTCATATAATGCTGTAGTTATAGATGTTACAACTGAGCTATCCGGGCTGCGATTGATCGATGAACCAAATTGCATTAGGATGCTGTCTCTACATTGGAAATCATCCGATAGAACAGCTCTTAGGAATAGACAAAATGAAATTGATTACTCCCCCACTCAGTCCTACAGAAGATCGATCACAGTCCAGTTAGCTCAGTGGAAACGTCTCTGACTGCAGAATTGGGTGATGTACCAAAAAGCAAGAAACCTAGGCCCCTGGCTTCCGGCAGATTGCCTCCATCCAACTAACATCTATCCCAGTGTAACGCGATAGTGAGCCTCTCGGTCAGCACTCAGGACTAGACAAGGGATTCTGAAGAAAAGCAAGTTAAGCACAAAATGATGCAATGTTAACCAAGCTAACCGTACACTGAAGAACAACCCAACCATTGGTAGTCTGAACCAAAAAAAGCACTGACAGAGTGCATCTTTAAACGGAGATAACATGTGAAATGCAGAAAATTAAGTGAAAAGATAATTACCAACAATTGATACAATACAACTGCAGCACGTCTCATGGCAATCAACCGTAAAATTGTGATTCTCTGGATTGGCCATATCTGTTCTTGCTTTAATCGCCCTGAATTCATCTCAGGTGTATAATTTAAACTATCACATATATTGTTAATTTGTTCCACAGTAATCAAACATTTACTGCCTGATATTGATGTGTCACTAGATGAAGCCAATAATCCGTTAATCAAATAGGCTGTATAAGCTTTCACATAGGTAACACTCAACTTGGCTTCTGTAGCTAAGGTCAATAAAGAAGTATGACCAAGTGTTGAATGAAAATAAACACGAAGTTGTGGACGAATTTCACCAGCTGCATAACGCCACCAATCTTTGTATCTGTAATTTAAAGAAATAATTAAAGCAGTAATGAAAATATCTATCCGCCTAGGCGACTACATGGGAAAACTGCACAAGTTTCGAAAAAAAATGACAACACTCCAGTAGATAAGAAAAATGATAAGCTTTATGTTACATGAAGAAAACTTCCTACGCATCCTGGCTAGAGAACACTATATATATATATATATATATATATATATATATATATATATATATATATATATATATATATATATATATATATAACCCTTGGTGATTGAAGTGAAATAAAAATCTGGTCAGCAGTGTTGTCTTATAGCTGATTTCGTAGAACAACGGACTGGAAGTCTGGTTATCCCTCGTTTGAATCCTGTCGCGACCCGATTTTTCATTCTACCGTCAATCACCTTCAATTACTACATTTTAAAAACATTCCTTACCTATAGGTATTGCTTTATCATTATCATCATCAAGATCAACACAGGACCAGGCATTACTGCGTAATAGTCCAAGTTGCCACATCTAATATCAGCACACTAAGTAACAAGGCAATAAAATGAAAGATGAAGAAAGGAAGAACGAGAAATCAGTCAAAGGAAGTAGAAGTAGGTGATAAAAGAGAAGAAGGAGGAATGATAAGATGATGAGATTAAGTATAGCGGTTAGTGTGAGGATAATGTGTGTATGCATCTTTAACCACTGGTTTCTCTTGTCTTGTGGACACCCAAACAGGTAGTCTGCATCGCCTTACATGGCTGAAACGAATAATCAGCGACTTCATGCACTGATGTTATGCTTTAGTCTGACCGCTCCGAGCCTTTTTTCTTCGGCCAACATTAACTTAAGAGGCATACGATGGCCAGCCATACTTAATACATGTCCTAGCCATCTGAGTCGATGAAGGTTCACATTGTTTTGTACCAAAACTCGTCGTGTGAACATTCAAATTGTACCATGTTTAAAGTGGAGTCGTGACTGAAAAATATCGTAATGTTCATCAACAGATTATTGTCAGTAAAAAATTCCAAAAGATAACAATACAAACAGAACAAAGTAAACGCTTGTCTAAAAGTTTAATTAGGTCATGCTGTCGTACTCCTTAACGACAGAAATAGTGAAGACCAAACAGAAGTAGAAATATATTGTATGAAAAGAAAAATTCGAAGAAAAAAAATCCGAGGAAAATAACTGATCTTAACTTTGAGAAGTTATGGTGAATATCAAGAATTCTATCCGACCAATTCATGTGAAAGCAATGCTTAATCAATACAGTCTAATATATAGGCTATCATCAGGAAGCCTGGTGATTATGTTAACAGCTTGTATTTATTTCCTATGTATTTGGATTTACCGTTTTCGCGCCTTTTCCAATACCATGGCTAGTAGATCATTGTGTTACCACTGTTTTTAAAGCTACATTTAACGTACCACTGCTCCTAGTTTTGGACTAAGCTATGTTGTCCGAATCGCTTTCGCCATATCTACCCAGACAGTAAAAATCTTCCATTCCGACCCGTCTATCTTCTAACTGCATGTCACTGAGGGTGCTGAAGTCTATTCCTAAGTAAAATATTGAGTTATATTCAACTCGTTATTAGCTTATAATTTACATAACTAGTATAAGTGGCGGCGATGAAGACACCTAACAAACAACAACTAGCACCAATCAACCTAAAGGAAGTTGTCTCTTTCACCTACCTAGGCAGGCAGTATCGTTCCAACTACAGGTGGTAGAATAGATGAGGATGTCAAAGCCAGGATCGAAATATCAAGACAGGCTTTCATTAACCTGAAATCAGTTCGGAGATCTACTGCACTCAGCATAAAGCGTGAACAACATCCCGATTTTCAACACCAACGTCAGTCAAGTAACTCAATGCTTCTATGTGATGGTTGAGAGACTTGGCGCGTTACGAAAAGCATTTCCAACAAACTAAAGACATATGTGATCAATAGCTGCCGCCTACGCTCACTCGATACTGACACTGAAGATCGATCAGATGGCCATAATAATAAGAATAAGCAACAAGGAACTCTGGCTGGCTGGTAATGAACCAACCAACAACCTATCGCCCAATAAATATGCAGAAAAAAGTGGAAATGGATTGGGCATACACTGAGAAGACGATTTGGGGACATCACGCGCCAGACCAGACCAGGTCGTCGAGTGAAACCCAAATGGGAAACGACGAGTTGGGCGTCTGTGCCGAGGGTGATATGGAGGAGATCGTGTGAGGAGGAAATGAAAGCTTGTGGGCAGTTGTGGAGCCAAAATGTAGAGAAGAGAGTGAAATGGCGATGTGCTACTGATGCCGTATGTTCCACTAGGAACCCAAGAGACACATGATAATAGTAAGTAGTATACGCGATAAAAGATAGTGGTACTGTAACAGCATTGTGATCAAATCAGTAGTGCTGTGATATCTGAAAGGCAAACATCACACTAACTAAGAGACTAGAGTATAGTGAACACTTGAAAGTTCACTACCAACCACCATGAAACAACATACCTAACACGTTCTAAGTAGCTGGCTACGACGAAAGTATAATTACTGTCTTTTAAAAAAGAAACACTGAAGTATGAAAACAGCACATTATATCTAGTATTTTTATGTAATAGTGTCTAAACATGAATAATAACGACGTTCGTTTCCGTATAATCGCCAGTCTGTTCGGTATCTGTGGTCTACAAGACATCACTTTCTTATTTACTACCTGACTGACTTATGATTACCACATGGAGTCAATATAAGTCAAGAATGTAGGTACATTGGTTGGCCATTAAGGGCGGGGGGGAGGGGGAGGGTAACCAACTTCATGCTGCCTAGTCCTATGTGGTGATCGAATTCGATCGATCATTTTGTAATGTGGTCACCAGGCTAAGAGACTCATCATCGCGATGCATTGAGAGAGGTATTATAGTTGGATGGAGGCAATCCCCAGTTCATTACGATGGCAAGACTCCCCACCTGGTCAGCAAACTGTAAAATGATCAGTAGAATTTAATTAGCACAAAGGATTAGACAATCACTGTACACAATCCAGTCTTATAGGAGGTCAACTACCACCCAAATAGCTCAGTAGTAGTGTCTCTGACTGCAGTATTGGGTGACGCGGGCTCGAGTCTAAGGTGGAACATCACTTCCGCCGGTTTCAGCTTATAAAACTTAACCTTAAGTCAACACACTCAGTCAAGTGGTCAAAACTGGGAAAATTGGTTATTTCATAATAAGATAATCAATTATTAGCTTTGAAATCATATGATCCACAATCATTGTCAGCAAAAGCAATTACACATCCATTTTTATACAGTAAACACTAAATCTTCATTTATTCTAAGAAAATTTTCTTTTTCGACGATATCATTTTCTAAAGCGGTACAATCGTATTCATATACATCATAAACATATAACAGTCTTTCATGGAACAATAGTGTATAATTGCACCATTAAGCTAGCTGATGCTAAGAAACCGGAATTAATAATGAAAGGTACTCGCATAATAGTCTTTTAGACAGCGGAAATAACGAGGAAGGCAAGGAAATGGACAATGTGAAAATTGTTGATAGATGAAAAATGAGAATACTGAGTAATAAATAGATGTAAAGAAGGTGAAGGATGAGACATGGGTCATAATGAAGGTGATAATAATAAACTAATTAATTATAATGAAATCGATAAAGAGCTGTGAAAGTATTAAGATCATGGTCTTAGATAAGAGATTGGACATACTTCTTTTGTACGCAGAGATCAGGTTTGAAATGATGAATAGCCAGTGCTTCTATTGTGCACAACTGTCGAAGGTGTACTCCTTCTGAATTATCCTGTTTGACTCTATATATAACATTGAAGGAGGACTCTGGTCGAGTTATATGTCTAGAGTTCTAGAATTGAACTGTTAATTGATTTACATTCTCTCCTCGACAACAATGCAAGATAGTGCTCAGAGATACGTTTGGAAATTGTGCGCTTTATGCGGCTTATATAATTAGATCCATAGGAGTAAGTAAATCTGTAGACACACATTCAGGTGACCAAAAGCGGCCACTTGTCCTTAACGCACTCCGGAACCAGTTGCTGACTAGAGAAGCTGATCTGTAGCTTTGCAGAGAAGAATATCTTCTTCAGCGACCTGGATAGTCGATCCTTCAGGATCTCTGCTGCCGTAACGCCTTTGAAACCAACGTTCATAGACAAGGTTTTCTTTGGAACTGTCAGCACTTGTTCCGTATTCTGTTTTAATTTCAAGTTCTCAATAAATCTAGATGGGTATCCATTTTGTATAAGAATCTTCCGTAGTTTGTCTAATTCATCGTCGATAGTATCACTCATGGAGATTCTTCCGATTCTTGAAGATAAAGAATGGATTAGATTCCTTTTTTTGGTAACAGGCAAGTATTATCTATTCTCTGTAGGTTTCTTATAAATTGATCTCTGAAGAGAACCATCTGGTCTCCGTTTCAATAAGACATTGAGAAAATGGGATTTTGAGTTCTCTTCGGATTCTGATGTGAAGTTGGTAGGTAGGTGACAATCACTGACTACTACTACTACTATCTGAATGCTTAAACTTTAGGTGGGGAAGCAGAGTTCGAAGTTATAACACAAAGGTGGAAAATCGATTGTTCACCTAGTAACGTACTAACCATACTGGTGAATGGTTAGGTCCAGCAGTTAGGTTGCAGCTACAAGCAATTATTATGAATAATATGAAATGCACTCAATGAAGCTGTTTCAGTTAATCTAGTTAACAATATTACCACAATTTCATCATTGGATAAAGCAAAAACCGAACGAGGCGAATTTACATATTCTTGACAATTTCTTACTAATCAGTCAAGTCAGTATCAACGCACAATGTACCAGTAGAAGTTGCTACACCCTAAGGTACTGAAACAAGTTATTACATGAACCCCATCACGGATGCCTACATCCTCCCACACAGTTCAGACAAACATACAAACTTCATAGATTGATGCTACATTTCAGTCTGGTCCCGTTTAACTTTTTTCCAGCTTGAAACTAGTTCGTTTGACATGGTATGATAAACCAGACGTTTAAGTCAACGAAGACTTTCAACCAACTTGACTATCTTAACTCTTTTATCGAAGATTTTACAGCTAACCTCTACATTACTAAAGTAGTAGTTCCAAAGCATAAAAACGATGCTATTAAAGCAACAGTGGTAGTATACTTGGAGACTTTTCATATTCTTCAAGTTTAATGGTTATACTTAACAGCTATACAGTAGGACAAAGTGAACCGATAGACAGTGAGAAATAGTCGGTACTGAGTACGAGTGTTGCATTTATCAATACAACACAATCATTTCTACATTTTAACAAGTTCTAAACAATCCTTAAAGTATAAGTTGCTTAATTTACAGATAAAAGCTTATCTTATGATTTGAATTGTTACAGAGCTTCTATACTATCAACTTATCATGCAGTACAACACTGGTACATTGTATGATCACAATTGCTTGATTAGAGTTTAGATGAAGAAAAAAAAAATATGTACAACAATAACATTTTTAAGAGAATACTTTACTCACCTTTTCATTATAGTTGATGGTCTACGTTTCAATTGTTCTGTACGTTTATACTGACTTGTTAGAATTTCAGATAAATGTGATAGACTGTAACACAATTCCTCTGATATTTGTATATTCAATTGACTTAAAGTTATACTCAATTCAATTTGTGCTTTGTTATTTAATTCTGTTTGATATTTAGTAGTAAATGTACCAATTCCATTTATGCCAAAATCAGTTTGATTTCTTTTTAAACGTCCAGTTAAATGACAAGGATGTAAGACATATAAAGCATTTTGAGTGATTGATGTATCATCATTGTCGGATAGTCGCTGTAAAAGGAAGAACATTTTTCTTAAAAAACAACACAAAAATGATCAACAAATAAGCATAACTAATACCCAACGTACAAGAGGTAGCTATTATGCCTAAGTGGAGCGATAGGTATGAGGTTCGAGTCTCAGTGGGGTGTAGGTACACCCGGCTGACGAGCATCAAAAAGGATGAGACGCGAGTCCTGGACTCTGCTGCTAGCCATAACTAAGTCAAACATAATAATTAATGTGTTTTGTTGTTGTTGTTTTCTAGTGTCCTAAAAATGGACTTCCAAAAGCAACGAGGAAGGTAGTGTTCACAATGTGTGTCAGTGTTTTCCTGCTAAATTGATCCGAGTAAAATGTAAAGACATCCTATTACTGTGCAATATGAACTACAGATGCACCTCAATAGATTTAGTTTTACAAACTCCTCAACCAGTTTCGTTTACTTCCGTAACACCTTACTCTTACCTCAACTATGGTCACTTTCTAGAAAAATGTTACAAAAATGGCTAAAATCAGGTGACCTGTTCTCGAGCTCCAATTAGAAGTTAGATAACCATATCAGAGATGGCTTAAGTCGGCAGACATCGAACGAGGTTTTTGAATTTGAGTTAGAATTTTGTCCCCACTCAATCAATTAACACTGACATGAATTCCATAGTGAGTGAAGTAGGCCACATATTTCATGCCGTTTCATAATAAATACTATAAGCTAATAAGGATCAGTCTTGATGCATTAACCCACATTTGATATATGTGAAACGAATGTCTAAAATACTCGAATCCTTTGCCAAGCTGTCCAGAACGCTTCGTTTGTTGTCAGCACATCTGTCTGCCTTCCAAGACTACATCATGTATATACCAAAAGTCGAACAAATGTCCTATCAAGCAGTAGACCAATTTAAAGGGGAAGATCACATCCTTCAGCACAAATATAGCAAAGGATAATTATGCAGTTTGGGATTTTAATACGAGTTAAGTCAAACTGATTCTCCTGTGGGTGTCAGAGAGACTTTTCTCAACTCTGATAAACTACAGTGTACAATAATCTGAACTACTAAAGACAGTTACCTCTGATTCTCAAAGACCACTTAGTATCCATAGACCACGATGACAGAGTTTTGGCTAACTAGTTCTACTGTACTATTTGAGGAAGTGTGAAGAACCAAGGTTACAGTATTTAGTTTGGAGAGAGATTTCAGAACACAAGAAAAGTGTTTCATTGGCTTATAGAACTGACAAGAAGACGAGGAATATGTAATTGACATAATGTTAATCACCGGAAGAGGTGATGAAGACAGGGGTGGGGAAAATAGATGATAATTGACCTGGGGTGTATGGGCAGCTGTCCACATCCTACAGGATGATATCCTCTTTCCCGGCATATAACTAAAGAGTTTAATAAACGTCTGCATGAAACTAATTACACACAGCCTTCCCATGAATGTTGGAACTTACAGAGTTGTGGTCATGCTTGAAGAAACCTATGTCCAGAAATAGATAGGGTCAACGTTTACTAACCTCTTTTCCTCACAGTGGGAAGTATGGCTAAAGTACTGCCCATGTTAGGGAAACACCTTGTTGCCAAGACACTGTGAAGGTGACTTCTTTCATTTTTACCACCATTAAACAAGTTTTTCTGTAGTTGTAGGACGTAAAAAACAATTTTTTAGTCCGTGTATCTCGTTAGGTTATTGCAACATGCAGGTTTAATGACTAGATCAAGGTAGCAGACATTAGTCAGAAGCTTATGTTAGGCTGTAAAACGACTACTGGTGCTAGAATATAAAAGTTAGAGTAGGCTGATGTACCTTTCAGGCAATACTACTGAGAAAAAGTGGGTAAACTCCCACTGGAAAGTGTGATTCGATGATATACCTATTAAGCCTTTACTCCTTGAGTCGAATTATGTAAACTTACTCCATGCTCTACTCTCAATTGTCTTCTATAGAAACATGCCACCAAAATGAATATGAAATGATGAATATCCAGCAGTGTCGAGGGATTCGAATAGGAGCCCATCTGCCAACAGCAGAAGTTGAGCAGTTCGGCCCTGTATAGCAGCAGGAAATTACAAGTATCATCACAACAACTGATACCCGTTGCACAAGAAGTGGCTATCGTACCTCAGGGACCTAGTAGACAAAGTGTTAGCGCTTGAAGCGGAGTACTAGGTTTGAGTCTCAGCGGAAACAACCTCACCCAGAGGTGCAAGTACATCCACCTGAGGAGCCCTAAACAGGATGAAACGCGCGTCCTGGATTTCTCTCTTAGTCACCAACACGAATATATTACGAAGAACGTTAACGCGTAGAAAATCCAAAGGTGAGTTTTACTTTATTTTATTCTAATTTAGACTATTTTCCCTATTGTCATGATCATTGCATCTTTTCGTGTATATTATCGTGTCGATATCGTTTGGTTTTGAATGGTGTCATTAGTGATGTTCAGTTATGCCATCTAATAGGGTTTTACGCAGTCTGATATTATAGAAGTTTATGCAATGGATATAGTAATCCATTCATATTGGATAGTTGAGTTCAAATTTTCATTTATTGGTTTATACACAGAGATAAACTCATGTACTAACCTCTGTTGTACTTTGAATAGATGAACTATCGGTCGTCTTCTCTAATGTAGGAAACTTTGGTTCCCAAATAATATTTAATCCATCGACATTAATCAGTTTATACTCAACAGGTTCTTCAGACGTTATAGTAGTACGCTTCTAGAAGGCAAAAAAGACAAAATATGAGTAGTTTTTAACCTGTTATTGAATTAGAGTTACAAAAGTAAAGCATTATTCCTTGGACTGTCTTGGTCAAGTTGTGGTCAAAAAGGTATATTGATTCCGTCATCAGTATTTCACTTTCTTAAAGACATTAAAAACGTAGGTCACTCTCTCTGCAGATTTCAAATAGTATGATCTCCTTCATGACAAATTAAAAGTACAGGACTTATATACAGTACATTGAAGACATGATCTCCTTAGATGCTAAGGCTAAGAAAGGTTCACTCCACAACTAAGAATCTTCGGTATATCATTCCCACATCCATTAACGTGAGGGAAATCTTCAAGTAGGCAGAACAGACGATCCTTGTATATGATACAGATCAGACAGGTTCGGTTACGACTCTGAAAAGTCACACTATTGTTATTCACTGCGTCTTGGACACCTGCACATAACTTCCAATTGTAGCAGCTTAGTAGTAGGTTATGCAGGATATGGCTCGATCTCTGTAAGCTAAGCATTTTTGGCAACTCAATGTTTCTGATCACTGTTCCCCCTATAGTATCTGTGGTACAAAGTTGCCATATCATGTGAGTGGTAATCCGAAGGCCTAGTGGTGTTTCTTTAGGCGTGACAGAGACTGCCATTGAATGAATGAGACGGTCTTGAAATACAGGATTCATCGGTTTGTATACATTTTGTGAGTAACGTATTACTGGCTTCCGTATGGTTCACTGTTCGATAGCCCAATAATCAGTTAGAAGAACCAGAGAGGTGATTATGTTGTTACTGGTATTATCCCGTCATTGATTGGACCGAATGGATAAGTCTCTAATAATGGATAGTGGTTAGCAGTGGAATCCATTAATATAAAATTGGAAAACAGGCAACATCGAGGCATCCGCACAGGAACTCACATACCAATAGAGGCTGACCTATTCAGTTTAATCAACGACAGGATTAGACAAGTAACATAATATAAATTATACGTGTTGAACAAGAAGTGGGTATCGTGACATTGTGATTCAGTGGATAACGCTCTGGCACTTGAAGTGATCGGTCTCAGGATGGATTCTTAGCAGGAACAACGTTCACTGGGAGCCAGATACATCTAGCTGACGGGTTCCAAATATGAAAAAACCTGCATCCTAGATTTTACTGCTAGCTACTGCTGATCATTAATGCAAAAAGGTGATTATTTCATAAAGCGTTACAATGAAATGAGTAATCATCTGACACTAAACATTACGAAATCTCGTACATGATCTTAGCTTACCAGGATAGGTGAGAGCAAAACAGTAAGGTGGTCACTTCATCTTCCATGAGGAGATCAACTTTAAAGAGGTTGAATGCCAACTGAGAATACAGGAAGTCTAGAACAAGGCAGCGGTAACTAGGATCTAAAAGTTAACTTCCAGCGTACTCTTTGTTACTAGTGTGTACCAACGCATGAATTGCATCATCTAGTTCAGTGAGCTTAAGTTTCCTGTGCCTTTTTGAAGTCGCACAAATGTCTGATACCGAAATCTGAAGAAAGTAGGTAACACTGCTCAAAATCGGCTGAAGTAGGTAGGTTGGAATCGGTTAGGCATGATGCAGATGCACTGAAATCTTCATCTTATCACATTTCTTTATTGGCTCCAACCCCTTTTCTCTTCATTGTCTGGTTTTATACAACTTTTGATCTCATTACTTCCACTTTTTCTCCATCTTCCTTTCGTGTACTTGGATGCATTGTGAGGCATTTTAAGTAGTAATGCTAGTCCTATTTCAATAATGTCTACTTGTTTGCCTGTTATGTCAGTCACAGAAGTAGATCTACGAAAATATGGATGTGAAGAACAGTAGTAATCTATGACTACCAGGCCACTATTTCATGAAAGTGGGGTTACAGCTCATTGGTTCAGGGAATTCACCTACAACCAACAGGTCATGGGTTCGAATACCGCTCCACCTACCGAGATTTGGATAACCAGGTAATATCTCATTAGCCCTCATACAATAGATATGGCCCGTTGCTTCATCAATGGAAAATGATGAAATATAATAACACTATGCCTTTTGGGCTGTTGGTTTGGAAAAAAGACATAATACCAGTTGAAAATAGATTCATATGAATGCAGATTTGTGCTTGAAGTTATCAAGTATACATCTAATAACAGATATGAGTAGAAAATAATTTATGCACCGTGTCATTAACAGTTATTCAGAGGTAAAATATAAACATATGACAAAAACCTACCCACTGGGAATCTGTAGTCTCCATTGTCAAATGTTGTAGGTTGATAGTAAATGTTCCGAAACTTTGATAATTATCATCGAACAGACTAGTCGAAGAAATTTCAGTTTCTGAACTACTTGGATCGATAAGAGAGATACGAACTTGACGTATTTCAATCTATCAACACCAAAATAAAGAATGAGGAGTGAATGAGAGAACAGCAGCGATAAAATATTTATTTTCTATCTGCTAAGACACACTGTAATATACAAAGATCATTACCACCTCAGCTGAAATTAACTAATGCAATACCCGAGTTCTAAACACTTGCAATTTTGGAAGTTACCAACCATAAATACGCCACATTTCGTTGATCAAACTGGAAAGAATAACTGTTAGATTCGAGAGATTCATCTTCAACACACTACCAGGTCCAATCCATGGCTAGATAATATAGAATTACGCTATGTAGCAACAGGTTTGATTGGTACGCCACAGGAATTGCTGACTGGCTGCGACTAACTTATGATTAACCACCATAAACGCAAACTGAGTGATAACTAAGCAGACCATCAAACTAACCACTGACTTGTTGCATATATCTCATCAAAGGCCATGACTATTTTAAAATGCATGGATGACAGGATCAGATTTCGTTGAAAACTCAGTGGAATGCCAGTGCATACAAAGACAAAACGCGTTCTTGATACCACAACTGTACACCACTATGACGATATTACATAAATTTATCATTAGCACTGCAAATCAATGAAGATAAGAACGAAAATAATGTCACAGTCAGACTTTAAAATCAAATAACAAAACAGGTTTTAAGTAAGACTTACTTGAAGACTACGGATAATACCATAACCAACCGACGATATATATGACCACCAAGAAGAGTTATCTGATCTAGTACCCATGGCAGCCAACTCGTTGATAGCTGCTGTGTCATTTGGTTCAATCCCATTTATAGTCTGCAAATAATTAAGAAAAATGACATCAAACAATAAAAGGAAACCGATCCGCTATTAGGCTTGTCAGCAGCAGTTGAGATGCCGCGTTCAATCCACCTCCAAGAAGAGATGTATGGTAGATTTTCATACAACCACAGCTGTCCGAGTTAAAAAATTACGGCAGGCTGACGTGAATATTTTATACTCCTTCCAGTCGACAATATAAGTGGCAGCGTTCCAGGATCCAAAAACGATGAACATACAATCAGTAAATTTAATCAGGTCTGAAACCTCCCTATGTTTACTCCGTTTGCTGTTTGACTGCGCAAGAACTTGAAGTCATAAAGAAATATGGGCAGGAATTATTTCATGGTAGTAATATGACCGTGATATACAGATACGAATAAAACATCAGTGGGTTAATAATAGGATTTTTGAACCAAGGCTTTGAATGCAACTATTCATGGCTTTCTACACATGTACTCCGACATGATAACCTTATTAACACCTACGGTGACGTCAGGGAATGAAAGATTAGAGTATGTTGATCGATCATCTGGAAAGTCGTAGCAGTTTTGATGAGTCGATTGCCGAAATCTCGACATGAATACGTAAAATGACACCTGTAGTACGAGTAGCACATCCGAACATTCTCTATGCTTCAGTGCATTCTACTCTATAGTATTACAGTGATATGTAGCCACTGAAAATGTACTTTATTGGCAGACTTCAGATAACTGATGACCGATGGTGATAAGTATTTAAATGGCTACTGATATGCCCTCATGTCAAATGGAAAATTCAAAAGACAAAACTTATACAACAATGTTTTAGCGAGCGCACAAATAAACGAGAGAGAGAGAGAGAGGGAGAGAGAGGGAGAGAGAGAGTACTTTCAAGTCTAATCAATAACTTTATATATTTCATCGACATAAGTAAGTGGAAATGTTCCTCTGTCAGATAGCTAGCTGTCAGGTAAATCACACGATATTAAGGTTTCCACTAACATGCAGGCTGACGGGGAACATACAAAGAGAAAATGTTGAGACTACTAATCACTAGTTATTCTTCTATGTAGACTAGTCTTAACAGCATTGTTTGAGTGAGGTGAGATATTTCACGAGTGGTGATGTTGATCGTTCTACACATCCACATTACTGATACTTTCAGTATTTTTAAGTGATGTAACCATAATTTAGGCAACCTAATTGAAAAACCTCATCCAGAGTAATTAAGATTTGGGAACATTACCCTAATATTGATGCAAATCTAACCGATTGTCAAAACAAAAGTACGAACCTGAAACCATTTCTTTTCCATTTGGTCCAAACTGTATTTTCTATGCACAGATGGGTCTGAAGAAGACAAATTGCTCTTTTGGTAGTCGTAAGAAGTTTCATATTTAACAGCAGAATCTTTTGATGTTTCTTCTAGGACAGATGTTCGAGTTCCGTCACGTGGACGGTTTGCATGTAAGTTGTGCCACAGGTCATCAGCTGAAGCATAAGCAACTAAATCGACATTCTCCAGTGTAAGTTGCCATGCCTGACTCCAAGGATGTGTGTAGGGAATAAATATAGACACATTGCCGACTTTACCTGTAAAAGAAGAAGAGAAATATGCGCTTAATTTGATACAGATGACATATTTGTGCTTTATATCTATGAGCAAGGATATGCATATACAAAACTTCTGGGTTGTTGTAGGCAATCCTTAAGAGGCAGAATCAGCCATACAAACTCCTGAACGCAAGTTTACACTGCATCTAACCGGTTTTACAAAACAATGAGTCAGTTCGACGCACAATTTTTCGTTTTTAATAAGATGGACTTAAGTTATGATGCACTTTCACCTAAATGCTACCATAGCAAAATACCTTAAGTGTGTAGCAAGAAAAACGTTTCGTACCATCGTGGAAAATAATGGGTTACTTTATTTAGCTTGAGGTTTAGAGGGATTTTATTTTTAAGGCAGTATTCATCAGGGACTGACATCAATTGAAGAACCATTGTAAACCTTAGGCGGCTGTTTCAACGTAGTATGGAACTCCTTAACCGTATACACCCACGACGTTTAGGACTCGGACTAAGCATGTGGTTATTGAGCCACTGGGTTGGGGTTCCGTGGTCCAGTTTCCCACTTGCTAATTAGAGATATAGCGCGGCTATTTACCAAGGTCTTCACTTGGCATACGGTTCGCTTCCAACTGATTGACCGAACAAGTCACGGCCTCTCATTAGAACTTCGGAATATCTTCGAAGCATGTCACTAATCGGCACTATACAGTAATGCAGTTTAAGGTTGATGGGGAATTCATTTTAAGCTAAATGTTCGGCACAAAGTAGTAGAAATAATGACAGCTTCGGGGTGAATATAAAGTAACAACTATTCACAAAACTAGTACTAGTTTTGCAAATAAACCTACATGCGTTTAATGATCTAGAATTATAAATACGACATGATTAAGAACTTGCAACAAGTCTTCTACTCTAATGTGGTTGGAATGGACTCCATATAAGCGGGGGAAATTAAAATAATGTTTCGACTAGTGAGATAATTCTTTTAAATATGCATAGGTTTTTTTTTGGTATTTTACCGTCACTTACCAAAATCAATAGGGAAGAAAAAAATGGACTATGCATCAATGAAGCTGATACCGAGTAAATTTATTCCATTAGTTTAAAATCCTCATCGTATAAGGTGTATTTTTCTTGTGTTATCCTTGTCTAAATATTTTAACACTGTAACTACTTTACATTTTAATATGCATCTTCGCTTTCTTGTAGAGATATTTTGTTTTTATATGCATATAATTTCATTTGAGAAATTTTTAGCTTCCGCTGGCGGAAATTATATGATGAGTAAGTAGTGAGAAGATCACAACCTACACTAGTAATATTTCAAGAATTAACGGAATCCAATCAAAGCTCAAATATAGAAGGTTCATCTAGTATTTGCCAACTTAAGTTATTTCTGGTGCGAGCGAAATATTTTAATTCCGATTTAAAAAGTGTACTAAGTTGCATTTCAATCTGTCTTATGTTACAGCTGAGAAATGTCTATTGAAAATACATGTAAAGAGGTTGCAGGTTTTTGACTATAGGTGTTTTCGTAAGCTTACTTGTGTGCGGTGTTATGGCCTCTATAGTAATGTTGAGGTTAGGCGGAAGGTGTTAGGCAAGGAAGAAAAGTCAGTCGGAGGTTGTGAATTTTCATCGACTGAGATGGCTTAGACATGTACTGTGCATGTCCAGCCTACCACGACACGCCATGCTAGCAGAAGTTGGACTAGGGTAGAAGAGGGTTCACAGTGGCCAGAAAAAAACATGGCACCCATCTATGAAGTCTTTGACCATTCGTCTGTCGTATACAGGAAAGTTAGTGTCGCCGGGACTATAGAAATCAGTAGTTGGAGACGATTGGTGAAATGGTTGAAATCGGTCAGTGGCGCAGACTAGTTCACCCTCTGACGTCTTCTAAGGCTTGAACAACGTTACTAAGTCTTTTTTCGAATCCTCTTTCCCATACACCATTTGTTTACTTTAAAACTACTAGCTATTCACCTGTCCGCTGTTGTTATATGTAGCAACCTAAGCAAATACACATTTGTATTGGATTCTACGTTGATTTTGTCTGTCTGTCTGACAGTAAGAAAGTGACGCTTAAAGGAAAGTTATGATCACTAACACAGTATACTTAATTTCGTCTGCCGATCCCACTTTTGTCTCATAAGATTTCTTTAAGATGAACAGAGACGGTATCACATCATGCAAAACATGACTGTAGTGCCAAACCTTATAGTAAAACTTACTGGTCGACTGAAATGTGTGCAAGTGACAGTCTAAACCAAATTATCTTGGAGTTAAGCAAAGCATAAGTCTACTGTCCATCTGAATACTGCACCTAAAACCAAAATGTGACGATTCTAACTTGCCATGCTATTCACACATCTTTTTGAAATACTTTATAAGTTTGCTTGAAAGGCATACATACAAAATATTTCGCTGTTTAAGATTATGCCCTATTGACCGTGACAGAGACCTCAAAAATACATTACGACAATTTTCCCTAGTCAGCTGAAATTTTTCAAGAGGCAAACAAGGTTACTAAGCTCATGAAATTCACAAGTAATTCGCATAGCAGTAGGGACTGCTGAGTAAAATTTAATAAGTGTTTGGGTACATGACGCTAAATGTGAAAATGAGGTGTGTTCCGAAAACAATATACTTTGCATGTACTTCTAAACAGAGGACAATGCTTTATAGGGATTATTTCTTGAATATACCACAGGCATATGTGCGCTTATAATAACTTGTGGCCATTTTAACGCCTTAAGTAGTAATTCGAGGATGTTTCACATCTAAGTGCATATCGTTACTAAAAGGTATGTTAACATCCAAGTTCTATCTGAATATAGAAAGTAGTTGATGACCATCCTATTCAGCTAAACTACTCGGAAATTTAGCTTTGCTAGTGCATATTGATAGCTGGGACAATAGCGGTAGAGACAAGCAGGCTTTGATGAGCATTCGCTAACTCAAGCCATTTGTAGACGTGGCGAAAACATTAGGTACATTATGTTGTTCAACTAAATATGGCTTCACATGACCACAAAAGATGGGGGTCCTCGCAAACTCTGTATGTTCGACCACTGAATGAAACTCGTTAAGAATGAATGGCCAACTTTTCAGCGAACGCGTTTAGAGAACTTGAATCTGAACACAGACCACTAGGTATAGTATCCAAACTAGTCAAGATAAATATATGGTTGTGGCCGTCACCAAAAAATATGGCGACAAGTAGTCATGTAATTTTGAGCATACACTAATCAGCTAAAAGACGTTACTCACCTGACTCCAATGTTAGTGGGATGTTAAAAAGACTGTTTAATGTATCCTTTTTGAGAGTCAAGTTAGACAGAGTAATTTTTCCTAAGTGTTATTCACAAAAAGTAATCAAACGGACTAACCATCAAGAAGCCCATAGGATAAATTATCAAAGTTGAAATTTTCTACATAGTTCCCAATTATGTAATCAGTGACGACAGACAAGAACTTCTTAAACATGAGGAAGACAGAAGACACCTAGGAGATGATACAATGCATCAAGGAAGCTATTTCTTAATGAAAACCATAGGATGGAAGTGGGCAACAGGAAACAGAAGAGACTAGCCCACTACACTTGGTACCGAAGGCTGATAAGATTACCGCGTATTTGTAGTCAGTTCAATATCCAACACTAGTCTCCTGTATCTGTTTCACGAGCTTTTATGGACCACTTGGTTTCTTCACTCTTTCTTTCAAGTCTTGATTAACGGCTGCGAGCCACTGAGGGATTCCTGTGCATCAGATCCATGCACTTGCCTGTTGCAGCTCTTGTCATCACGACGGATGGTTTAGAGTCGGTTAAATTTGTAGGGAGGCGTATAATTTGTCCTAGAACTGTGATTCAAATGGTTTCCTTAAGTAGCGTGCCATCAGACAAGTTTTCAGACCGGTCATAAAGGAAAGACATGGAGAAAAAGGGAAAGAAATGAGGAAAAACAAAGGGAAAAGGGGAGAAAAGGAAAATTTGTAAAACTTCAGGGGTGACGGGTAGTAAATCAGATAGGCGAAGAAACTAAATGAACGGGGTGAATTTGTAGATATTCAAAGGGGACATGGCGGTGAGTGTTATGGTGTTAACATGAGCAGTTATGTGGCGACTTGAAAGGTAAGGCGTCTAGCATAAAGATATGATTTTGAATCAAGTTGTAGTGGTGATGGTAACCGAGAAAAAACGGTGTGGAGACGACTGTATTGGATTCGTGTGACGCCAATGGCTTGTTTCTATCCAGTCGCGATCGGAAGTGAATGAGCGCAAAGTGTGTGCAGCTGTGTTGCTGCGCAGATGTTTCTTGTAGCTGTTAACACTCCAAGTAGTGGCAACGTCAGTAAGTACTGCATATTGGTGCCTACCTCCTCGATGGGATAAGAATTGTGAGGGCAGACGGGTTTTCGTCTTTGTTAGGCGACTCTCTTTGGGTTTCCAAAAGGGTCGCCAAAGTGTCATTTCGATAATATTCCACTACCGGTATGACTGGGTTTCTTTGGCGTATTGTTAATTGTTTTCAAGTTACCGCTTAACCTCTGGTTATTAAAAGAGTGAAGACACAGGTACTTCAGCCTATCATTGTATGGTTTTAGCCGTATTCCTACAACAACCTCTGCCGCTCACATTTTCTTGATGCGTGGTGTAAAAGGATATGGTGAACCAGCAAGTGAAATCGTATGTAGCTCTTGTAAAGTTTCAGAAGGATATGTTAAGTGAGGACATCTGGTGGTTCAGATGGTTCAAAAGGTTGTTGACGGAATAGAAGAAGCTTTCACTTAACTTGCTTCCACGTCTACAATCTATGGATCACCACTCCATGTGGTTGTTAACCTGCTTACAAGTGAAGAAAGAGGAAAACGGTGGTTAAAATGTGGAAATTTACTTGGTTCTGGGCGGATCCCAGACACATGTCAAGTGGGTATCCAGTTGGCATTTAAAGGATTCAGACTAAGTAGCCCGGATCACATCTTCAGGAAGGGCATTCTAGGGCGTGACAACTCTTAGGGAATAAACGTTGTGCCTGACATCTTACGTGCTATGTTCCAGGTTTAGTTTCTGCGCGTGTCATTCTCGGTCACTGACGATTCAAGTTCCATGCCGTTGAGGCTATATACATGAGACGCACCGTGTCTTATGTGTATCACCTCGCATTTCTCAGGATTAAATGCCAGCTCGTTGTTGACTGCCCCGTTGTAAAGTTGAGTAACGTCTTCCTGTAGGGAAACACAGTCCTCTTCACTTTTGATTTCTGTCCACAGTTTCATGTCACCGACAAAAAGAAGGATTTCGGAAGAAACCTATTGTACATATGTATATTAGAAAAAGGAGAGTCCCTAGTACTGCACTTTGGGGGACACCGCTACAGCATTCTGTTTCTTCAGACATAGGGAAACCAACTTGAACTCTAGATGAACGGCCTAGTAGAAATAAAGACAACCAGTCAATGAGCGGAGATCGAATCCCGATTAATTTCAACTTGTCAATAAGGTAGTAGTGATTCACATGACCGAACGCCTTAGCAAAGTTTAGGTAGATAACCTCGATTCGTACTTGACAGTCAACAGTGCTAGCCCACCCACCTACTGCAGCGAGCAAGTTGGTAATGAGCAAAGAAATTTATCTCTGTGAGGTAATCCCTCAGTCCATCATGTATTAATGATTCTGCTACTTTGGAAGGAATGGGTAGTGGCGTCTCCGGTCTGTAGTTCTTTGGATCGCTTCTTTGACCCCTTTTGAAGATCGGTGTCGTGTGGCTTAGCTTCCAAGAGCCGGGTAGTACACCTTGACTAGTAGAATTCCTAAATAACTTACTTGAAGGTTAGGGCAAGATTGAAGTCCCCTCCTGCAGTACCACCGAAAGGATTTTATCTGGTCCCGAAGGGGTGTCTTCGATGAACCGTAGCAGTTTGCGCTGCACTTGCTCGACGCTTGGGTCAATGACCGAGAGTCCTACTTTGTCGGTGGAATATTCGTAAGCTACTGAGCAGATGGACGATGACGAGAGGATTTGCAGGCACTGGTCGACCAAGAGGTCAGCCGCTTCAATGTCGCTACTAGTCTGTTCGCACCTCGTAGTTGAGGGCTCCCGATTTAGCCTGCCGGAACGAAGCAGCGTAGCGGAACAGACTTCTCGGTTTAGAAACAAACAAGTTTGTAAGCCTGGCTTGATGCCATTGCCAATCGTGTCTCAGTAACTTTGTACACATGTTTCTTGTCTGTTTGGACTGTCTAGTTCTGGTTATCTTCGCATGACATCTAGCACCGCGTAGATTATGGAGTCCTCTACCGGATAGGTAGAAGGTCTGGTTAATCGGTCATATCAGTTCAGTGTTTTTCTCGGTGCCCCTTTGAGAAAGGTGAGGTGAATAAAGTAGGCCTGAAGTTATTCAGTCCCCGTGTTCACATCTTAGGGCACGGCCTCTTTCTTTAGATGGGATTCTTTGACAGTAGCGGAAATCTTTTCACCATGCCTGTGTGTAACATGAAGTGCAGTGATCGACTGCTCGCAGGATGTTTCGCAATTTGTACACTGTTTGTTTTGAAGGTAGTGATTCGCTCGTGAGACCAGTGAACGTGGTGGATTTTACGTATTTGTAAAATTCCATGGTTTCACACTGAAGTATGCAGCATTACCAAGGAGATATTATCATTATTTCATAATTTGTCTACTGGGTTCCTGGTGGAACATAGGGCTTCAGTAGCACACATCCATTCCACTCTGTTCTCTGAAATCTTTTGAACCTGGTTCCACGACCGCCCAGAAGCTTTTATTTCCTCCTCACACGATCTCCTCTATGTCACCCTCAGCTGGGACGCCCAACTAGCCGCTTCCTATTCCGGTTCCACTCGACGACCTGGCCTGGCGCGTGATGTCCCCAGTCGGCCTTCTCAGTGCATGCCCAGTCCGTCTCCACTTCCTTCTGTATATCCCTTGAGCGATAGGTTCTTGATTAGTCCGCTGAAGACAGCCAGAGTTCCTTGTTGCTTATTATTTCTGACCATCTGACCTTCAGCGTACGTAGTTGTTGATGAATGCCTTTAGTTTGTCGGGAGTGCCTTTCATGATGGGCCGAGTCTCCTAGCCATACAGAAGCACTGACTTGATGTTGGTGCTGAAAATCTGGATGTTGTTCACGCTTTATGGTGAGTGCAGTGCAGAAGACCTCCACACTGGTTTCAGGTTAACGAGAGGTTGTCTTGCGTTTGCGATCCTGGCTTTGATATCCTCGCCTGTGCCGCCGCTTGTAGTTGGAACAACGCTGCCTAGGTAGGTGTAGGTGAAAGAGGCTACTTCTTTTAATCTTGTCCTGTTGATGATGATTGGGGCTTGTTGTTGTTGGTGGTGGTGGCGTCGATTTACCCAACCATCATCTTCATCACCTCTGTCTTCCCTACGTTCACTTGAAGCCCCATCTTCGTCGCCCTGCCTCACCTCTTCTGTCAACTTTTTAGTTTTCGCCTGCAGACCTTCAAGTTTATGTGACATTAGACACAAGCCATAGGCAAAATCCTCATCTTCTAGGATGTTTTCCACGGTCCAGTGTACCCCCTCCTCTCGCTCCTCATAGTAGCTTATTGCACAATCCAGTCGGCCACAATCAGGAATATCGTAGTTGATAGCAGACAGCCTTGTCTTACTCCTGTCTCCACTTCAAAAGCATACTGTTGAGCTTCCCATTGTGGTTTATTTGACATGTGGCGTCTTCATATAATTGTTGAATGGGATTGATAAATGTTTGTGGTATTCCATGGGGTTGAAGCAGCTGCCAAATTACTTGTCCGTCGACGCTGTCAAAGGCCTTTTTAAAGTAGACGAAGTTGAGTTGACTGTCATTCTGTACTCTATTCTATGATGACGCGTAGCGTAGCGTTGCAATTTGATCCAAACATGATTTGTACTTCCTGAATCCGGCCAGCCAGCCTATTCGGGTCGTAGTTTTGAATCCACTGCAGCCTTTGGTCTCTCCAGGATGATGCGGCCTAATACTTTGCTTGGAATAGACAGGAGCGTGACTCCGCACCAGCTCTTGCGAACACCTAGGTCTTTCTTCTTCGGGAGTTTGACAAGGCAACCCTTCTTTCAGTCGCCAGGTACGTTTCCCTCCTTCCAGACCTCCTGCAATAGTGGTGTGGGCACGTCCGCTGTTGTCCTTGCATCTGTTCTCAATGTTTCTGGTGGGATCCCATCTAGTGCTGCTGCTTTCTCAAATTTCAGTAGCTTTATAGCGCTCAGGACTTCCATTTTGTTGGAGGACTTGTGTTCACTTGTAGTTTTGTGCCTGCGGGTGATATTCCTGGATGAAGTGCAGGTGGTGGTCGATTCAAGAGCTTCTTGAAGTGGTCAGCACATCGCTTCCTTTGTTCCTCTTCTTTGGTAAGTGAAGTTCTTCCATCATCTTTTATTGGTTTCATCTGCTTTGATCTCTTCCCAGATAGTAACCTAGTCATTTGATACAAAGTTGTCAAGTCTCTGTCTCTCCTACCTGCAGCCTGTTCTGCTTCACTTGCGAGTGTGTGGTGGAGGTGTCTTTTGTCTTTGCGTGCACTTTTCTTCACTTCTTTGTCTAGTGTTTTATACATGGTAGTCAGTTCCTCTTATTTTTGTGCATCCT